GTGCTTCATTGACTGGTTTGTGCTGTGCCGTGCCCTATACTCACGTTTTGAAATGATTGTTCTGACGACAGGGATCGTGGGCACAAGACGGCTGTCGCGCGGAAACGGTCAATGCCACGCATACGCGGTGTATTTGCCGACACTTGACCAACTTTGCGTCCATCGTCACACTTGAGTCTGGCGGTGGTGCCGGCAACGGCGATGGTGGTGAAAATGGCACTAATCCAAACGGCGGGACGCTTAGCAGCACCGACGCATACACGCTCGGTGTCATTTCTTATATTGGCGTGAGCTTGTCTACGGCAGCCTGCATCGTCATGCTGGTGGCGTTGGCGACCGGCTGGACCCGCCTGCGCGTGTACCAAAAGCTGATTGCCCCTCTCAGCGTGTTTCTGGTCGTGACACAACTTTTGTTCATCACGGCGGCCGGCTCTGACACGCTGGTCGAAGCCACGGGGGTGTCAGACTCGTGCCGGGTGGTGGCGGCCCTTCTTCACTACATGGTGTTGGCGACATTTGCCCTCTTTTGTTGCGAGGCATCCGAGCTGTACTTTAACTTTGTGCGCGTGTTCGGGGCGGGCGAGACCCAGCGTTTTCGCGTCCAAACCTATGTGGCCGTTGTCCTCCTGCTACCCTTGATCATCGTGCTTATCGGCGTGCTTGGCTATGAAGATGACTATGGTACCACCGAGTACTGCTGGCTTCGAAACGAGTCCACGGCGGCTTACCTGTTGTGGGTTCCCATGGGCGTCATGCTACTCATCAACCTGACCATCATGGTACGCGTGCTGCGCAATATCTCCCAACATGCAGCCACATCTGAGGTCAATGTCAAACTCTTGGCCCTGGGCTTCTTGTCCTTCTCCGCACTTTTGGGTGTCGGCTGGGTGTGTGGCCTGTTGGCAGCAGCTCTGGATTCAGTGGCGCTGCAATACCTCTTTGCCATCTTCAGCACCTTTCAGGGTGTAGCCATCTTTGTGTTTTACTTCTTGCGTGATCGCGGCTTCCGCCGCTACGTGAGCATTGTCTGGTGTGATGCGCGACTCCGCCGCAAGCTACCCAATCATCATGTGGGCTTCTCTGACGTGCTGACGATATCTTCGGCCGCTACGGACTCGTCGCAAGTTCGCAGCTCGACAGCTGAGAATGGCATGCCGAGTCGTGCGAAGCACGGGCCTCCGCTCGGCTCACCCGTGCTTATTCGTCAGCAATCTGTGCTGAACTCTCTGTCGACGCTTTCGCCGTCTTCACACGAGACAGAGTTTTAATTTGTAGCCGCCAAGCGGCTTTGCTACTAATTGTGCCTGCATGGGGATTTACATGACACGTTGTTAGTTAGTCGTGTCACACCTGTTTGTGTTCCTGTTGAGTTTTTCATTGCTCACCAATTGACATGATGATGAGAGAACAGTCCAACAACATGCAGAATGATGATACACTAAGTATGCTACAGTGGGATAAGAAGAAAGAGGATGGTCCCTTTTGGGCGGAGCAGGTCGAGGTGGCAACAGAAACTCCGCATCTCCTTGAAGAGGAAACAAAAAAAAAAAAAAAAAAAAAAAAAAAAAAAAAAAAAAAAAAAAAAAATAATCCGATCAAGCGACGACAAGCGACAAGCAAGTCAGGAGGATCTGCCATGAGACTTTGTTCAAAAAGTCATCACAAGAGCACATGCAAGGTGTGGAGAGGGAAAGCGAGTACTCTTGGCTTCGAAAGCCTTAAAATTCGTGCTGCTGAGCAAGCGCTTACGCGGAAGTCCCACCTAGACCCACGCTCTTATGCTGCCCTCGCCGTTGCTGCGCGAGAAGTGGCTAAAGAGCCCGTCATGCACCTCTCAGCTCGAGAGGAACGCTGGGACGCCATCGAGAAAATTGGGTGTATTGTTGTTCCGCACGAGGACGTTGCGCGATATTTCGTCGATACAAACTACAGAGACGCATTCTGGCAACATGTGTGGCAATTTCGACGTGTGCATTACCTTGGCTTCGACCATGCGGCTGCCAGGTTTGATATGAATTGCAAGAATGCAAGCCAATTCTCGCTTGTAGATTGATGCACACGCAGTGCGAAAAACGGCCATTTGAGTCTCACCCAAACGGGTCTTTTCATCAATCAAGTATGTCAAAACGGAGTGGGCTGAGGCTTCATCAAGAGGCTTTGGCATGCAAAGCAAACAGAGCCACATGACTAGGTATCTACGCAAGAGACAGATGCCATTGAGTCGGAATGAAGACTGCATATCAAGCTGGTGGGGGATAGAACAGACCTGCTGGACTTGAAGGCCTCGGTGTGTGTGAATCACAAGCTCCTGAATACCGTCGCCCAAGAGGTCGGCCCCCAAGAGTGCATAGACGGGCTCTGACACGGCTACCATGCTTGGGTCAGGCATGGTCGGGGGTCGCAAATTAGCCTGTGCGGTGGCGCGATCGAACAGGGCAAGGGCGCGATCGACGTAGGCCAAATCGTAGACGAGAAGCCGTCGCCCATAGCCAGCCAGCACAAGCACTGGCCGACGGTCCAAGCGCTTTTGAATGTAGACAACGCCAAGGCATCCAAAAGAGAGAGAGGGTGTGTTTTAAGGATGAGAGACATGGGCAGGCGCATAGGGTGCAAACACAGTTGAAAAACAGGAGAGGACAGACCACATCAAAAGCAATGGCCGACGAAATGACGTCCGTGTGTTTTGGTCGCGCCAGCTTTGAGCTGCAGCTCAAGCCTCGAAGGTTAGCGTGCCTAATTCAAAGAGCATGTGACAAAAACGGGTCGTTTATGCTTTCAAAGGTGCAGCCAAGTCTAGCCAAGAAGGTTGAGAGCCTTCACGCACCAGTAGATTTGGGATTCGACCACGGTGCCCGCCAACAGCAGATGGACATGCGGTGCAAATGAGAGTTGGTTGCGGGCGCTGCTATTGTGGGTGAATCTGATCCCCAGCGCGAACAAACAAACCAAGACCAACACCCCATCCAAATCAAGTTGGGCGACGCAATAGAAGCAAAAATTGACGTTAGCACAGCCAGGCCAACAGCACCATCGATCCGGTCAGTGTTAAGTTGTATATGAAAGAGCCAAACTTTGGCAGGTCGGGGCGAGGACTGACACACTGTTGTGCACGGCAAAAAAAACGGCGCAAGGCATGGGGGCAATAAACTTGTGAGCCGAAAACGTGTGATGGCCATCGCGATCTGTCACAAGAGTACACGCACACACCGTCATGAGAATAGGCCCAGGCAAAGCCCGAGCAAACGCACATGCTTGCACAAACCAGTCGTGACCAGCCACGCGCGGCCGTCAGATGTGCTATACACGTTCAATGTCGTGTCCTGGCTGAGCAGGGTGCAGCTTCGGTGGTGGATCACAGAGGCATCCTAAAGTGCAGCACAGTTGGTTTAGGTTGTGCCTCGACCCGATCAGACACGTCTGGCTCAGAGCAGCACGCCAAGCACGAGGTGCACCTCATGATTAATTTCTGGGATTCCCAAGAAGCTCCACTCCTGATCCCATGCACACCAGCTCATGCTCAGCGGAGACGCTGCAAATGAAATACAATGTTGTGCCGGTAGCACGAGATTGTTGAGTCCCGATTGTAGACGCAATTTGACTCGATGGTGATCCAACAAACAAGCACGCACGGGCATCGTTGTTTAAAGCGTGTGGTGCCGAAGACAGGAGTCGTAGTTGGCCATACATGCCAAACATGGCCACAACGCCGGACGTGGCAGCGGGAAGTCTAATAGGTGAGGTGTGAACAAAGGGGTACAGGTATGCGTCAATACATGGAAAAAGAGGTACGGCGGCAGCGTCCGAGTCCACACACGGTTGTGCATTGACTAACCGAATCAAGGTCATCAAAGAAATGACAAAGGGGACCTCAAGCTCCTCGACAGCCTCGGCTAACAGCCGCGAGCCACAACGTCACAGTATTTAGGATGTTGGGTATCATCATGCATTGGCGATCAGGAGGGTCGCATTCGCACGAGCATGATGCCGTGTTTTCGTTCAAATTTCTGCAGGGCAAGCTTACGGGTCAGCTCGAGAAGCTCCATCAGGCTTGAAGCCATCCGGTCAGCTGGTGAGTCGGCCCACTGTGTCAGCGGGATCGACAGCATAAGTGAAGACGCCGCTTCGGTGTCATCCTGCATACATGTATACACGTGTGCATAAGCTGGCGCGTGGATGATGTCGGGCAATGAACGAACAAAAAAAGGCGGGGACGATACCTGGCAAATGCATGCCAACATGAGTCGCTGTGGCGGCATGTCTGCAGCCAAAGGGTCACTGTGGCATGTGGCGGTGGAGACAGGTCAGTTGTGTTCGCTTGGGTTGAAGGCCTGGAGCTGATGCTACTGGGCATAGGCACGCACCACCCTTGATGGCGAAGAATGAGGACGCCGGCTGGAAGAAGCTTGCGATGCCTGAGGATCGTGATTTGGCCTGCATAAACGCTTTGCTGCTCAACGGCTTCTTTCCTGTGCCACCGGGATCATCACATGAGAAGTTGTGGCCCTGACAAATCATCAAACGGCTTGACGTAGCCGCCCGCGAGTCGGGGGTCACCACCTCCCTCGACGGTTATGGCACGCCGGATGAAAAACATGCCTCTGGGATGGTGGGATGGTGGCCGTGAGGTTCAAACACACGCCGCCATCAAAGGGGCAATGCATGGTGGCCACGAGGCTCATCATGGTGCCATCATGACCACGATGCCAGCTAAACGCGTCTGCACAATTGATGGCAGTAGGGCCATCCGACACGAGGTGACAAAGCTGCTGCAAGCGATCAACTTCGCTCGACTGCACTGCAGCCACCCGAGCACCAGCCATCGCCATGGCTCCGCGCTCCCGTCATCCGATCGAAGTAGAAAGGGAGAAGAGACGGCAAGAGTTTGAGAGAGAGAGAGAGAGAGAGAGAGAGAGTTTGAGAGAGAGAGAGAGAGGTTTGAGAGAGAGAGAGAGAGAGAGAGAGGTTTGAGAGAGAGAGAGAGAGAGAGTTTGAGCGAGAGAGAGAGAGTTTGAGCGAGAGAGTTTGAGAGAGAGAGTTTGAGAGAGAGTTTGAGAGAGAGTTTGGGAGAGAGTTTGGGAGAGAGAGATTGAATTGGTTTGAGAGAGAGAGAGAGAGAGAGAGAGAGAGAGAGAGAGAGAGAGAGAGAACAGAGAAAGGGAGAGAGAGAGAGAGAGAGAGAGAGTTAGAGTTTGAGAGAGACCCCATTTTTTTTTCAAAGATCGCAGGCTCGCGTGCAGGGACCCATGGAGATGCAGTGTCGCGGACGGGTGGCTGGAGCAATGTGGCTGGGGCTGGTCTTGTTGGCCTGTGCGACACAGTCGGAAGGTGAGGCTCTTTCTCTGTTTGCATGATGGGCGGCGTGGTGAGCATGGCTATCCCGGCGAGGTCACCAACCAATCTGGCAGCAGCCCCACTCCCCTCATGGCTCGTGCCCTCAAAGATGGACGTGATCTGTGTGTGATCGGCTTCTTGATCTACTCTCACATGCCCGGCCTTTGCGCTAGGTATGGCTGTGCCTGCCAGCATGGATGTGGTCGATGCGAACAATGGGACTACACCGTCGCCAAACGCCACATCTAGCTCAACCACTGTCATGAACAGCACTGCAATGAGCACCACAGCGACAAACACGACAGCAGCGCCACCAACAACAACAGCGGCGCCAGGCAATACGACAGCAACGACAACGCCAGTTGTGACAACGTCTACCACGGCAGGCAACACAAATGTCACGACGACAACGCCCGCAGCGACCACCACCTCCACCAACCAGCCCAGCAACACGACAACCGCAGCTTCCACGTCTACGACCTACATCGTCTCTTCTCACGCCAACTCGCACGGCAGCAATGCCAATAAGCGCAACGAGGGTGCCATCATTGGTGGCGTGTTTGGCGGAATTGCTTTGCTTGGTTTAGTGGCCGTGGTCTTCTTCAAGATGCGCTCAAACCCCTCTTCTTACTCGCAGCTCTAACGCTCGTGTCGTTGCTATTTCACTCATCTGAAGGGGCCTAAGATCTGTTGCCCAGCTGGTTGAATGCGAACACCTCATGGGTAGTTGCTCCTTTGGGTTTTGTCGCACATGATGGGCCTGTAGTAGCGCAGCCTGATTATAATCAATAGTTTCGTGAAAAATCTGGCGAACACGTCACGAGGCATCCGACCTCTCATCTCCGTCGGCCTCGAGCCCCAATGCAGAAGCAGGTCGAGGCTCGAATCACCAACCAAAGAGTCGAGGCTCGACATGGCAACACAACGCGTGAATGTCTTGGCTGACTTTGGTCCAGAACAGACTATATTGAGGCACGCCTTGGAAGCACGTTGCCCGTGTCTGCTATATGTTCTCAATTAAACATGCCCAAAAGTGGTCCAGCCTACTCTGGGCCGGACGGGCACAGCATCCAACGCACCCTCTCGGAGCCTATGGATCTAGATACATTCTCATGAAGAAAATTTGCATCATTGGAAGAAAGACCGTGGGGATTACGCAGACTTGGTGGCTTGGGCGGGGTGTGGACGTTTGCGCAATTTGGGCTTGGGCTTGACCCGAGCTCTGGGTCCACTAGCCGAGGGCGCGGTGGACGAAGGTTGTGCGGTAGCGGTGAGCGGTGCGGTGTCGTTGGCTGCTGCTGATTGATCGTTCGTTGTCTCAGCAGCCGGTGTTGCCTCTGTAACGGTCAACGTAGCAGGTGTCGCGATCGTGGCAGGGGTGGCCGTGGTGGCGGCCATGGGGGCTGCGTCGTTGGCTGCCAATAGGGTCAAATCCTTCTCTGACGTCGAGCTCGCTTCGACCTGGTCATGGGGATCCTGAGTTGGTTTGACGACAGTCGAGGCTTGAATTGGCTCTTTGCGAGAGGCCCGAATCGCGCTGGTCACCACCACCGGCATCGGCATGTCTTCGCCATGACTTGCCACTGGAACGTGGTCCGCGCGGGTAACCGGCACGGGGTGCGCACTTGTCGCATGTGGGGCTGTTGGCGGGTCAGGATGGTGAGTACTGCTAGCCCCGTCTTGACTGACCGCTGCGGCGTTGGTGCTTGTGTGGCTCGAGACTGGGGATTCCGGTGTCGGCCCGACGCGTGTTTCCAGAGCAGGCTCTACACCCGTGTGTCCAGTCCTGAGTGCGGCGCGAGGAGAGGTTGGTGATGGTAATTGGGGCTGAGTTTGCTCTTGTACTACTGGCTCGGCTGTGGTGGCAGCTGTCCGACGTGAGCGTGATGCTCGTGCACGAGAAGTTCCTCGGGTGGTGGGTGTAGCAGAGTCGTCCGGCAAATCCTCTTCAATGCCTTCTGTCAAGTATTCCGCGTCGTATGGTTTCCTGTTGCAAGAGGCGTTGATGAATGTGACGACGACCCTTTCACAAAAGCACATGCCAACGGGATCGTACGCGTTTTTGATGGCTCGCGTCACTTGATCTGGGCGCTGCTTCATCTCTCGATGATACTTTGCCTGTGGCTCCCAGCGATTCAACATCAGAGCTGCGTGAAGAGGCCCGGGCCAGGAAGCTTGTTCCACATACCTTGAGTTGCTTGTGGGAACGCTTGGGAAAGGCCACGTTCATGGATCGGAAATCGGTGCCACAGCGCTCGAGGCAAAGAAAAAACTTGGCCGTTTCTACACTCGAAAAAACAACAAAAAAAACAAAAAAAACAAAAAAAAAAAACAAAAAAACAAACAAGTAAAAAAAACCAAAAAAAAAACCGCCAGGTTGACAATCAGCTGGCTACCAGCACATGCTTCTAAAAGCACCTGACGGGGAGGGGGTTGCTATCTGGCCTGACCTCGTTCCGACCAAGCTCGATTGTTATCGCGGCGTGTAAAGCTGGCTGACGTTGTCGACCTGGGGCCACGTCGTTCTTCCTCATGTCTGCAGTGTTGGGACGATGAAGCGTCAGAAACAGAATCGAGTATTTTGTGGGAGGGGGTTCAAACCATAGGCTTACCCCGGCGTAGTTGGTGGTGGTTCTGGTGCTGCATTGCGGGCTGTGATTGAGAGGGATTGCTCGTCCACAATAAGTTTGCCATTGACGAGCTTGAGAGCGGGCGCATTGGACACAGAGTTTGCCGCTCCCTAAGGACGATATATGCAGAGTGCAGCCGAGACATTGGTGAGGAAACAGAAAGCGCTCTCGCAGCACTGGTGCCTAGCATTTATTTGAGGACGAAAAATTGTCGCACCGCGTCCTCATCATCATCATCTTGCCCAGGTCGCTCATAGTTGGAAATGTAGGTTGTGCGTGTCTGGGCCAGATCATCGTGGCTCCTGTCGAGTACAAGAGGGCATGAGCATGGGCCGTGTCACGCGCAGCGCATCGCGGGGAAGGTGTGAGCTACGCGGGCGTGTATCCTCAGGACAGGCGCAACAAATCGGCCCCGAGGCACGGTCTTGGGCGTCTGCCAATCTCACCCTTGTGGCTCGATGCGGGGATTGCGTGGGTTGTAATGGATGAGATCTCCCATGGTCATGGTGGCATCACTGGCGGGTCGTGAGGGTCGCGCTTTGCGCTTTTTCTTGAGACGGCCGGCTGCGGTCAACAGTTGGGCCTCATCTTGAACGGCGACGAGCTGGTGTGCAATACTGGAAACGTCGTGGGCTGGGTTGATGTGCGGGGCTGGGTGCAGCGTGGCATGAGCGTGGGAGCCTGTTTGTGCGTGACCCACACTGGTGGACCGGGCGGGTGTGCTTGGTGCAGTTGTGGATGCACGAACGCTGCTGGAACGTGCCGGCGTGGTTGGGGCACGAACACTGGGAGCCTGCTGGCTGGAAGCAAGGGGTTGGGAAAGCGGCGGTGCAGCTGCAAACGTTGCCCCAAGATGAGGTGGTTGATTTGCTTGTGGAGAGGGCTGGGAAGCGGTCGAAGCTTGCAGTTGGGGAGGAGTTTCAGGAGGGGCAGCCGGCCCAGGGTGTGCAGCTGGGGTCGCGGGACTGGGCACGGTGATCGGCGCTGGGTTTGAAGCCTGCGGTCGTCGCACGCCACACCAAATCACAATCGGTTGAGGCAGATGCAAAGGATTTGCGCGTGTGGACTGATGACAAGGACAGCATTGGGTGATGGCGAGGCCAACATTGGAAAAAGAACCAACCTGAGCTCCCTCTGCTGTCTGGGCGGGGGTGGGCGTTTCCTTGGTTATCACTCGGGGGGTTGAGTTGTGTGTGGCTTTGGCTGATGAGGTCGTGTGGGCTACGGTCGGTCTTTTGGGCTCGGGCTCACTAGTTTCAGCGGGTGCGCTGGATGCCACGGGCGTACTTGTGGCGGTGGCTGGTCCACGCCGCTTCAGCTTGGGGGCGACTGCAAAGCCGAGCAGTCAAGACCAGCGAGATGAGGCGGGAGGCAGGCGTTGCGGATGAAGGGGACAGGGGCAGGCATTCGCACCTTTGATCTTTGGAGGCATAGTGGCGGATGACGGTCCCTCGGCTCGGGAAGGAACTCGCCGTCAAGATGCCCTCTACCAAAGGATGAGGTGCCGTGCGCACGCCCTCACGATCCCTGTCATTGGCACACCGCCGGCGTCATCAAAATTATACCCGGCAGCTCGGCGCGTTTTTGCAAAACACCCTCATGTGTGAGTGAGTGTGTGTGTGTGCGTGTGTGTGTGTGTGAGTGTGTGTGTGTGTGTGTGTGTGTGTGAGTGTGTGTGTGTGACCGTTTTTTTTTTTCATTCATTCATCTTACAAAAAGGTCTCGACTTGATGTGTTCAAGAGACGGGTGCATTCAAATCGTGTCCAAGAGGAAGGGGAGGTGCGGTGCTGGGTCATGAATGTAAATTGGCGCTTCAGGTGTGGGGGTGAACGACGCATCATGGGCATGAGGGACTTTCAAAAAGACAAACCACGATCGATTTCCTAATCAGAGGAAGAAAGAAAGACTGAAAGAAAGAGGCATCCCCAGCATTGCGACAACACGAGCACAGCTCGCTAGAAACTCCATCGGGCCTTGCGAATCAACGCTTGACGTGCGTCTACCCGAAAGAACGGTGCATGCCCGAAAGATGACAGAAGAGAAAACGGAGAGAACCAAAACAAAAAACAAAACAAAAGGCTGGCACCTCACCGAGTTCCGGTGCCGGTTTAGCTCGGGCACAAATTGAAAGCAGCGTCAAGCAAGGCTCAAAGAAAAGCAAAGCGGAAGAAAACACAAGGGATTTGCACAGAAAGGGTTTAAACAAAAAAAATAGAGAGAGAGAGAGTCGAATCACAGGGCTTAAAAGGGCTGTTTGGGATTGGCACTGGCCGAATTGGTGGGCAGGACGTCCTGATAAGCGGGCGGGGCTTCATCGTCGACGGGGGCAGACGCCGTGGCCATGGACACGGCGGGTTGATAGACTGGCGGTGCTTGGCCACCGAGCCCGAATGGCTGCGCTTGGTAGGGGCCAGGAGCCACGCCACCCGGGGCATACGTTGGCATCGGCGCCTGAGGTGGGTAGGGCGGGCGTGCTACGGGCTGAGCGGCTGGCTGAACCGGGCCCGCGCGACGAAAGCGCGCGGCGCGGCGCGGCACGTGAACGTTGTCAAGGTTGGCATAGCCACCACGTCGTAGCCAGCGCATAGCGCGGCCCTGAGCCACAGCTGAAAGGCACAACATAAAAGTGCCAGAGACGGCTACCCAAAAGCCCCAGCCCATATCGAGGTCATAATCGCCAACCACCCAGTGGTTACCATTCCAAGTGCCCCACACCAGCAGGGCAGCGACGGCGCAGAGAAAGGAGAGGAAAAAGCCAAAGTTGGTGTTGCGGCCAAGGCGGGGTTCCGTCTCACGCAGAAAGCGTTGGGCCAGGGTGATGCTGATGATCGCACCCAAGACGGCTAGAACCAAAAGAGCTTGGGTCAGGCGCATACCCGAGCAGTCATCAGTCTCGTCATTGCATGCCGACCTGCGGCGAGGAGATGGCATTGGGTGAGCAGGATTCTCAAGCACAACTCACTCGTTCTTCTCCCTCTTCAGCACATTTTCAAAAAAGAACGAGCAAGGCGAAGCAAGGATGCAGAAAGGGTTCAGACTTACGAGCCACAATCCTTGCTGGCCAAGCTACCAGATTGATAACATGAACGAAACTACAGAGGCAAGCGGCAATTCAAGGGGAGAACATAGCAAAGAGGTCAGGCGAATAGAACGTAGTGGGGTTCAGAGAAAGGGGGGCGATCATGACAACGAACCGGTCCCACGGTGTAAGTGCCGCCATAGCTCCACTCCTCGTAAAGGTTCCAGGTATCGGTGCACATGGCAAGGATCAAGGCTATAGAGCCAAGTATCGCCAAGCCCATGGCGCGACGGGTCAATACATGTATGATGTTGGGCACCATGATGGCGATGCAAAGCGGCGAGGCCGACGAGGCCAGCAATGGATCCTTGATGGCAGAGCCTAGGCACAGCGAGCCAAGTCCATGCGAATCAAATCACAATCACAACGACGACGGCAGGCAAGAGAAAAATGCCAATCACGCCAAGAACAAGCACGATGATTGGAGGAACCACAGGACGATCTCAGAACCCGCACTTTGGCTAGCCTCTCCCTCTATGCATGCCCTCCTGGCTGGTCCCATGCCCAAGTAAGATCAAGCCCTCCCCTCCCCATGCCATGAGGGGTGTTGCGTGCGGAGACCCACCTCTACTCGCGTCGCGCCGTGCTCTCCAGGCTCACAGAGAGAGAAAAAGAAGAGAGAGAAGAGTGCAGTACCATAACGTATCATCAACGTACATGTGTGATGCTGAATACATACATGTGCGCTCTCTCTCTCTCTCTCTCTCTCTCTCTCTCTCTCTCTCTCTCTCTCTCTCTCTCTCTCTCTCTCTCATCTCTCTCTCTCTCTCTCTCTCTCTCTCGTTTGTCAGACAAAGAACACGTAGCTAAAGCGGTTTTGTCAGACAATTTGTGGTTTTCTGTATAGGGTTTGAGATGTGTTTTCCCGCTTGCCCTTTACGGACTTTGGGGAGCTTCAAGCTGGAAATGGTCATCAAAAAGTCGGAATGACAGTTGGTAACCGAATTACCAACTGTCACGAATTCAGTGGCTGCCGCTTCGTTCTTTTTTTTAACCGCTGCGCAGCTGACCGATTGACCGGTACGTTGAGCACAACATATGAACCGCGACGGATCAGATGCCTTCCGCCCCCTCCCCCCACCTCCTTCCCTCCTTCCCTCCTTCGCTCCTTCCTACCCCGCGCCCCGATCGTGGCCTTGGTGCAGCAAGGCGCGCAGATTTTGGAGCAAACACGCTTTGGTGTGGGGATCAGGGGCAGGGCTGGTGCGATACACATTTCGTGCTCGACTCATTCGAGCCACTTCACTTGGCTGCCTCACAGTGCTGGCGTTGAAGCCACTTGCTCGGGTTTGTCTTGTCAAGCTGCCTGCCCAGCCCTCGTTGGCAAAGCTTGCTGATCTCGGGGCGCGCCAGCCAACAAATCGGCGCTCTTCATCGCAAACACAGGTGGGTGAACATGGCCACTGATTTGATTCCGTGAAAATACACCACAAAGTCATCCAGTGAATACCCGTCCCAAGTCGTGTGGGGACGCCTTGGCTGCAGCTTGCTGACCAAATTGTCTCTTGGCCTCATGGCAGCAGACAATTCTCTCTTTGTGCCACCATGGCTGCCATGGACTTTGCCGACCTAGCCAGCGCCAAGCGCGTGGTCATTGACAATGTAGGTTGCCTAGCCCAACATGGTGCCGAGTGGTCTCGTCGTTGCGTGCCAGCTCAATAATCCGCTTTGGTTTCGACCCGGATACCACTCTTTGCTCCATGATAGGGCTCAGGCATCATCAAGGCTGGCATGGCCGGCGAATCGCACCCAAGCGTCATCTGCTCCTCCTTGTGAGTCACCCGCTTTCAACCGTTTTCGGGCCCGAAAATAGTGCAGGCAATCCAACCGCCGCTTCGATCCAGCACACGAGCGATGCCATCGATTGATCGATTGCCCTGCCCCACAACACCCCTCACATCATGGTCCTGGCCTGACCTTCAATCAGCGTGGGTCGCCCCAAACACACTCGCGTCATGACTGGCGGTCTGGAGGGTGACGTCTTCATGGGTAAAAAGGCCCAGGAACATCGTGGCCTTCTTTCCATCAAGTATCCCATGGAGCACGGCATTGTTGAGGATTGGAAGGACATGGATCGCATCTGGAACTATGTCTATTCCAAGGAAGGTCTCGGTGTGCAGCCCGACGGTCAGTTGCTACGTGCTGTCGACCTCCTGTCGGTTCTCGGAGGCTTGATGCGTCTTTCTCGCAACACCACATTCAATCCAAGCAGACCTGTGGGCTTCTTCTGCTATTCTTGCGTTGAATTCCGGCCTCACGCCTCCTCTCTCCGGGTCAACGCCCTGCCGGGACTGGCTTATTTTTTTTTGCTTGCAGAGCATCCCGTGCTGCTGACTGAGGCTCCACTCAACCCCAAGAAGAACCGCGAGAAGGCTGCCGAGGTACCCAAACGCACCCACACAACGAGATGATGCGTTGGCCGTTGTGCTACTTTACATGCGTGGGCGTCAACACATCTGCTCTGCTTGCTTTACGCTGTTCCATCACTGTCAGGCTTACGTTGACGGGCACACCTGCTCCTCTGCTTGCCCCCGTGCTCTGCTGCTCTGCTGCTCTGCTGCTAGGTTCTTTTTGAGAGCTTGAACGTGCCTGCATTATTCGTGTCGATGCAAGCCGTCCTGGCATTGTACGCATCGGGCCGCACCACGGGTGCCGTCTTGGACTCGGGTGATGGTGTCACGCACGCCGTTCCCGTGTACCAAGGCTTTGCGGTCAAGCATGCCATTACTCGCGTTGACGTGGCTGGCCGTGACGTCACCCGCCATCTCCAAACGCTGTTGCGCCGCGAGGGCGCCCTGTTTAAGACCACCGCCGAGTTTGAAATTGTGCGCACCATCAAGGAAGCCAAGGGGGTCTGCTTTGTCTCCACCAATGCCAAGAAGGACGAATCCATGGATGACCGCAGCATCGCGGCCAAGTATCGGTTACCTGATATGAAGGAGATCACGGTGAGTGCCTCGCCTCGGCTCGACTCGGCGCGACTCGGCTTGCCTCTCGATCTGCTTCTACCTTTTGCATTCGGCGACAGTTCTAACGCTGAGGGCGGTCGACATTGCAGATCCACCATGCACGCTTCCGAGCACCGGAGATCCTGTTCGACCCCAGCATCATTGGCGATGAGAGCGAAGGTCCGCTTTCCGCTTCGCATCTCGTCGAGCCTGCCCGACAGCTCAAGATCTATGATGCTCACATGTTTCCTTATCGTCGTTGACATCCTTTTTTTTTTGTGTCCACTCTCTTAGGTGTTCACAAGGTGCTGCACTATGCCATCCAAAAGTCGGACATGGATTTGCGCCGAGACCTCTACTCGAACATCATCGTGTCAGGCGGTTCCACTCTGTTCGACGTACGCGCACGCAACCCATGGCTTCCCGCTTCTCATTCTCTGCTTCCCTGTCTGCTCGATGGTTTAATGAGAAGCCGGGCCATCTCATTGCCACGGGGGTTTTTTTTTTTCTTGTTTTGTTTTGCCCGGACGGTCCCGCCTCGCAGAACTTTTGTGATCGTCTTCTCAACGAGCTCAAGGCATTGGGTCCCAAGGACTGCAAGATTAAGATTATCGCGCCGCCCGAGCGCAAGTACTCGACTTGGCTTGGTGGTTCGATCTTGGCCTCTCTGGATACCTTCCGTACCATCTGGACGGAGAAGCGTGAATACGAGGAGGAAGGTGCCCGGATTTTGCATTCCAAATCCTTCCTGTAGTTTTGCCGCAAACGCCACGCGTGAATGTGTGAGTGTTAAATGTGCACGTTCTTTCCATTTCCTTGTTTTCCTTTCGTGCTGCTGTGGCTTGTGCGTGCGATGCACCGTCTTGCTTGTATTGTGTTGGTTGTTGTGAGTCTGTGTATGGTGTATGCGCGAGCGTGCACATGTGCGACGTGTGGTTCTTTGCTTGCGCCGGGAGCTTGCAATGGCTGTCCAAATGCCCGGGCCAATACCGCCCTGTGGATGGGGTCCCATCAAGCCTTGCACATTTTCCCCTGCGACAAGACGCCTCTTGTTCCCACGCCTCCCAGCAATCCCGCCCGGAGTTTTTATTTGTTGGAAATCTAGTCGAGAAAATTTTCAATGTAGCAGCCAGCCGGCCGTTGCTGAAAAGCGCTCATACAATGATGAAATTCAGGTGATAGCCCCCTTGCGCTCATGCCAGAGCACGTAACAGCTTTCAGGCCATGCATACATGGCATGATTTGATATGCCATTGCAGTCCCAAGCCAACACCGTGAGCGTTGGAGCAGCGCAGCACGCCGAGGTCTGCCACGTCTCTTGCGTTTGCTACATGCCAGCAAAGGCACAGAGGCGCAGGTAGTCGGGCGCTGCATTCTCAAGATCATCGGGAAAAAATTCCACCTTATTCTTGTTGATAAACTCCAGCAGACGCTCCAAGGCCTTGAGCTGTGAGTGGGGCAAGAGAACCGACGCAGAGGGGGAAAGTGAAGCTGTGTGATGATAACAACGGCTCGACCTTGGCAGACAATGCCGATAAAGTGAGCGTACAAAGCTTCTGTCGATGAAGGGTTCTTGCTTGATGGCGAGTGACACGAGCTGTGGCAACAAGACTGGGGCCAGATGTTTCATAGGAGATTAAAGGGCAAACGAGGACTCGAGCAGCGTGCAGGCGAGGGCAAGGACGTACGAATCAGTCGGAGAAAGTGCTCAGCACCATAAATTTGAGACATGGGTTCGAGTTGGCCATGAAGTCGCTCTAATTGTTGAAAGTACTATGGATCACACATGCGTTCGTGAGCGGATCAACCGGTTCAGGCTACCACATGAGGGGCAAACGGGGACCCACCTGCACCCGTTCGGCGGTGGTGGTTAGACGCAGCCCAAGGGTGGCATTGAACAAAGCCTGCATGCTTGTGCACATTGTCTCTTCGGCTTTGATACTTGAGTATAGGACAGGACAGGAGAAGAGTATATCGGATGGGGTTAGTATTAGGATGAGCGGGCAAGTCCGGCACTTGGCACAGTGCGAATTGTTTTTGGCTGGGCCATACTCACTTTTCAGGCCGGCGATTGCCAGGGCGTGCGAGAAAGTCGGCGCAGATGGCTGCCAATGGCTTGGGCCGAGGCAGCGGGTGAAGCTTGTGTTCTGTCATAATGGCATGATAACAGTTTTGGAGGTGCTGGTGGATGTGGGCATCAATCAAGCGGGATCTGTAGAGCGGCATTCAATGGAGTGTAGTGCGCCACCGTGTGACGTGAAAAAAAAAACAAAACAAAACAACAACAACAAAACTGGCCTGCGGTGTCCAAAACAGCGAGTACACACGGGCGGGCGTACACTTTGCCGAGGTCTGTGGCGCTGACGACGTCTGTGGCTGAAGCACGGCCAGATTTGGTTGCGGATTGGGTGAATGGCGTCACGGTGGGCGACCCTTGAGGTGTTGATGCGGTGCCTAGCAGTTCAAGACAGAAAGGCATGTCAACAATCAAAAGTCGGGTACCATACCTGTTTGGTTGGTACAAGGGCCTCGGGCGAGAGGCTGCGTGCGGTTGAGCACAACTCTTTTGTGGACGCACCTCTTTTGGGACGCTTTGCGGTGTGGTCATTGCTGTTTTCGGGTGTTTGAACTGACGCTGGTGGTGACCAAGGACCAAGGGGCCGACACGAATGAGCGCAAGCCAGGTCTGAAATGCCACCCACAACTGGGCAAGGGACTTGTGTCGTACCACGTCGTGAGGCATTGGGCCGGTGGCCAAGGGTTGGGGTGGCGTTTGGAGTTCGTTTCTTTTTGCCAGCTTTACGGGCGAGCTTGCGAGCTTCCTTGCGTCGCTTTTCCTCGGCCATGGCGCCATCCCGAATGTGCTTGGCTTCAGCCTTGGCTTCCGGCGTGGCTTCGTAAAATTCATCTTCACGTCGTTCCTTGTTATAGCTGTATGGTTGAGCCCCGAGCATCGACGTGAGTGGCATGCAGAGGGCATGGGGACTGCGACAGTGCGAGGCATCTGGGAAAGGTTCATACCGCTTGTTGAAGCCGCGGTAGGAGAGGGTGTAAAGCCAGCAGCCTTGCGTTGTGCTCCACTTGACATTGGAGACCTTGGGAGTTTAGTGCGCGGGTTGGTTCGGGGGTGAGGGGGAAATGCCAGGGCCCTGTCAAAACCGACCTTGGGCTGCCTCTTGGTCCTATTCATACCTTGGCTTCGTATGGCACGGCGCCGTGCAGTTCAAGCACTTCTGTGCCCTTGGCGTAACGGGCCTCGGGCCGCAGGTCGGCTTGCTGCCCAGCCATGGTGAGATCAGGGCGGTTGCGCTGAGGACCGGCTCAACTCAGGGTCACCTCAGAGCGGCACGTCAGCACGAGCTCGTGACGGGCTCAACAGCAAGTGGTGCCCATGTGAAGCGATCCAACGCTTGCCAAAAGCACGCGGTCAAACCCCCCCTTGGACCTGTTCAAGGGCGCCGTCCCTGACCCGCCAAGAACGAACGGATACGATGCACCTGCTCTCTCTCCTAAGAGTTGTAACGGAAAACAGTGCCACAGGGAGAAGGGAGAAATAAGAGTTAAGTTGGAGAGGGGACTTAATATCTAAATTCATCTGACAAATACTTTCTGACAATGTATGGGGCTTGCTACCAAGTGGAGTTGTTGGCTTGGGTGTCGCCTTTCTCTTGCCAATGCGGTCGGTACACACACCGACGGCTTCTTCTTGTTAGAAGGTGATGGATGGATGATGGATTACGCATGCATGCACCATTGGCTCGGGATGGGCATTCGGACGGGTGCGAGCAGCGCCAGACGGCGCATCACATGTCACGCTTCGACCGAACGCCCGAGGAATGGCATCTTCACGTAGCGTACTATTTGTATGCGGATGTCTATAGCTCAACTATGGCACCGGGTGCCAGGATCGAGAGGAGGGGCGTCATTTTTGCGCAATTGCGCAAAAATAAGAGAGTCGATCGCCAGGAAGACTGAGAGTCGGAGGAAGTGTCCCTGTCGCTGGCGCGGGTGCTACTCAACCCCCTTTTACGCGTGGGGCTTGTCCCACATTCACAGTCGGCGCAGATCCAAGATGCTTTGCGCACACTCAAATCAATGCTTGAACACACGACTCGCCTTCCCTACATTAGTCGAGGTCCCTACCTGTGTGTGGTGTGCATCTCCATCGCACCTCGAGTCCCTTTTTACTCGTTGATGCCAATCGTTCGCAATAAACTTCACATGTCCATGTGGAGTGTCATGGTCAAGAACGCGGGCTCCCATCACCTCGGGCTCGACGTGTGGGCTCTCGAAGAAAGTTGGTCGTAGCTCCTTTGCTGCAACAACATTACGGCTGCGCGCCCCCAAATGTCACCCTCTTTGCCCTTGTGCGCGCACTCGTCAGACCAAACCTCTTCTTGTGGCTTCTTCGACCGAGAGCTGCCCTGGTCGCGGCGGCCTCCAACAAGAAAACCTTCAAGTCTGATCTGTCGGCCGGGTCCTGGTCCTTTTAGAACCCTCTGTACCCAGAATCCGCATCAACTTTGAGCGCGAAGCAAAATCGCCACTGGTTGGAGCCCTCAACCTTGACCTTCTTGCCGCAACCCGCCTCACCCTGGCTCAAGGGCGCTGATGGTCCATGGGTCAGCGTCAAGCCCAAAAGCCCAGCCCACGTCGAGTGCAAGTGTGTCAATCCCATCGGCTCTGTGTGTGTGTGCCCCTTCTCCTTCTGGCGCCAGTCGACGCGCGTCCCCCTCCTCCTTACTTACTGACTCGAGAGGTTGGTGCCAGCACCGACTCCCGCTTACCCTCCTTACCCACTTTAAATGTCATCCTTTTGAACCCCTTCTTTTGTTTTGTTGTTGAGACGAGGAGGGTGACGTTGTTGCGACTGTTTTGTTCTTTTTCTTCCCTTCTTTTCCTTCTTACGACTTCTCCTCTCTTCTTCCACCACTTCCACCGCTTACCGCGCTTACCGCGCTTACCCTTTATCACCAACGGCTTGCCCCTCTTGCCGCTGTGTGTGTGTGTGTGTGTGTGTGTGTGTGTGTGTGTGTGTGTCTTTCTCTCTCTCTCCTCTCTGTCTTTGTCTCTCTCTCTGTGTGTGGCTCTTGTCTGGTATCACCATGTCACTGCCATTTCCCTGCTGCTGCCCTCGCCTTTGATGCAAAGTTGTTGGACCAAGACAGACACAACACCCGACACTGTCGCTCTGGTTTTTCTCGACTTGTCTGCTTCTTCGTGCTTTGGTGGTCGCATGCCCATTTGACAAGTGGCCCCCCCAACCCAAACAAACACCTTGGATCGTGCCAAACCCCAAGCCCAGGCCCTGCCAGTCGCCGCCGGTGCCCACTTGTTTCGCCTCTTCTCCGCATTTTGCCCACCTTGACTTGTCGTCGTCGACAAGCTCGTTGGAAACCCCATTTCTGCCTCCTCCCGGCGGCTTGCCCACGAAGAAACGACAAACAAACACCAACGCCATGGATCTCGACCACCTCGCCGGCCAGCAGGTCAACGACAAGATGTTCAACGTCGGCGAACGCTATACCAACCTCAACTTTATCGGCGAAGGTGCTTATGGCACCGTTGCCTCGGCTCATGATCAAGTCACCGGTGACATGGTCGCCATTAAGCTCATCACCCCCTTTGAGCACCAGACTTACTGCCAGCGCACCCTTCGTGAGATCAAAATCCTATCAGCGTTTCGTCACGAAAACGTATGTCATGATGCTCCGGCCCACACACTCCCGACTCGGCCCGCTGCTCCTCTTTTGTCTTTTCCTTTTTTTGGTACTTGGTTTTCTGGTGTTCCTTTCCTATGACTTGTTCTCCACCTCTGTGCCTCACTGAGCCTGCTTTACGGCTCCAACACTCAAGACCAGGTTCAGACGCACTTGCCCTGCAAGCTTGCTCACCCGACTTGTCCCCCTCTCTTGTTCTGCGCAAACCACACGACTAGATTATTGACATTCGCGACATGATCTGCGCGCCACGCATCGAAGACATGACCGATGTGTACATTGTTCAGGGCCTAATGGAGACGGACCTTTTCAAGCTCCTCCGCTCCCAGCGTCTCAGCGGTGATCACATTTGCTACTTTACGTACCAAATTCTTCGTGGTCTCAAGTACATTCACAGTGCCAACGTGCTGCATCGTGATCTCAAGCCCAGCAACCTCCTGCTCAACTCGTGCTGTGATCTCCGCATTTGCGACTTTGGCCTCGCCCGCATTGCCGATCCCAATCACAACCATCAAGGCGTCCTCACCGAGTACGTCGCCACCCGGTGGTATCGTGCTCCGGAAATCATGCTCAATTCAAAGGTTGGTCATTGTTCAGCCCGCTCCTCATTGACCTCTCTGTATGTGCACATACGTGCGTATGTGCGTATGTGCGTTCGCGCATGCGCGTGTATTTGTCTTTTTGACCCGCCAGTCCTCACGATCTTTTTCCATTGTTCTTGTCCATTGGTAGGCGTATGACAAGGCCATTGACGTTTGGAGCACGGGCTGCATTCTGGCCGAGATGCTCGGTTCCCGCCCCCTTTTTCCTGGTCGCCACTATCTTGACCAACTGAACCGCATTCTCAGCGTTGTGGGTACCCCCTCAGAGAGCGACCTGGCCTGCATCCGCAACGAAAAGGCCCGTCGCTACGTACAGTCGCAACCTTTCTCTGACAAGGTGCAATTTAGCCAGCTGTTCCCCGGCGCCGACCCTCGCGCCCTGGACCTGCTTGATCGCATGCTCACCTTCAATCCAGACCGCCGCATCACCGTCGAGGAGGCCCTGGCCCATCCATTCCTCAGCCAGTACTACGACCCCACGGACGAGCCCGTGGCAGAAAAGCCCTTCCGCTTTGAGATGGAGCTCGATGACTTGCCCAAGGAGGAACTCAAGCGTATGATCTTTGATGAAGTGCAAAAGTTTCAGCTCTAAAAGCCGCGTATTTGTCATGTTTACACCCGAGAAGGGCTTGACGCTTCACCAAGAGGGGGCTGTTTCTTTTGAAAGCCGCGCTTGCTCCCCTTTTCCTACTGGAGGCACATTTTTCTGTTGTTGTTTTCGATTTTGGGTTTTATCTTCTGTCTTTGACCCTCTGCCGAGGTGCTTGCTGTGCCTTCAATCAGGCGGTTTGGAGTTTGGTGCTGGGCATCCTCCGACCTTCTGACGTGCACGTTTCCTCCTCCCTTCTTCCTCCTTGGTCATTTCTCGTGTGCTACGGGGGCTTTGGTTGTTGATCATTCTTGTCTGCCCCCTGATTGTCTTTAGTCTGTGCTTTGGGCTTTTTTCACTTGTCACTCCGCTTGTTGGCCCTTACCTGCTGTCATAAACCCTTTTAACTTTTTGTTGTTTATCGGATGGGCGCGAGCGCGTCATTATTCCTATCTGTCTTGTGTGTGCGTGCCCTGCGTGGGCTCCATTGTTTGTTGCCCTTGTTTGCCGTCGTGTTCGAGCTGAGCTGGGACGTCGCTGCTCCATCCATGCTTACTGAATTTATTGGCTGGTCAACCCACCAACAAAATAGAAAATCCCTCCCCATTTTCAATTCCTTTGACAAAGAATCACACCGTCTACTATTTTTAGACGCCCAAGTGTATTTTGCTTTGAAGCAAAATACCGGTGGACCACCATCCCACTACCGCCTTTTTCCTCTCTCTCTCTCTCTGTCTGTCTGTCTGTCTCTCTCTCTTTTTTTTTCTTTTTTTTTTATATTCAGGCACAACAATGGCGGCGGCAGCAGCTGGTACGTTGGGGGATATGGTAGACCGTGGGGCGTGTGGGCATGCACGTCGTTCAAAGGGGGTTAAACAAGTGCTGCAGAGCGAGTGCATGCGCTGGATGAGCAAGGGTGAAACATCTTGTGTATCAAGCTCTCCGGCTGCTCGGTATGTGCTGACGGGCGTGGGGTGGCTTTGACTTGCAGGTATCAAGGTCTCCCCCGAGGAGCTGCGGGAAAACAAGGTTTGTTGCTGCAGTGCTGCTTGCATCCTGGTGATCCTGTGGCCTCTCAGGTAGCTCCAGACTCAAGTCGCCAGACTGATGTGACACATGTCGTCCGTGGCTTCCTCTGCAGGTCCCCCTGGCCTTCCGCGATGCGTGCGCTGATTTCCTCATCTCGCTGAACAAGTGCCGGTACGAACCGGGCCTCTTCTGCACTGGCTCTCCAACTCCTGCTTGAGGCGCTCGCTCACATGATCTGCATGTCTTATCACGTGTTTCAGCACTGAAAACCGCTTCCTGCCCTGGAAGTGCGAGCACCAGATGCACGAGTACGAGGGCTGCCAATATGGCCAGTATGTCATTTCTTTCCTGCCCTGTACTTGGTCTTGGTGGGCACGCCTTATTATTCTGTTTTCTCGTCTCACGTGCACAATTCCCTGCCCCTTACTGCATTCAAAAGGTACTTGAAGCGCATGAAGGACTCGTCTGCTGCTGCCAAGCATTGAGTCGTGCCCCACGGCATGAATCACAGTCTGATTGTCTTTCTGAGGGGCGGCAATGTTCTCGGACGTTCTCGTCTGCCACGTCCGATGTCTCCATCCTTGTTTTCCTCGTCTTTTTTCCCCTCTTCGGGACAAGGGCTAGTTTCTGTTGTTTAGGTCTCCTGCCGTTGAGCCCTTCTTCCATCTTTCTCATCTCGGTCCGCCCGCTGCTTTGCTTGGATCTACCCCCATTTTTTTTCATCCTTGCTTTTTTTTTTACTGCTTGCCTTTGGAGGGGTGCTCGCCCCAAAACTGTCCACGACAGACGGCAACCATCATCATGTCTCCTGCCAATCCGCGGGCCTGTGTTCACGACCTTCTCGGGCGTGTAGGATAATTGCAGTGGCAAACATCTATCCACATGGTTCGGTTCAAGGATTTTGCTGCCAGACGCAACATTCAAGGACATGAGGGAGTTTTCTTTTTCCTTTTTTAGATTTATCACTTGGACTCGAAAGGCCCAACAAATCACTCAACACCACGTCCACAAAAGGGTCAGAAATAAACATCAGATCATGAAAGGACACCAATGCAAAGCAAGGCAAATTAAAACAAGCAAACAAACAAGAAGAAAAAAAAAAGAGGCACACACGCCAAGCCTGTATTCGGCCAGCCACGTTTCGGTGAACACGAGCTGTGAGCCGATACAGCAAGTTTCGGTCAAGACGACACGCCTGTTTGACCGAGAACCGATGAAAAAACGAAACAAAAAACGCAACCAAACTAATAAAGCAACATCACCACCTAACACATGTCTGCCTCGAATGTAGAATAGCCCATCCTACAGAGCACTAACGCTGGCTTCAGCGTGGGTAAAGTTGTACACGGGAGCAGCAGTTAAGCATATGGCATGCCCCTCATATCAGCACAAACGGAAAACTTGGGACACCGCAGGTGTCGCTGAGGGCAGGCTCTGTTACGAGTTGCTGCGGTTGTCATTGGTGTCATCGGCGCCCAGATCATAGGCAACGGCTTCGTCCTGAAAGCTCGGATTGATCACCAAGCTCGCTGGCGCAGGTTTTGCGGGCATGCCCGTCAAGAGATTGTAGCCCGTATCGCTGGCAGCACCACTATCATGTGTGGGAAGCGGTTTCGTGGCTGTGGCTGGCTCCTCATCATCACCGGCCAGGTCATAGTACTCATCGGGTCGTGTCTCGACCACACTGTTACGGAAGCGGCTGTAGCCTGAGTCTGCATCGGCCAGCTTGCTGGGCTCAAAGAGGCCTTCGTTGTCATACACGTCATCATCATCCTGCATCAGACCGCCGGGATTGCGCAACGCACATGAGGAGTAGAAATACGCGGTTCACCCGCCCAATGGGGAAGGTCGACAAGGAAATGCACCAGGGAGAAGAGATACAAACGAAAGGAGTCGACAGAAGAAACCGAAGCAGGAAGGAAAAAGACAAAAAAAAAAAAAAAAAAAAAAAAAAAAAAAGAGCCCCAGCAATCACAAGCGCAGGCAGCTTCGTGTTCGCACCTCAAAGCGCGGCTTCCAGCCAGCATTTTGATCACGGAACTGGTCAGCCGTCTTTCTGGCCAAGGGTGCGATGGACTTTAGCAGCGCTGCAAATGTTGGTCGTTCCTGTGGAGCATGCGTCCGCACTTTTATCATGAGAAAGGGTCAAAGTTCACATGGCGACGGCAAGGGTTGGCGTGCGACAGTGGTGTAGCACCACATACCCGAGGATTTTCTTTCCAGCAGTGCACCATGATGCCGTACATGAGTTTGCTGCACAGAAAGGGTTTGGCCAAGCGGTGGCCCTTCACTAATTCGTCGTAGATGCTAGCGTTGGCAATGCCTGGGTATGGGCCCTGCCCAAAAGTAAAAATCTCCCAGCATGTGATGCCAAAAGCCCTGGAAAGCACACTCACAGCAATGAGATTCAGCCTTGCTATGCGGCGCCTTGTGAGTGATGCATCCCGCCCGTCCTCCGGCCGAGTAGCACACGGAACTGGCAGCAAACGACCGTTGATGCGCTACTCACCAGACGTCAGATGCTTCAGAGAACACTCGGTCCCGCAGGCTTTCAATGGCCAGCCACTAAACGAGCCGGCAGAGGCAATGCAATGAGACATATGTCTTAGCACGACAATCATTTTGCCAAAGATGAAGACAGACCTTGAACGGCACTGCGCCATCCGAGGTTTTCTAGGCAAGTGAACAAGAACAAGCGTACGGCATCGAGTGACAGTGAGAAGACCAAACCAGGCAGTACCCAGCCACGTGAACCTTCACGGCTACGTGTCACGCTCAAGAAAACTAATTGCAGATCGAAGCTGCCGATGTGGCGCACCGTGTAATTGTCATCATCGCCCGCGGTGCGAGCAAGACTACAAGTGGACAAGAAAAACAATGAGCACCCGTGCGTGAAATGGCGTCTCCAAGTGGCGTGACGTGCACGGTTATGACGAGAACCAACCCGAAATCGGCGATTTTGAGAGTGTAGCCGTCAATTTCCGTGCGCCCTTTGCTTTGAACGAGGACATTGCGCGCCGCCAAATCACGATGGATAATCTATGACAAATAGAGGAACAAAAGAATAAGTTGGGGCGCTGAGCAGATGTTGGTTCTTTGCATGCTGCTCAGGTCCAACTGGCATGCACTTCAACGAGCGAACAAACCTTGTGGCCGGCGAGAAACTCCATGCCTGCGGCAATCTGAGCAGCAAAATCGAAAAAGTCGCTTCGGGTCAGCAGGGCTGCACGCGCATCGGTGGCTCGACAATCCCGCAAAAAATGCATCAGGTCGCCCTTGTCCGCAAACTCGAGAATCATCAACACAGGTTGCTCTCGGCGACAGGCACCCAGCAGACTCAGCACGTTTCGGTGACGCCCAAGATCCATCATCAGCTCCATCTCGTCGAAAAATTCCGTCACTTCACGTGAGCCAACCTCGACATCCCGTTTGAGCTGCTTCACGGCCACGTCCCGTGCCCCAGCATTGCTGGTAATTGAAGGGCGCAGCAAGCCACGCGATACAATACCAAAGAAGCCACCGCCCAGTTTCGTACCAACTGGCAAAGAGACGGAGGGAAGAAAAAAAAAAAAAAAGTCATCAAGAAAAGCACGTCATGTCATGAGGATGCGCGCTCAGTGCAACATGTTCAATCGCCCACAAAAATGCACAGCCCCTTCCTTGCTGACCAAAAAAAAAAAAAAAAAAAAAAAAAAAAAAAGCAGAACAATGCCAGAGGATCTAGGGCCTTTGTGCACTGGCAGACAACGACGCTCCTCAGAACCGTCCGAATGTGTGCATGCAGAAGATTTTTTCTCACGTACCGACGACGCGTGAACGGTGAATCTCCCATTCATCACCTCCAGTGTCCTCAATGAGGGATTTCATCTTCTCTGACAGTTTATTACGACGACGACGGAGGGCCAAGAACACAAGGAAAGCAGTCAGGAGCACAACGACGGCCAAGCCCGCACCAACAGGCGCGGCAATTGTTTGGACGCGGCTTGTGCTTGTGCTTGTCAAGGGGCACACGTCGTCCTCGTAAGCTGTGTCGCATGTCTGCCCACAAAAATTGTCGGCACAATCACAGCTAAACGAGGTGGCCGTAACTTTGACGCAAGTGCCTCCATTGCTGCAGGGGTTTTCCACGCAAGGGTCTCGTTCGATGCAGATCGTGTCCACTTCGCCAAGACACGACTGCGGGTCGGCAAGCTCCGTCGCCACATCACACGTGCGGCACGTTTCGCACACGCGATCCTGCAACAGGCCGCGGGATAAGATGACAGCAATACAAGGGAAGCAAGACAAATGATGCCTTTGCAGACGCAACGACAGATCAAGCTGTTCATTCATACCGAGGTGGGAGTGCCAGGTGTAGCAATGAATTCAACGCCCACTTGGCACGAAGTGTACGTGCGACACTCGCGATTGGACGTCGGGGTTGGCGCCTGAGACATGTATGTTGTGTTGGTACAGCTTGTGTACGGTTGACACGCAAGTTGATCCAAATCATAGAAGTTGCCGGCAAAACAGGCCCTAATGGTCAAAGTACAACGCATCGCGCAATCCACCAGTGAGCGCAGAGCACCGCAGACAGAGAGGCAGGTGTGAGTATGCCGCAGAAACAAGGCCAAAAAAGGTGCAAAAAGGAAGGCTCATCAAGTTGACGCACTCGCATGTGCCATCGATCGCACAAATCTTGCAGCGGAGGTCACGGCATCGGTCACAGGAGCCAGCCACGGAATTGAGAAAGTAGCCGTCGGGACACTCGGTCACGCAAGTATCTGCCACGCCAGGCATCTTCACAGCACCTGGCGCGCAGGTTGGACACGAGCTGTTGGTGCCATCTCGGCAAGTGGTACACTATGCCCAGGACAAGATAAGAAAGTGAAAGAGGTGGCGTCGCGGTGCTTGTGAACAGGCAAGAATGGCCGCAAGACAAACAACAAACCAGAGGGGAACAATCGTGGCAGACGTTCAAGTCTGAGTATTGACGTGAGGGGCAGTTGACGATGCATTCATCCTCACTAAGGCTTAAAGAGCCAGTACAGCTGGTGCATTGATCCTCGCCAGGCCCACTGCACGTGGCGCACGTCGCGTAACAGGCAGCGCATAACCAGTCGTCTTCTGGGTAGTAGCCCTCATCGCATGCAGCAACGCAGCGACCCTCCTGCAGGCGCTGACCCGACGGGCAGCGCTGGCATGCATCTGGGTCACTAGACCAGCACGGTCGAGTGGCGCACTGTGCATCGCATGTCGTCAGACCTGGATACCCAGATTGCAAAGCACAAGTGCGAGGCGTCAATCACGGGGAAAAAAGTGGCATTTTGTGAGAAGACAAAGATGCGGCGGCAGAGCTGACGACAGGCAGGCAGGCAGGCAGGGTGACACGTACGGCACTTGTAAATGTTTTCACCAAAATACAGCATATCATAGAGAAAGTTGTAGCGGGGCGACGGGACGTTTGGGGCCGGCAGTTGAGAGGAAAGACGCTCATCCTCGTCGTAGATGGGTGGGTAGGGGTATGTGCGAAGTGTAACGCTCTGCACGCGCGTCTCGTAGGAGAATGTGGCGTCAAACTCGCTGCCTGCGGTGAGCAGGTCAGTCCACTTGAGCTCGCTCGTGAAGCAGAGATAGTAGTTGTCTCGCAGCTACGAGGTGGGTTGAGGACATGGGTGAGGAATTCCATGCACAAGCAAGCAGCACGGGAGGCGAGGCCATGGTAGCTGAGGCTTGGTGGGACAGACCAGGACATGGCCTTGGACGGAGCGTAGATTGTTGAGGCCCAGCGATGCAAGAACTGGGTTTTGTGTCACGTTGAGCGCCACCGAGGTTGGCGTTGCCTATTGAAAAAAAGGGCGTAAGCGCTTCGAGTCCGACGAGGCGCGGGAGAAAGAGGCGAAAAGCAGTAAATATGGAAACATACAGCCCGCAAGTCAATGAGGCCCTTGAAAAAGTCGAGGTTTACGAATAGTGTCTCAGTTGCCGTGATGGCACCCTTGATACGCTGAATGCGCTGCAAGGCAGGCAGGAGACGAGAACCGGAAAGACCAAACTGAACGTCGCTCATGGATACATCCATCAGCAAGGTGTCACAGTCCTGGTCAGCCACGGCCGCCACCTGGCACTCGCGAGCCAAAGGTGCTTGAATGCCAGTGCAGGCTGCAATGCCATTAAAACAGATGCTCTGGTGAGATAAGCTCTCGATTGGGTGGTGGGCGGATAGATGGCAACTCTTTGAGGGTGAGGCCAAAGACAAGAGGGCCCGGCAGGCTGCCAACCTCGCTGTCCCGTGGCGTTGGCAGGTTGATCATTGCAGAGTCCGATACTTGCAGGGCCACCAGGGCAGGCGAGCACGCATTCACGACGTTCAGCAATCGTGGCCGCAAAAAGGCCGGGCGGGCAGCTGGCCACGCACTCCACGGGGTCATGGATGGCGGCTGTGACCGTGGAAAGGTCGGGCACCACACCGAAGCAAGTCTCAGGAGTAGATTCCATGAACCCAACTCGAGAAAGCGTGCCGGGGCAACTGCTCACACAAACGCCCTGACTAGACATGACCAGGCCCTCGGCGCACGCCAAACACTGCCCGTTGGCGAGACAACCACCAAGGCAGCTCGAGTCACAGCACGTGGTGGCATCATTAACGGCGACGCCCACACGGCCGCATGCAGGGAATACTGTTGTAAGGCAAGTTTGAGAAGGCATGGGTCAGTTCATGAGCTTGAGCTGGCTTGCATAATTACCCGCAAGTTTGAGCACAAAGTCAAGCGCGGAACGGGCTTGAACGGCGGTCAAAATCAAGCTTCTTTCAGAGCGCACCGTTGGTCTGGCAGGCACTGTCGTCCGAGGCAAGCCAGCAGGTCCCGTTGCAAGAGACCGCACATGCACCGGTGCAACTGGTGTTGACGCGCACGTCTAGCGGGGTGCACATGGCAACATGCAGCGCGTAAGCCGACCTTGGGTCCAGACTCAAGCTCGAGAGCGCACATTAAACCTGATACATAGGGCAACGCCACAAACCAAATCGCAAGTCGAAGAAGGCATTGCGTGTGACGAGGGTGGGTGCTGTTTCGTTGTCCACCTGCGCGCTGCCGGAATGGGGTGCAAGGATGGAGAGCCAGTCGATTCCAGCCTGCGAAGCATCGTCACAAGGCGCGGGTCGGTGGGCGTTAGAGTATTGCGTGCCGAACAATAGGGAATGACAACCCAAGGCCAGATTCCAGAAGAACATACGGTTGAGGGGGCAGGGCGGAAAGCTGCGCCACACACGAGCACATCACCATCGGCCACACCGCTGCGAGCCTTGATGAGGACGCCACCACGTAAAATCTGACGTGGATAAGGACAATCAAGACGGGAGGAACCAGCTGCTGTGAATCAAGATGTCTGGCTGGGGGCTTTACGTCAAGCTGGGCGGAAAACGGTCGTCAAGTCTGTAGGATGAACATACCGCGGCAAGCTTGAGGTGACCGAGAGCGACCATGTTTGTTCCGGTTTCAACAAGCAGGGCGACGGGCTGGGTTTCACCGGTCGGGGTCACGAGCTGGCGGCCGCGGATCACTCGAACGTTGGCTAAAAGTTCAAGATTGGTCAGGAGATCACCCGCATCAATGACGGAGACATAGCCGCGGATGTCCGTAAGGGGTGCCAGCACGGCCGTTGCTGCGGCGAGCCAGTTGGCATCGGTGCCCGTCGTATCAATTGTCAACGAGCCCTGGAGAACGCTGGTCCCACTCAACGTGAGCTCCAGTGAAACCAGGTCTGTGGTCGCGTCGAGCGTCAAATCATCTCGCAGCACTAGTGCTGTAAAGGTGTGCCACGACGAGGTCAATCAGGGAGAGCGAGGCAGGTCGTCCAGGACGATGCCTGCAAGGAAACACGGCAACACGCAATGGGATCTGCCGAACCTTACCTTGAACGCGTACTTGAGACAACAGCACCAATAGCAGGAGAAAGTGCACCTCGAGGCGAGGTAAGCACGCTCTCGGACCCATCATGATGGGGCACGATGCGTGCCTCGTCACCCCGCCAAGACAAGAGCAGGCTGTGGTCACGTGTCGAACACTCGGATTCGGCAGCGCTTGATGACTCTCTGACGAAGCGGAAGGAAATATCGGGCAGGAGTCGCCAGGAAATCAACAGGTTAGAAACGAGCGAGTGACATGCTTCCCTTTCTTCCCCCACAAGACCGCCAAGCCGCGCAGCAGAGCGGGAGGCCAAACAGTCATGCATTTGGGCATGAGCACCCCGGAGGGGCGGACCACACACACACACACACACACACACACACCTTGATTTGCTTTCTGTTGCTTCTTGTCCAAATGGATTCAAGAGAGAGAGAGAGAGAGAGAGAGAGAGAGAGAGAGAGAGAGAGAGAGAGAGAGAGAGAGAGAGAGAGAGAGAGAGAGAGATTTAGAGAGAGATAAACACAGAGGAATCGCAAGAGAGAGAAAGTAGGCGGGCAGTTATTGTCAGACGTTTCGGGATGGCGCTGGCGGTGGTGGTGGTTGGGTTGCTGTTGATGTCGACGGGTGGGGCGGGGGCGACATGGAGCTCTCAAGATACGCCAGTGCCGTTGTTCAGTCAGCTGCTTCTTGATTTCACGCTGGATTCCACTGCGGAGCACGGCTGGCAGTTGGCCGTCAACCGATCATTTGTGGCGGGGGATGCACGTGCACCGGCCAACTATACTTGTGCATCGGACGTGCGCAGCTCCACCGCCGTGCTCAGCCGCATTTGGCCCTACAATGTGTACGCAGGGCTCGAATACAACGTGTCAGGGAGATACGATTGTCATGGCTTGTCGGTACAGACACTGCTGGATGGCGGCTGGCAGGTCACCTGGAGCTTGAGCACGCCACTCCTCACGAGCCAGGCGTCACTGTCGTTGAATGAGGTGCACACGCTGACGCTGGGGGCAACGCAAGCTCCTCGCAATTACACGGTGCGCGTGGCAGGCGACCCACGTCAGCTGGTTTGGGTACACTGGCTAGCTGGCCCCGGTTCGGCTGACTTCCAGCGCGAGCCCGAGATCGCCCCATACAAGCGGGCGACACCACTGGACCCTCCTGCCCCAAGATTCGCGCAAGAACCACAAACAAGCAGCTCTTTCGTCAATTATATTATTGGCAACAATTGGAGTCTGGCATCGCCCGTCTTCCAGGAAGCCGTGACAGCCATCACGCTGCAGGGGCTTGTCAACCGAGCAGGGCCTCGCCTCTACATTACCTATCCCGAATGTACGTCAGTCACAGCGCTCTTTGCTCATGTCCAGTTGTGGTCACCTGCACTTCTCATCTAACGGCCTAACGGCTGGCGTACGGACTCGATTTGCATGCGACGTGGTATCTGCTAACAGCATGGGACTACACCTATACGGGTCATGTCCGCCAGCAAGTGGCCAGACTGCATGGGCTCACAACGATCAACTGCACGTCCCTTGATTGTCTGTGGCAGCAGCTCGGCGCACTCCTCGAAAAACCAGCCTATGTGCTGTACGACCCAAGTCTGCGGTCGTCATTGGTCGTCGCACTTACGGCAGCTGGCTTACGCGATGCCGTTGTTGCCGCGCCGGCGCAAGCGAATGCACTGCAGGAGCGTGGATTTGTGCTCGCGGAGGACTTGAGCCAACGCTACCGCAACCAGACGGATGATGTCATCTTCCGCGATGCCCGCGATCGCTACTTGGCTGCTTGCAACGGAAGCTTGATAGTTTGGATGGGTGGAGCCTGCGGAGCCAACATGCAGCCTGGGATCGCAGACTATGGCGTGGCACGAAAAGCCTTTTTTGTGGATCTCAATACGGATCCCAACGCTACCCTGAGCGTGGGTAATGGCACTGCTGAATACGCCCTGGCAGATGAGATCGTCGCCACCTTGTCCCAGCGCAGCGACCAAGACTTTTTGCTACAAGGTATCCCCACCCATGAGCATACACACCTGGAGTTTGTTGCTGAGGCGCTGATCTTTGCTTGTGCCACGCGCTAGGTTGGCATTCATACTGCAAGGATGAAGAGCACACTTTTACCACGCTAGCAAGCCGACACGGCGGCTGCGTGCACGGCCTCAACACCAATCCTAACCTGAGCTTTCTCAGTGCGCTCGACGTGACTCCAGGTCGGGTCTGCCTTGTTTCCACGTTTTTCTTTCTTTTAACAATTGTTTGGCCCATCAAATTCCAAGCCATGCACAACTCTTCATTCCACTCAACGCGGTCTGGCGGCTAGGATTCAAGTTTCGCAACAACCCAGCCCCCCGCATCAATGCGACCATCACAGATAAAGTGGTGGTTGCCTTTGTGCAGACAGATGGACTTGGGCTGGGTGCATGGAATGGTGCCGCACGCGGCCAAGTGCCGTACACTTGGGAAGTCACGCTTCCCGATTTGTGGATTCAGCCCGCGTTGCTGGAGATCTTTTACCGCGAAGCTACGGCGCTCGACTATTTTGTCGCTGCTCTAGGTGGACCTGGGTACATGTGCGTCTGCTCCCGCATACTTGCTGCCCCCCTGGGGAGAACACGCAGCTGTGTTGCTGACCGGTGTTTTAGATCCAAACCTTTGATGCGGAGTTATTCGTCACTCATACCTTGGATCGCTTTGCTCAGGTACTCGAATGCTGTGCCGCCCGCCCAACGCCAGCGTTTGCTCCACAAGGCGCAGCAAGCCATGTTGCAGCTGGACTTACACGAGATGGTGACGTTTGACGCATCGCGAGCAGAGGGCCAGCACACGGTAACGGGCAACACGAACCTCAGCCCCAGCGCGGTGGCAGCGTACTTTGAGGACATGAATGAGACGCGCTTTTGGTTCAATGGCTATGCGCCCACCTTCACAGCGGCCCGAGACGAGTCAGGAACCACGGCGCGCTCCCTACTCTCCTTTGAATACTACCTTGATCCAAGCCGCAGCGTTTCCGATGTCCTGACTGACCTGGAACTATTGGCTCAGGTGAGAACTGTTATATCAAGCTTGCTTGGGGGCTCACACTCTGCATATCTTGCACCAACCTTGACTCTCATTCTCGCCTTGAACCTTGCCTCTGCAAAGCTGAATGCCCAACGCCCTTACTTCTTGGCTGTGCATGTCCGTGAGTTTGCAAGTCAAAGCACGGTGCGTTGGATCTGAAGGGAGATGTCATGTTGTTACGAATTGTCAGTGTGCTTGAAAGCTCAACCGGTTCGTTCTCAATTGGCGTGACCTGTGACCTCATTCGTGGTCTGGGCTACTACCTCGAGGTCCGAGTAGGTCGTTGAGCTGGTGGAGAAGCTGCCGCGTGACTTTTTGGTGACGGCAGCAGATCAGTTTGCCCAGCTGGCTAACGCGCATGGCACATTTAGAACGCGGTACGCATGATGTGCACACGTTAAGTCCAATACTGCTGCCCGCCCTTGGGCTCTGAAATCGGGTGGCGAGTAGTTGGAAAATTTGAACTCTGCCGTGAAGTGAGTGTTGCCACCCCAGACGAGCGGTCACTGCCCGATGGGATCCGCATCGAAACCCCATCCCCCAACCAAGCTGGCTCGAGCACACACGCCCAGGAGGGCAACGATCAACACAACATAATAATAAGAACTGCTCCACTGGACCATGGTACCAGTTGCTCCCAGATTAGAATGTTATGAGCCACGCCCAGAATGAGAGATCCGATTGCCACCATGAAAAAATATAGCCGCACCGCTAGATGCACTGCTGTAGTCAAAACGCTATAAAAAACAACAACAACATCAACAAAGTCTCGACAGCAGTCCCTAGCGCTGAGCAGGCTCAAGATAGGTCATGTCCAGCGCGTCAAAGACATCCTTTTCACTGGAAACGGGCAGAGGGCGACCGGGCTTGTCGTCCTCACTCATGGGTCTGGCAGAAATAAGCATCCATTCAAACATGCGTGTGAAACCCGGTGTGTGAGTCAAACGCAAACCCGAGGCCATCAACCAACCGGAGAGAGTATTCACTTAGACGGAAGCCCAAGTCAATTGCCTTGCGGCGCATTGTCTTGTTCGTCTCATCGCTCCCGGTAAAGTAGAGTAGTGCAAGCGGGTACTAGAGACACGTGCGTTCCAAGATCGTAGCAAGGCATGAGGGATGGGGCAGCGCGGTAATCAATGCTTGAGCAATCCTCATGCGGAATGCAAGAGAAGAAGGAAGAAGGGAGGTAGGCGGTAGAGGGTTAGCCAGCGAACGGAGAGCTGCGCAGTCTGAGGGGCAACCGCCGGGGCAAGCCAAACCTGGTCGACGGGCCACAATCGCATATCGATGCGGCGAAAACGTCGAGGTGGGGCAAGTCCAGCCTCGGAAAACTGGGTTTCCGGCAGTCTTGCCACGCCCATAAACTGCCAAAAATTCCAACATATTATTAAAATGAATGCAGTCAGAGTCGAAAAGGGCTGGTGTCTACGGTGCTCTTCGGCTGGTGCTAGAGCAGGTGACAGCACCTTGCTTTCGCCCAAGCTGAGCACATCAGTGACGAGGCCAACTTTTTTGAGATGGCTGATAACGCGGTCCAGCAATTTATCAAAGGGTGGGTCCAGCTTTTTCTTAGTTTTGCCAAGTGCCTCGCCATCACCTGTCGACTTAAAGCTACAGTCATAGTGGTTATTGGCTTAAGAACATGGCATGTCAACCCAAAATAGAACAAGGCCCAAGAAAGAAGATTGCGAGTACCAACTCGGGATGGGTGAGCAATATGTCAATGTCACCGGACGTGGCTGCACCGCGTCGAAAGCTGCCGCACACCTGTCAAAAGGGAAAACATATCCACATGGCAACGTCAACTTGAAGCGTGCGAGACCTTCCATTGTCGTCCATTCTCAGCAGATTGTCCTCAAGGGTCGCTGCCTCCTGGACTAACCTGGCCCTCCAGTCGATCATCAACCTCCCGAAGTTCTGCAAAGACCTGACATGCCGTCCAATATGAGAGACAGGGAGAAAACGTCATCCACAGACACAGAGACATAGACACAGACACAGACATAGACACAGACACAGACACAGACACAGACACAGATACAGATACAGACACAGACACAGACACAGACACAGACACAGACACAGACACAGACACAGACACAGACACAGACACACAGACACAGACACACACACACAGACACACACACATGTGTCAGTAAAGACAGAAGCCACGAGATGCGCATGTGTGGGAAAATGCTGGCGCTTACAGCTTGGCGCAGGGCCTCCACTTCAGCACGGGGGATGCGCTCGTTAAAGTCCGCAAAGTGCTTCAGACCGATTTTTTGCGCATTGCTGAGGCCGTCCTCTTGTTTCAAGGCCTCTAGGGTCGTAATGCCCTGGCCAGTAGGTGGTAGCAGCAAGTTTTTGCAAGTCAGGCATGCAGCGCGAGTTGCAATGACCATTCTGCACACCCAAAGCTGCAAGGGTCTTGGTCCATACCTTTTGTACATAGTTTTGGGCAGCGGCAGGACCAAAGCCGACCACGGAGGCAATTCTAGCCAAAAAAAAAAAAAAAAATGACAACAGTGAGAGCAGCTCAGGACCAGACAGGGCATGTCTCTGATATACACGGTGCATACAGCTGGATGGCCGCGGCTTCGGGGTTGGCATTGATCTTGTCGAGTTTCTTGAGGCCGCCAGTTGTCAGGAATTCTTCAATCTTCTCGCCAATCTTCTTGCCCACTCCGTCCAAGCGCTGTGCGTCTTTACCGCTTCGAAGCCTTCCAAGGGATCAGGGATCAATGACGTTCAGGCTTGGTAGCGAGGGTCCAGACAAGGCATGTGCGCGGTAGCGGGCGACTGACGGTAGAGAATGGGCTGCAATGCTTCGCGCAGCTTTGCGGTATGCGTTGTATTTGTGAATGTTTCGCGAAACGTTGCGCTCGTAGTCAGCCAGTTGGTTTAAAAAATCACAAATCTCTGCATTGGCGTTGCCCTTGGCATTCTCTAAGATTCGCCCCAATCACAACAGATCCGTGGTGAGGGCGCGGGAGTGAGTGCTGCCACACAAGCATGCGTTGGCATACGCCGGTCACCTACTGGCTGCCGTCACGGCTTCTGCAGGCTGCTTTCGTTTGGCCGTGACCGTGGTGGTGGTCCGAGTGGCCATGTTCGCGGGTAAGCAGCCACCAAGCCTTGGCGCTGCAGGAGATAACCACCGCTCGCCCGACCGGAACCTCCGAATGGCTCCGTGATGCTTGAGCAGCCACAGGCGCATCTAGTCATCGACAACAGGCTGAGAAACGTGTTCGCTGGGCATACAAACTGTGACAGGGCAAAACATTGCATGAGAACCGCCCGTCCACAATCATCCTACATCACCCTCTTACCTGACACGACGCAACAGATGACCACACGAGCAAATGCCTCGATCCCTCCGCGCGACCCTCAAAAGCCAAGTCCCCATTCAAAACATCCCGTAAAAAACAAGCGACGCCAATTTTGGCCTCCGAATCAGCCTCGCTGATATTCTGACAACCTGACATTCTGACATTCTGACATTGGCAGGTGAGGAGGTGACGTGCAGCCACACACTCACAAGTCTATATTTAGATACTGGCAAGCTGTCAGCAGTGTGTGTGTGTGTTGGCATTGTCCGGAGGAGCTGTACGTACGTTTGCACGTTGGTGGTACTTGAAACATCATCATTTGGGCGTGGGCTGCACTTTGGGTTGCACTCCTTTGACTTGTCTGGGTTTCATCTGGTTGGCGGGTGCTTGGCGGGATCGTTGTGCACGTTGTGCACGTTGTGCATGTGCTTGACTTTGGAGGGGCCGACTGTCCCTTGCAGGTTCGAGTCCTCGGATGTTGAGCGTCATTTTCCAGCTTGGTGCTCCTCTGGACAGTTGAGAATCAAGCACGTGCAGTTATGGCTGAGGCCAGTACCACCGTCGTCGATGTTGACGACTGGCTCTCCAGCGCTGGCAGCCACCATCCCACAACGTCCACCTCCCAGCCCAATGAGGCAAAGCAGATTGATGCTCAGGATGCTGATGCCGACGCGCCGACCGCCCCACCTCAAGCTGTCCCATATCTGACCCTGTTCCGATACACGACATTTGGCGAGCGATGCCTGCTTGTCTTGGCCGCCGTTATGGCCTTGGTCCGTATGGCATATGTGTGCCGCCGCATACGTTGGCTGTGGTGGCAATGCGGACAAGGCCTCACCTTGAAACAACTTGTCGTCGCATAGGCACAAGGAGCTGGCTGGCCCCTCTGGGCAGTGTGGTTTGGGGAAGCGCTGGGCGAATTTGACCCCGACGGTGAGGGCCTCTGGCGACTGTTGACCTGTTCCACTCCTCAAGACATCCACTCGCTCAGTTAGCCTCACGCTATTGGCATCCGGCAAATCTCGTAGATCTGGCTTCTGTGGTCGATAATGTCATTGACCTGTCCCTCTTTTTCCTGTACTCGGGTCTTGGCGTTGCGGCCGTGGCCATGATCCACACTTACATCTTCTCACGAATCGGGAGCCACCATGTCAATCGCATTCGCACCGAGTATCTGCGAGCTCTGCTCCGCCAAGAGATGGGCTGGCACGACGCGCACCCGGCCGCCAGTCTCAACGTGGCCTTTAATAATGGCATGCCCCTCATCGAAGAGGCCATGGTTCTCAAGGTGTGTAGATGCTCCTTCCTGGACGCCCCACACCCCCCGTCTTCTCCGTCTCAACGGTGTCTCTCAAAATCCTGCACGATGCACGCATACTAACCCTTTTTGTTGCATATCTCAGGTTGGAGATACAATCTGCCAGATATCTCAAGGCTTTTGGGGCATCGGGTTTGCCTTTGCCTACTCCTGGAAGCTGACCTTGGTCTTTATTGCCTTTAGTCCAGTCCTTCTAGCTGCCATGGGTGAGTGTGCCTCGGTCCTTTGTTAGCCCTTTGACAACACCGCTTTGCTTGCTGATAACGTTGGGTTGCTAGGCATCTTTGCCACCCAGTTGCAGAATCTCGAGGCCACCCAACGCGCCGTGTACCAGAAAGCAGGCATCGTGGCAGACGAGGCAAGCTCAGCTTCAGCGAGCCCCGAATGCCCGATCATACCAGATCTACCTGTCAAGCTCTCACAGCCCTGGTTATAGATACTCTCCTTGATTCGCACCGTGATGACATTTGGAACATATCAACGCGAAGAGGAGCGCTACAACTTGGAAATCAAGCAAGCCTTGGCGCGGGGTATGTGAACGCATTGTGGACGATGTCATGGTCTGCGTGCGCCCGCATCTCATGCATGTCGGTCTTGTCGGGCGTTGTGGCGCCAGGCAAGCGCATTGGCATTCAATTGGGCTTCGCCATGGGCCTGCCAGACGGTGCCATCTTCACAATGTAAGGAAGTCGCTTCGACATGGCCACCGTGCGTGTGTAGTAAGCGCTCGATGTCATCCCACGTTGTACAGGTTTGCCATTGCCTTTGGTTACGGGGCCCACTTGGCGCGTGAGGGCGATATCGAGGGTCAAGACATCATCACCGTGCTCTTCACCACCATGGTAAGCCCAACTGCCGCGTTCCTGCCCGAGTCGTTGGTTAGGGGAATGGTTGGAATTGCCCTTGACGAACCTCTGGCAATTCAATGCGCCACTCCCCACATGCTCGCTGCCGAACACATGCTCGCTGCCGAACCAACACCAGATGGGATTGCTGGGCTGGGGACAAGCCATCAGCCACTTGCAGCGCCTGGTTCTGGGCAAGGTGGCTGCCTTTCCGCTATTTGAAACCATTGACCGTGAGCCGGAGATCGATGGGCTGTCAAGCCAAGGCCAGTCCCCCACCGAGCTGAAGGGAAACATCGCCTTTGACAACGTGCACTTTTCGTACCCGACCGCACCCACTGAGACCGTGCTCCGCGGTAGGATGCTGACCCAAAGTCACACATACTCCCTCATAATGGCGACGTCCCGTGCCGCCAAATTCACGTGAGCGATGCCTGCTTTGTCATTGCACCAAAGGCGTCTCGTTTGCCGCGCAGCGCGGTGAAACCGTGGCCTTGGTCGGACCGAGCGGCAGTGGAAAATCAACCATCGTTAGCCTGGTCGAGCGGTAAGTCTTTTTGCCATTGAACGTGCACCTCATCGGCTTGGCCTGACCATTGTGGATGCTCGGTTCCGAATCGCAGTTTCTATGACCCCCAGGGGGGGCAAATTACCATTGACGGCATGCCTTTGAAAGATCTGAGCCTAGCCTGGCTCCGTGCCAATGTGGGGCTGGTGACGCAACGTCCCGTTTTATTTCCAGGCACCATTCGGGAGAACATTGCCCTTGGCAAGGATGGTGCCACCACGGCGGAAATCGAAGCAGCCGCCAAATTGGCCAATGCTCACGAATTTGTGTCTCAATTCCCGCTCGGATATGATACGCCCGTTGGTGACGGCGGCGGGCAGTTGAGTGGTGGCCAGCGGCAGCGCATCTCGATCGCTCGTGTACTCCTCTCCGATCCAAAAGTTCTGCTCCTCGACGAAAGCACATCAGCCCTGGACAACCACGCCGAAAAAGCGGTGCAAACCGCGCTTGACACGGCTAGCAAAGGCCGTACTACCTTGTACGTTCGTGCTTGGTCAATACCTCTCGAATTCATGACCCTGCCCGCCTTGGCCAGAGACTGGATCTCGCGTCTCCTGACTTTTGCTTTGCATGGCCGGCTGCTGGCGCGTTTGTGTCGCGCTTGGGTGCCATGTAGGGTAATTGCACATCGATTGTCAACGATTCGGTCTGCCAACCGCATTGTCGTCTTGCAGGCGGGCCAGGTGGTCGAATCAGGTAGTCACGCCGAGCTTGTCAAGCTCGGGGGCGTCTACGCGGGCATGGTGTCGCGTGGACAAGATTTGGAAGAGGCTGGTGCATCAGCCGGTGAATCCACCACCGACGATCAAGCGGTGGCATTGGACAAGAGTGAGGGTGCGTTGTGCCTGGACTTGACCCATTGTGCTTACGGTTCCTGCTGCGACAAAGCGCTTCGCAAAGCTCATGCTTGGTGGGTGTGAATCCATTGAGTACAGAAACAGGCCATGACGAGAATAAGGGTGACGACGACAAGGCTGATGACGAGCATGGTGCCTTGCAAAAAGTCAACATTACGGGCTGGGCCTTTGCTCTCGCTCGCTCCGACTGGGCCGTACTGCTGCTGGCTTTGCTGGGCTCTATCGCTGCCGGCGCTATGTTTCCCATCTGGGCTGTTTTGCTCGCCGAAGTCAGTGCACAAGCACGCACTGGGCCGGCGCTCGGCCCAGCCATCCTCAACCTGAAAACTTTGTCGTGGTGGACTCATTTTTTAATATTTTTTATTTATTTTGATTCATGCGGATTATTATTATCATCGTAGAGTATCAACGAGGTTATTGGCCGGAATCGTGTGGATGTGATTCGCGATTGGTCCTTGCTTTTTGCTGGCCTCGCCGTCCTCAACCTTCTGGTATGTCCTCTTACAGCAGAGTCCAGAATGTCAAATTGGATTGTGGTTTGTGCAGCATTACAGCCACTGTGCATCTCATGAGCAATGCAACTCACTCGCCCACACACTGACCATGGCTGTTGCAGTCACACTGGGCTCGCTGCACAGGCGTATTCTTAGCTGGCGAGCGCCTGACATATCGCGTGCGAACGCTGCTATTCAAAGGCATTGTGCAGCAGCCTCCAGCATGGTTCGATGACCATGCCCACGCCAAGAGCAAGCTGTCGCAAGTCCTATCCGTGGATGCCGCCCGCGTGCGCAATCTCGTGGGTGACTTCAACAGCAAAATGGTGATGATCGTGGTCTGCTTGTTTGGCGGTGAGTATGCAAAGCCTGATGCATGAAACTACTTTACCAGTCGGTCAACCTCACGGGCGGGCTCGTCACGGTAGGCATTATCATGGCATTTGCATATTGCTGGCGCACGGCGGGAATGACGTTGGCTACAGTACCTTTTGTGGCCCTTGGGGGTGTCATGTATCAGCAGGTGGCTCTCGGAACCGTGGATGAAAACGATCCCGTGTATAAGGTGAGGGCATCAAACAAGTTGGCGGGCTGTTCAGGACGGGCCATGTTGCGGCTCACAGTGGATGCATGTGGCCCTTAGCCGGCCAGACAGCATGCGACGCTGGTCATTGATCACGTCCGTCTCATCGCTGCCATGGGCCGGGCGCATCACATGTTTCAAGAGTATGAAAAGGTCAGACCACTTGCTTGAAGCCACTGGTCAAGGGTGGGTCGCTTTGCCACACTTCCAACATAATTGCTTTTTAACTTGCCACATCACCCTGGCAGACACTCGAGGGGCCGCAGCAGCAACAGCGCGTGAAAGCCATCAAGACAGCCCTGGTTGTCTTCTTTTCCTTCTTTACGCAGTTTGCTGCCTTCGCACTGGCATTCTACTATGGCAGCATTGTGGTGGACCGTGAACAATGCTCGTAGGTCATATCGTCGCCCAGCGTGGTTGTGGCTACCCGAAATCTCAACTGTACATCCTTCTTTTTGCCCAGGTTCACGGAAATGTTTACCTCGCTCATGGGTGTGCTCTTCTGTGGCATTCAAGCTGGCTTTTACCTGTGAGTTGAACCCGCCAGAAAACCTGCAATCGTTCTGTTCAAACATATTGGAAGCTCGGCATGGGTTTGTGCGGGTTTTTGCAATTTGATAAACTTTGGCTTTGGCATCAACCTGCGTAGGGGAATGCTGCCAAACTTGGCAGAGAGCCAGGCAGCAGCTCGTAGCGTGTACAAGCTGCTGCATGGCTTTTTCTTCAAAGAGGCCACGGCAACGCCCAAGCTACCGCTACCGCTCCAGGGGGAAATCGTTTTGCGCAACGTTTCATTTGCCTATCCGGCTCGTCCAGATGCCCGCGTCTTGGACAACGTTAGCTTGACCATTCCCAAGGGCAAGACGGTTGCGCTCGTCGGTGCCTCTGGCAGTGGTTCGTGTGACTAAGTGAACGCCTCGTCGGCCAGCACTCTTGGCCCTATTCCACGAGCAGACCCGTTTCACCCAACGTTTCTCATTCATTTTAACCTACATTTGCATTGCAGGGAAGAGTACCATCGTTGCGCTGGTCCAGGGCATGTATCCCATCTCTCAGGGCCAGGTACGTCAATGAAAGCCGGGGTTGGGCAAGTCTTGAGAGTTTTTCTCATGGAGCCGGTCGTTGGTAGATTCTCTTGGATGGCACAGATTTAGCAACACTCGATGTGGATGTCGTGCGCAGCCAGATGGCCGTGGTGGCGCAGGAGCCACGTTTGTTCCATGACACGCTGCGTAACAATGTTGCGGTATGAGCCTTTTGGACCAACGTGCTCTTGAGATTCTTGTCACTCCAATGCTGCATAGACATTTACAACTTTGCACTTGTTGTTGTTCTGCTGTGTCGGTGTGCCTTCACTGACTGTTCTGCTCCGATTGGGACGCTCGACCCGATAGTACGGAGGAGGCGTAGGACCACGGCCAGATGACAGCGCCATTGAAAAGGCTTGCGACATGGCACGTGTGAATGAATTTGTGGGCGCTCTGCCAGAGGGTCTGGATGCCGACGTGGGCGAATTTGGGGATCGCCTTTCGGGAGGCCAAAGACAAGTAAGCTGGGTCACATCACCTCGCGCCGGCATGGTGTCTTTTGGGGTATGTTTGGATCGACTGTCAAACTCACGGCTCTGGGTGCTTTTGCGGTGGGGGGGAATACCATAGCGAGTGGCCATTGCAAGGTCTTTGGTCCGCGGCGATCAAATCAAGGTGTTGCTGTTTGATGAAGCTACTAGTGCGCTGGACGTGCACAACGAGAAGCTTGTTCAGGTTTGTTGTCCTTCCGGTGTGGTTGAGTTTGTGGGCGCCGATGCAAAGCCGATCAACAAGCATTGACGAGAAGCTGTAGAATGCCTTGCGTCCTCTCACGCTGATCCCATGCTCAGGAGGCCATCAACAATGCCAGCCGTGACCGGACGACCATCATTGTGGCACATCGCCTGTCCACCATCCAGGACGCAGATGTGATTGTTGTCATGGAGCACGGGCGCATCGTGGAGCAGGGATCACACCAAGACTTGCTTCAACGACGTGGGGCCTACTATGCCCTCTATAGTCAGACCAAATGAGGAAGGAAAAGCATTCTCATAAGTTGAACGACACAGTTGTTGTTGTGTTGATGGAAAACCAAATCGAATTTCTTTGCTCGTTTTTCTTTTTTCTTCACCTCTGCATTTTTTTTTTTTTTTGCTTGTGATTTTCTCTAATTTCACATTTCCTCAAGCGCTGGAAGGTCACTGAGGTTGAGACTTGTCAAGTGCCCAGGACGAGCAGGCGCGCTTCGGTCGTCGGGTCGCCGGGCGGAAGCGCAGGACTTGATTGAGACATAGGCCTGGCTGTGGGATCTGTGCGCTTCAAAGCAAGGGAAAGAAACTTTGTTGACAGAGCGCACAACAACTCGTTGATTATGGCCTCGACTGCATCGCAAGACTATGTTGCGGCAGCTAGCCATGCGCCGGGCGCGGCAGCTGAAGATGACGTTTTCCCTCACAATGAACAACACAACCTGCATCAGCAAGTGTCACAGCAAGAAGATTTGACAGCGGCTTCGCGGGTGATTTTCGGTGCTTTGCCAGATGATTTCCTGCGACTCATGGTCGAGGTTCCTGTGCGCGTTGATGAAGTTCCACCCGCTCTGCTGGCCGATGGCCCTATGCAGGGCTTGCTTCGTGTTGATGTTCTACAGGTAAGTATGCGTGTTTTGCCTACCTTCAGCCGATCATACCAGACGCCCAGATCAGCTTGCACCGCTCAACGACGGGGATCTCGCCAACCGGTGCACAGGCTCGCCTGGCTAAGAATTACGGTGTCATGAAGATGGATCCATTTGTGCGCCTGATTGCTGGTCCCTACTTCAAGCGCACCCCCGTTTGCCAAAAAGGCAAGCCAGCATCATTATACCTTGCTCACCATGTTTTTATTGTTCCCAGCTGTTTGCTCACAGCCCAATGGGCACCCTTCTTCTGCTTTCCCGAATCAGGTGCCACGGAACCCCGGTGGAATCATAGCATCACGCTGTGAGTTGGCCCGACGTCAGCAGTGTAGATGCTGCGCGACTCTCACGACTTGACTCTTCTCTGCGCACAGGCCAATCCTGCCATTCTTCCAGACCCTCGTCATTGAGGTGTTTGACTTTGTACGTGAGCTTGATCCCTTTTGCACCAACGAATTGTAGTTTCATTGATGGTGTTTGACGCTGTTTGCTCTTTTTTTTTTTTCTTTTTTTTTTTTTAGCGTGCCATGGGTGACAAGCTGATTGGTCGCTGCGAAGTGCCTTTGACTGAATTTATGGAGGTGTGTTGCCTCCCATCTCGAGTCTTCCTCTCCCTGCTCGTGAAAACAAGGCCAGCACTTATACACTCTTCTGGCCATTGGCATTTTTTTTTTTTCTCTTCTGTTTCTCTTGGTTTTTGTTCCATTGACTCTCCAGGGCACGCCCAAGGAAGAATGGTATCACCTCAGTGGAAAGCAAGGCGAAGACAAAGAGGGTGTTGTTCATCTGAATGTGCATTTTGAGGTTGGTGTCGTACCAAGCACGTGCCTCATCGCTTGGGTGCTACGCTCATACTGACCCTGCTTGGCCATGACCACAGCGCACAGCCCACCCTCCCATTCGAACCCAGCCAGGCCCCACTGCGTATGGCAGCGGCCTGCCTTATCATGGCGTCCCAGGTGGCTCATACCCACAACCTCAACAGCCTGCCCACCCCCACCCTCCAGCCACTGCGTACTATGGCACGCAGGGTCGCGGCCCAGCAGAGCCATCTGTGCCTTCGCCAAATCCCACTTCTAGCCCCGCAGGCCCACCAACAGCTCCCACTGTCGTGATTCCAACAGAGCAGGTTCAGCAACTGCGTGAAATGTTTCCCGACCTTGATGAGGAAGTCATCCATGCTGTTATTGCTTCCTGTGGCAACGACACTGACGCTGCATTGACCACACTGCTCGGCATGGCCAGCTAAGAACACCTGGTTGATTGCAGTGTTGGACTGGTTGGGACAATGAAGTGTGACAGCTCTTGCTTTGATTTTGGCTGCATCTCATCCATATCTCGGGCCCGCCAGTTTGCATTGATCTTCCCTGGTGTGATGAATTATATTAATTTTTTTTTTCAAAAAGGATCTGCGTCGCAGCATCCATGATAGGCATGTCAATTAGAGGAGCAATAAAAATGGGTTCACAAAATAGACATCAAAGAAGAGACACAGTTGTGCAAGTCAGAAATCGCCTTGGAAGAAAGCTGGTCTACTCTGTTGAAGAGTTTGTCCTTTCCGAGGGACTGGATTCGCTGGGACGCAAAGCCCTTACAAAGCCGGGTATGGGGGCTGCCACCGGCCCGGACGCACGCCGGCCCATGGTGGGCATGCGAAATGGACTTGTGGGGGGCGTCAAACGAGGCATTTCAGTCGGTAACGTTATGGGTGCCACCCGTCGACGATGCCGCCGTGCCTGCGAAGGCACGGGTGCTGACGGCAGGAATGGTCGATCCGGGACCGGTGAGGCTGAGGGCGTCGGTGAGTGCGAGACAGGAGACGCTCCTCTTGTACGGTCATCATCAAACTCAATCAGCATCGGCGCAGACGATCGGAGAAGCTGTTCACTTAGACCACGTGCGCGTGGCGACGGCAAAGTCTGCGGGGGACGCAGTGGACGTAGTGCCCCTACAACTTGACCTGCTGCAGCTTGACGCTCAGAGCGCGCGACCTGAGCACCGCCAGCACTTTGACTGAGCCAAGCTTGACGAGTTCTCACGCTATTTTGCGACGAAACACTTTGCCTTGGTGAGGCTGCTGACGCCTGTCGATGGCCAACCCCGTTTGCGTCGTTGGGTTCAACTCGAGAGCTTGAGGGACCACGTCCACCACGGTGATCCTCGGTGTTTCGGTGCATAGCGCGGGGAAGGGCAGGGGCTGAATGATAGCGGCGTAGCTCCCGTGCCACGCCTGCGGCCACTTGCTGCTGACGCTGAAGCGTTTCTTCGTATGAGGGCAGCACATCCACGTGGTTGGGCACGGGACTGGCCAGAGGCGTGCTACGAGCAGATGAGGTCGCAGCTTCCTGCCCTTCCTCAGCAATTGGATTAAGAGCAAGCGGAACTGGGGCTGTCGGCGGACTTGCATGTGGTACGGGCGTGACACGTGGCGTTGTGCTAGAGCTTGTTGCATCCTGATATGAAGGAAGCAGGCCCGCAGCAGTATTGGCAGCATCCTGGGACAGATTTTCATAAAAGTCCTCAGTGGTGCGGGTGGTGTTGGACAGCCCCAAAAATGAGCGACGCACAGTGCGTACGCGCGTAACCAGCGGACCAAGTTCCACGCCCTCGGGTGGTTGCTGCACAATAAGGTGAGGCCGAGCTTTTTTGATGCGCCACAACAAGCCAACGACGACCAAGCAAACCACCAGGGCTGAGACGAGCAGCGCAAAGGCGATGCGTGTTCCCATGGTGACGGATCCCGAGGTGGAGTCAGATGGACTGGCAGTAGCACAACTGCTACCGGTGTAGCCCTCAAAGCAGCGACAGACGCCAGGACTGGCGCAGACGCCGTTGCCGCTGCAATTGTGTGAACACATGGGAATTGTGCATGCAGGACCCGTGTAATTGGATGAGCAATTGCATACGTTGGGGGCTACGCATGTGCCGTAGCGAGCTGCGCAGCCTTGAGAGCAGATAGGCTCATCGCAGTTGGTGTCTTGCCACCCAGATACGCAGGTACAGGTGCCATCTGCCTCGCAGCGTCCGCCTGAACACGACGTGGCGCAGGCTCGATAGGGGAGGCCAGGCAGCTGCTGGGCACATGGGATGGCCAGTGCGGTGGTGTCAAGATCAACAGTATCGCGGATAGCCACGGGTTGTGCACTTGTGCACGTGCTTTCACCTTGGCACCAGAGGCCATTTTTGCCCCGAATGCGCAGGTGACAAAGGGAAGTGCAAGCACAAGTGGAGGTGGTGGTTGCGTTGTCGACATTGACCCCAATGGTGGCCAGGGAGCGTCCATGCGTAGCGGTCCACAAGCTCAAACGCTGGTGTTGGTGCGAAAAGCACTGAAGTGTGATGAGATCACCCCGGCCGTACAAGACCTGGACGGCGAGGGTGTAGTCATCTCGGTTGGCGAGAATGTCAAGGGGCACGTTGCATTCGAGGGTGGGCGAGGACACGGTGACATCGCTGAGTAGGAGGGCATCCACACGCGCGGAGAGACAGCTGGCCAGTTCAGAGCTGGTGCTAATGCACGGGTCATAGGTGAGATCCTTCCGATGATACCAGCACCGAGCAGCCATGGGTGAGGTGCTCAAGTTGAGCTGAACACGCAGGCGGGAGTTGGAGATGAAGACGACCGAGGTGAGGGCGGGGTGGAAGGGGGCCAAGCACGTGAGCGGCTCGAGATCGGGTACCGTGAGCCGTGGTACGATGTTTTCCTTAAAGTAGCCCGCAACAACCATGCCAAGTTCTGGTTCAACCCCCAGCACGGGTAGGGTGCAGAGGTCACTGTAGCTGCTCGGGCTGGGATCTGCACTGACAATGTTGCTGCTCGTGCCAGTTTGAAAGGGGTCAAGAAATGGATCGGTGGGGGCACAATTGGCACACGCCGCCAAGGTAGAGGGAGCAGCAGGGTAGGTTTCTTCGGCACGCCACACAACGAGCAAGCTTGCGCCGAGCTGCCGTGCAACGGCCCGCTTGATGCTAAGCGCACAGCTGCCGTCTGTCACAAACAAAGCCAGACCTGCCAGCTGGGTCTGCACCTCGGTGGTATCTAGGGTGCAGCCCGTAAGGTCGCCCAGCCGACGCATGGCCACGGCATTGAGGTCACGGTCTACGAGGTTGCGACGACACCCAACATCAATCAGGCCCGCTCCTGTCCGCTGTGGCGAGCCGCTGGCGGACAGCTCGAGCGCAATCGGGACTGTGGCAGCGGCGGTAAATGTGGCAGCAACCCGCCGAGTGGTCAGGCAGAACCCAAGCACCAGAAGCAGAAGCATCAAGGATACATGTGAAAAGCATGGCGCTTGGTCCCGGCGACCCCTTGAGATGGCGGCGAAGCCTTGGTACGAGGTCATGCCGCCGCTGCCGGTCGTCGTATACTTGAGGTTGCCAAGCGTGGGTGCCAAACGAGCACAGTACTTAACAGGCGCCGGGTCCGAACATGATGGCAGGCACACGAGCCGACGTCTCAAATAGACTCCAACCACCCCGAAATTCAGCCACCAAGCCACCCCACCCGAGCATGAGCCTCGACAAACACCATCAACAGGAGGGGCAGGGCGAGGGCGTTGCCGCTGAAAAATCGAGTGTGTGTTCACCACTCACAGACAGAGAGAGAGAGAGAGAGATGTTGTGAAAACAACAAAAGTGTGTGACAATGTTGTCTTTGTTGTGTCTGGTGTTGTTAATTGGAGAGCACAGTTATCGCAGTGGTCTCAGGAGTTGTTGCGGTAAATTCTGGTGTGAAGGTTGTTCAAAGTGAGAAGGCTCGTGTAGTTGATGTAGAGAGTATCAAACGTTCTGTTGTTACTTGAGGTCAAACAAGGCGCGCTGGCGCTGGCTGGTGCGCGGTTAACGGCTGCCAGGAATGAGACGCCGACGAAGAATGGCGGCAGCTCGGAAAATTGGCATGGGTTGAGATGTCTTCCTCGCTTTTTGGGACACAAGTGCCAATAAAGGGGTGGTGGCAGAATGGAGCTCTGTGGCTGGCAAGAATATTATTATGAACATACGAGCAGAGCCCATGGAGGGCCACGAGCCGCGCAATGGTCGTCAAGAGTAATGCTATCAAACGGCGAATCAAGCAAGCACAGGCCAATACTCAATGGCACGCGCATGAAGCGCCGCGGGAAGGGCGTGGAGCACCGTTTCCTGTAGCACACCAGAGCCATCAGACAACGGCAACCCCCCAAACACACGAAGAGCACATGGGCATCGATACTAACCTTGTCAGTGTGGGCCACGGCAACGGCGGGATACAAGGCCTCCAGCATGCGCTCCTGTGTACGGCCGGCCCATCGAATCGAAGAAACGCGTCAAGGCTTCACAGGGATGCCAGGGATTCGTAAGGAGAGCTCCGGGTGAAGAGTAAGACCAACCTTTTGCTCCAGCTCGGGCATTGCTGCCACCAAGGAAGCAAGGGTTGTGGCTGGGTATGGAGCATGTCCGTGCTGCGAACTGTGTCCAATGGTGCGAGCAAGCGCGGTCTTTTCGGACGGGGTACTACCATACTTGAGCACAATGTCATGCACATCATGCTCAAAGAGTCGAGGCGAATAGGGCGAGCGACAGTAGGCTTCGAGCTGGGCCCGGCGCGTAGCAAAGTTGGGTGCACCTGCCATCCACTGAAATAGCTCTGCTGGACTCGTGGCAGGTTGCGATGCCACGGCTGAATACGCCGGTGGTGCCATGGCCGTGGCATCAGGTTCGAGTCCCTGCTCGTCCAGTCGCGCAGTTTGGGGTGCTGCAGACTTGGTTGCATTCCCCTCATTCTCCATTGGGAATGGCTTGGGATCCCCGCTCGAGACGAACAGGCTCCCATCCAAGAGTGCCATGAGAAATTTATAAAGCGCCGCCATGATGTCGAACACACACGTCGAACGCGCGACCCGTGACGAATGCCAATACTGGAGCACTTGATAACGATAATAAAAAAAATGGCCCTGTGCTCTGTCATGCGACAGTCCCACGCAACCACGACTTGTCCAACCAAGACCCACACGAGTCCAGCAGGTTTTGATTTCCACAACCAGCAACAAACACCACGCAACCAGTAGAGTACTTGTCAAAGTGCCACCAGGTAAACAGCCAGCCAGCCAGCCAGCCATCAAAGCCATCAACGCGCGTCAATGGGACACGAGCAACTTCATCTCTCCTTCTCCTCTTTCTGGCATCATGTCAGATCTTTTTGAATGTCAGACTTATTTTGTCTGACAAGGGTCACAAGCAGTGCAGTTTTCGTTGTCTGCACCACGAGGCCATTGGTCGTTCGCTGACTTGCGTGTGTGTGCGTGTGTGTGTGTGTGTGTGTGTGTGTGGCTGGTCGCACATCGCAGACGCGCTCGGCTCGGGGCGGTGTTTGTTTGACCTTGGCTCTTGCCAGGCATCATGGCCAAGCAAAAAGCAAAGAAGAATGTACAGTCCTATCTCGGCAAGTCTGGGCCAGACTTTCAGAAGAAGAAGACCAAGGTTGGGCGCAAGGCCATCGCTGAAAACGCCACCAACACCTCTTTCGCCACAAGGAGCATCAACCTCCGGACCCAGCTCCAGCGGGATGATGATGAGCTTGTCAATGAGCGCGGACAGGGCCTCAAGGTCAGTTGATCTTTTGCCAGTTGATCCAGATTGACCCCCCTCTGCTTTTCATCTCTGTCCCGCTGGTTTCCGCTTGCTGGCGTCTTCCCTCATCTCAAATCTCCTTGGCTCGCTTGGAAACAAAAACGATGCGACCAATGATTGCTGTGCTAGGATCTGAGTGCCAAGTGTAGCCACCACAATGCACATACAAGGGCCGACAGCTTGCAAGGTTTTGTTCAACTCATCGAGCTACACCCGGCCGTGGTGGAACAGCCTTCTTCGGTCCTCCGCATCCTCGAAGCCACGCTGCGTCTGGTCAACGATGACCACGCGCCTGTCCGGCGTGCCCTCGCCCAGCTACTGCACCTGCTAGCCCATCAAGTGCCGCGCGCCCTATTACAGCCGTTCCGAGAGCTGATCGTGGCCCAGACTGTGATTGCCATGACAAGCCTGAACCATGATGTGCGCTACGATGCACTCGATACGGTGGCGCTTTGGCTCGAATTTCTCGACTTGAGCCCTGAGGCTCGGCGCCAATTGGCCAACCAGCTGCTCCTCATGATCTCTTCCGAAACACAATCCAGCTCTGGCCAGGTAGGACCCCTCCCTCCCCGTCTACTTTATAGCTGGACAAAAGGCCCTCACTCTCCATGGCGGCTTTCAATTCCACAAAAATATGACTCATGCTACCCTCTGTGCGCTCCTCCAGTTGACGCGCGCTATCGGCACAGCTCCCAATAGTCGACTTGCCAAGCAAAAAACGCGTATCCGCGTCCTTGGCTTGGTGCAACAGGCACTTCAGCTTGACGCCAGTCCATCTGTCACCACACCACCCAGTCAGGCCCGGCAGCCTACGGCTGCTGGTCAACGACTTGGCCTTGGCGGCAGCTTTGTGCGCAAAGCTGCAGAGATTCTGACCGTCTCCAATGGTTCGGCACCGACAGACCACGCAGTTGACCCCTCTCTCCTGGCCGTGCTTGATGGCACGTGGCGAGAACTGGTGGGCGATGGCGAGCTTGATGCCGACTCGGACTTGTCATCCCTCCAAGCTATGATCATTCTTGTGGTATGCAAGTCGTTGGGAATTGTGCACCGACTATTGCCGACCCGTCCCCACCTGTCTCAGGTGTGTGTGTCTTTGCTCTAGAGCATTATTCGGGTCGTGGCCAAGGACACGCGCCTCAAAACTGCAGAGGAGACTGACATGCTACACTCCCTATGTGCCGAGCTACTGCACCATCTGCCGATGGCGCCTCTCGCCATTGTCGAGGTGCGCTTGCCAGCCTGTCAGTGTGCATGCCTGCCCCGCGCGCTGAGCTTACCCATTGGCGCGTTGTACAGGGCACTGTGGCTCCTGCAAGCCAGACCGCCCTTCTTGACATCAACCTCGGCCTTATGGAGCTGGCCGCCGCCTTTCCAGGCGATGACTTTTACTTGGTGGCGAATCAAGGCGCTCACGTGCTGCTCACTCAATTGTTGGAAGCCGCCGCCACTGTCCCGCGCGTGCTTGAGGTACGCGCACGACACGTATCACCCCACGCGCTGCGTATGACGTTCTCACAATCATCCCACGACAATGCAATGCGCATGACTGTAGCTCCTGACGGCGCGGATCGAGCGCCTGGGCATCCGCTTCAAGCAACTCATGACGGTGGGTGCTCGTCTTGCAAATACATAACATATGTGGGCTTTAAGGTTCTTCAGTGGACCGCTGTCAAGATACAAGAGCCTCTGTCGACCCCTTCTCATCTGCTCTACCCGACCTGGCGCGCCTGATTCGGGATGGATGACACAGGACACTCGGGATGGCGCGCTGCTGCGTGCTTATATCGCCTTTAGCCAGCAGCTGGAGCCGGGCTCCGCCATTTCGCTCTTTGTGGATGGCCAACTTACCGGTAAGCCCCCCTTGCTGGTTGGACGGTTGTGGATGATGCTTTTGCAACACCGCTCGTGTCTCGGCTCGCCAAGGTTGAGTGCAAGCTTACGTTGGGTTCGACTCGATCCAGAGTGGCTCTTGAGCGTGGAACTGGATACAGCAACCGCACAGATGGTCGCCAGTCTCTGGCTTGTGGAGTTGCCAAAGCGACTATGGCAGGTTTGTGAACAGCACGCGACATCGAGCTCCCATCTCGAGTTGAACAGTCTTTGTGCTTGGCTAATTTCTGGCTAAAATACGTAGATGGGAGCCAAACACCTGGACGCAACCGGCCAGCTGCTAAACATGCTTATTTTAGTTCTTCAGCGTCTTGATGTGAGTATCAACGCCAACATGGAGCCCTGAGCCACGCTGCGTTAAAGCCGCGCCTCACCTTGCCGTGCGCCCACCTTTGACAGACTGGGGAGGAAGCGGCTGCAACAGCCCTGACACGTCTCGCCGGGCGATACGCTGCTTACTTTTGCGCGGCACGGCGTGGCTCCCATGTCCTTGGACCATTTCGCAAGGTTGGTTCTGTTTGCAGCCGCATCGGCAAGTCTGTCGAAGCCCGCAGAATGTTGAGACGTCACGCCGTCTCGTTGTCCTGTTTGGATAGTTACCCGCAAACCTACAGCATCAGGCCATGGATCTCGTGCTGCATTTGCTACCGTTTGATGCGAAACTGTTGGCAGAGGTGGAACGAGCCATTCTTGCCTTGAACCAGGCCAATTTGTCGCTCAAGTACATCGAAATACTGATGCAGAGTAGGCTTGTGACCGCTGCTTGCTTCTCTCGTGACACCATTGGCCGCTACGTGTATGTTGTTTGCTCATTTGGCGTGCCTCCTGTGTACCCCAACGCCAAGGCACCCTGCCGCAAGACGTGGTGTTGCAGCACGTGGTAGATGTGTTATCTGGGAGCTCTGCAGACCTGGCGCCTGCTTCTGGGCTCGTCTTCCCCGTGCATCAGCTCAAAGGAAATGGCATGTACGTGCTTGAGCACGTGGAGCCGAGCATGAGCGCAAACACGTCCTTGGATGTGGGGCTTCACCTTGATCTTTGCCAGGTATGTGGCCTGGTGTTTCAAGCTAGCCCTAAGCGCCCTTGTGGGACCAGAACGCCAACGCCTTATTACGCACACGCACGACTTGCGGTGTACCTCACCACAACCTTCCGCATACCTTCGCTTGAGTATACAGGAGATTTGGCTACGGTGCCGAGCAGCCATATCGGCCATGGATCTGTTCACGGCCCTGTCAGCGTGCCACACGGTGCATGCTACTGTGGCCCTGGCTTCGTTGCTGTCCATTTGGCCTCATGAAGCCTCGTGCAGGCTCGGTAGCTTGTTGGTGGCTCTGACGCAGTAAGCTGGCTGTCCCCGTGTTTGTTTGTTTGTTTGTTTTTTTTTTTTTTTTTTTTTTTGTTTGTTTTTTTAAATGCCATTTCAACTCCACTAGATGCCGGCAGCCGGTGGATGCACTGAGTCCACTGTGGCAAGCTTGGGCCGTTCATGTGAGCCAGGCTCAGTGGGAGCAGCTGTTAACGACGGCCGAGCCTCTGGTGCCATCGGGTTAGTGTGCTGGTGCCTCTGCACTAATGCAACATCATGCTTTACCCACGCAGCTTATTGCTTTACTTTGTTCCTTTCTTCTTAGGGGAGGTGGCCATGCTTATCTTGGCATTGTCACGCGCGCTGTTTGAGGCTCAGCGATATGACCTCTGCGAGGTGCTTTGTGCGCTCATCCAGCGTCCCGATTGGCGAACCGTGCTTACTGATGTACGTACGCAACTGAAAACAACATGCGGCTCAACGTGGCCCTTCTCGCCCGCATGATAGCCTGCCATTTCACTTCACCCTCACCTTACCCGTGTCTTTGCCCCGCCAGTCTATGCATGCTCAAGTGAGTGACCTTCAACGAGCAGTTGCCGTCTAAGGCCCCTTTAGCAATTGATCGCATCCTTGTTGTTGTCAGACTTTTTGGAGTTCCCGCCAAAATGAGTGAGGGGTTTGTCGACAAAAACACGACACACCAAAACACACACACACACACACACACACAAACGATGATTCGGCGTGGTCGGCGCACAGGTTGAATCGACACGGCTGCTAACGGCTGTCAATGACGGCTTGGCAGCGTGCTAATCGGGGCAGGGAAAGGCATCGAGGCCATGGCACGGGCCAGGTTCCAACACACCGCGTGGTTGCAAGACTATCTGGATGCACAGCCGCAGCGGCTCGCTCTTCCAGTCTACAGGGCGGCTGATGGCCCATCATCCGCACTCAGCCGATTGAAGATGCTTCAAGCCGGCGCCCAAGCCACATCGTGTTTCACAAATTCCCCCAAACAACCCATGGCCTCAATGAGTGACCCTGCTGCCAATATCAGCCCGGAATCTGCCTGTCTCGATGCTCTCGAGGCAGCCTTGGAGCTGTGGTGTGCGACCGAGGATGCTGATGTGGATGCCGCACGCGAGACCAGTCACGACGACGTCTTTGTTGAACCACTCCATCTCTATGTGATAGCACCTCAGCTCAAATCTGTTTTTGTAGCACAACCACTACCCGAGCCCTTGTGGCCCCAGTTGTCACGCGAGCATCCACAACATGTCGGAATGCTCACACCTCCAGCATCACTCACGGCTACGCCTGCAGCGGTGGATGAAACGAATAGTCTGTTGCCGTCATGCCATGCAGCGAGCACATTGGCAGGCGCCAGTATTTACCTGGCATCCCCTAGCATGCCCTCAGTAGAGGCGCTGGATCTGCCCCTGAGTCCCATATCGAGGCCCGTACATGTCGACATTGATGTACTTTGTGCACATTTGGACGTTGAAGCGGCCGAACGACCGGCCTTGCCAGCCATGGCACCAAACCAGCCAGTGGTGCCACCATCGCCGCCTTCACCGCTGCCACCTGCGGTCTTGGCCTTGGATTCGGACAGTGCGATTTTGGCTGCCTTTATCGATGAGCCATTGTTGCCCGATGCGACCTTGTCCGACGCTCGGACCCAGTTGCTGCAGAATTTGCCTCAGTTACCAGTGGAGACACCGCCATTGACAGCCATCGGCGGGGAGCTTTTCAGTCGAGGTCAACGGCAGCTGAACCGTGCTGCCCCGGCTGATATTACGGCCCGGCACTGGCGCCAATACTTGATTGAGGAGCCCGAGATCAACGGAACTCTGGGACATACAGCTGCCTGGCAGCATCGCTGTCGTTGGTTGCAAAATCTCGGTGTCACATATCGTGGAGGGGCTCTGCGCGTCCTCAGCTCTTTGTCATGGAACCCTGTACTGGTGTTGCAAACCATGCACCAGAGTGTTGTTGCGCCATCAAGCACACTTCCAGCCGACTTGATGCATGACTCTGCATGCTTGCTGTATTTGCCTTCGGCCCGACTACCCACGGTGAATCACGAGCCAGTCCTACCCACGCTTCTGAACGTCGTGCCATCACCCATCCTTGTCAGTGACGAGAGTGATCAAGGTGTCGTGACGGGTGAGGCCAGGCTTACCAACTCACAGCTTCAGGGTGGCCTTGAGTTACACGCCGGCAACTCGGACCTGGGTGGACAGGAGATATGGTTGCCGTGTCGCCAGGGCCTTTCGGATGCTCTAGTTTTTGCACTTGAAACGTAAGTCCTCTGCGATCGAGCCATGATGACCCCACATGGCCTGACGCTTTGCAGTTGGCCAGTTGACGGCGATTTGTTTGGGGGTTAGGAAGCAAATCACATGTGTGATGTGCGCCGAAGAGCAGTTCCCGCTAGACGTTGTGGTGGACGAACAGGTCGGCATTGTGCTTTTACCTGATTTATCGCCAGATGGCCGGACGCTGTCTGCGCGCGTGCTTCGGGCTGCCGCACTATGCACACGCATTGTCGTTATCGTCGTGAACCGTGAATGGTGTGTAAAGGTGACCTGCAGCGGTCGGTTGCTGCTTCCTCATGAATTGACGCCCTTCAGTCGCTCGTGTGCTCACCCAATTCTTTGCAACAGGCCTCCCGCTGCTGCTGTTCGACGAAGCCAGGCCCTCCTCTTGGCAATGGCTGACGGTCGTGAACTGGAATTGTTACTACGTTGTGCGGCAGATGTGCATGCGGCTGCAGACTTGATAGAACGAGAGTTGGCGCTGGCAGCGCGCGAGTCTCCATACACGCAGGATGCCTGGTGCAAGCGTGACTGGCTAGCCGAGGTAGGGATGCCGAGTGTCAAGCTGGCCAGCCCTGAACGGCACTCATTTCATCCTTTTATGCTCCACCGTGCAAACCTTCCGTCCACTACAGTGTCACGAGTCTCCCCAGTGGCAGTGGCTGATGGCATCTGGGTGCTTCAACCCCATGGCCGCCGGTACCCTGTTGTTGGCCCTGACACTACGCCAGCTGCTTGAGGCAGTGGCGGTGAAAGACTTTGAGGGTGTCTTGCAGTCCGCGCCCGGCGTTCCCTTGGCTAGCCTGAAGGTACGGCTGCTTGCCCCCTGCCCTGACTTTTCCACACCAAGGGCTTTTTATGCTGCCATTCGCCGGTCGCCTGGCCTCGTCTCATCTCGAGAAACAACACTCCATGCTGTGTGATCCGTGTGTCGCCGTGCATGTCCAGGCGTGGGCCCGTATAGTGAACAGCCGACAGGGTACGACGGCGGCTGTAACTACGACCGAGCAGCGGCCAGAAGGCGAAGAGACCCCTCAAAAACGCTCAAAAGGAGGCAAACTAATCCAGGTGGCTGGTCTGCCTCGCGTTGCTCGGTCCCTGCACACACCCCCGCACGATGGCCTGACATTCGCCCTGCCCCGTGGGTCTCGACAGGGCCAAACTCGGTGCGTAGGCACAATAATGTCCCGCTAGATACTGGATAAATGCGCGCTCATGCCAATGTGTTTGTACCAGGTTGCAATTCCAAGGCCGTCCGCCCAATCTGCCCACCAAGTCTTGGATCGCCTAACCTAGAACAGACAGAACTGCTTGATCCTCAAGTCAATTTTTAGACGAAAAAGTTTCTGTTCCTCTTTTTTGTGTGTGTGTCGTGGAGTGTTGGAATGTTCTTTTTGTTCACTCAATCCGATTCATCATTTTGTGGGAAGTTGGGAACGGTTGATGACTGCCCGCTGCCAATCTGCGGTCCCATGTCAATTGAGGCGTCAAGCACAACATTCACCCTTCTCCAAGCGCTTCATCCAAGGTCGTTGCCTCAGCCTCGAGCGCTGTGACCTCGCTATGTCAACCATGCCGTCAACTCAAACCGCGACATTCCTTTTTATTTTTCTTTTTTTTTTGGTTGTGCCGAGTAGATGATGCGTGTGCTGAGCCTGGTAGCCGTCTTGGCTCTCTGGGCAAGTACGGTGCAGGGTACGATCACTTTCAACCCTTATTCCACCCACATTACTACGCTCACTCGCAAGATTCACTTTTTCTTCACACCTTTGATGCATAGCTACTCTTCGCGATAAGGTCTACACCAAGCTCTCCGGGAATGAGGGGGTCAACAGCTGCACCCGGCTGATCAATGTCACACATGAAATTGGCTGCACCTGTATGTCCCCGCCTGACTTCTGCCCACACCAAGGCTTCACCGGCAAAAGAATACGCTTGCATCTGCCTGTGTGCTTTTCTTGCACTGCTTGAGCTGATCTGATTTGCAATGCTCCAACCCCCACCCCAGCGCCCGAAGATGGTGCCGTGGGTATCTTCTTCAAGATTGAAAGCGCGGACGAGCTGGATGACTTTCGCAGTGCCACTGAGTCAGCCTACATTGTCCTCCTTGAACAGAACATGTTTGCGCAGTACGTTTGCTCATATCGTGTTCGATGGCCATGAAACTCCAGCCAAGACGACTGTCAAAACCGCCATTGCTCACCTTTGTTGTGCCCCTACTCGACCAGGTCCGCCGTACTCCGTGAGCTGGGTCGCATGGATAAGGTCAAGGGTGCCTTCGTTTACAAAGGAGCCAGTGCGTTTGCGTTTCTTTCCCAATGCTGTTCCTCGTAGCCATGCCTCGTCTCTCCCGATGTTACTACCACATTCCATGGGCAGCGGACGGCACCTCGGCACCTCCCTTGACAAGATGTGCATGCTGCGCAGACGCTACCCGGCCAAACTCGTCCTCGACCGACTCGACACTACCAAATGCCGACTACGGTATACACATGTTTTCATCCTCCTCCTTGAACGCTTTCAGGACGCCCCTTCTTGTTCGCATCAGCCTTGACTTCTATCTCACACTGCTTGTTCATCCTTGGACCCAGGCTTGCCGATGTCTGGTCAAACAAACTGGAACCCATATGGTGGCGGCTTTGCCATGGATTCACTCGCTGACTCGGGAACAATTGGGTCGCATTGGGTTGATTTTGGGTCCAAGGCTATCTATTACCTCAGCGATAGCGATCGGGATGACGTTTTGGCGGTTGGTGTTTTTGCCCAGGCCAGGTCGACTCCCATCTATCCGTACCGCTCACCCCTCTTGAACCTTTTGTTTTCTCCTCTTTTCTTTTGTGGCGCATACCATAGCGCTATGCGGCTCTCAACGTTGCGGGCAAGGGGAAGAAGCCCAATTATCCGGTTTGGGGTGCACGTCTGAAGAACTTTATGTATGGCGTCCGTGATACTGACCTGTGTCTTCGCCGCAGTACGTGAAGTGACGCGCTATGCCTGATCTGAAAATAATAAAGACGTGTTTGCTTGGGGAGAGATGCGGACACACCTTGTGCTGTCGCTTTGTTTCAACACGCGCCTTCCCGTGGTGTTTTGTAGAGCATTGCGACCCCCTCTCGGGACAAAACGTTTGGGGTTCAACACGACTCGTTGAGTCGGATAGCGAGGTCATTTTGGCCACAGCGCAGGTATGCTCAATGAATTCTGAAAGGATTGATATGAACGACAAGGGCTCGCTGGCATTGTTCTCACACGCAGTGTGTCCTTGCAATGATTAGATGGACGCCTTTTCCTTCTTCCATGACCTTTCATACGGTGCCAATTCTGATGCTTCCGCCGGTGAGTGCCCCTGTATTGTTGTTTGTTATTCAGGCCCTTATGACTCTTTGCTTCCTGTTTTCCTTCTTGCTCTTTTTTTTTTTCTCTCATGTTGATGTGCCTTTATGTGCTCGGACATAGTCGTGTCTTTGATCGGAGCGGCCCGCTTGCTGGGCTTGGAAGAAAACTATGACGTCGTGGCCAACCTCCAGCGCAACATTATTTTCAACCTCTTCAACGGCGTATGTGTTGTACATGAGTCGTGCCACATAGGAAACACAGATACGTCTACCAACTGATGCGTGTGTGCATGCTTGATGGTGATCCAGGAATCCTTTGGCTACATTGGTTCTTCTCGTTTGGGCTTTGATCTCAGTCGAGCCCCGCACTGGCCCAGTGTGGACCAAAGTGTAAGTGCATTGACACCATCCGATTCGATGGTTTCTCATTTCCTCATGGATACTGGCGCTGTTTTTGTTGCTGTGCTGTTATGATTCTGCTGTCGCTCTCACTCATCTTTTTCCCTTTTCGTTTTGTTCGTGACATTGGAACTCATGTGTATAGTTGAGCTTCGAAAACATCAAGGGCTATCTAGAACTATCACAAGTTCTGGAGGGCGACTCCCTGCACGCTCATTCCTACAAGAGGTGTGCCGATTTTGGCTCAGCCCTTCTTAGAGACAGCCTCCGTTTACTTCCAAATTATCTTACCCACCTGTTCTTCGTTTGATGGTTCGTGGTCACAGCAACGCTGATACGGCCAACATCGTTGCCAAGTTGCAGGCTGCTGCTGCTGGTAGCAGCACGACCGTCGTCGATGACACGGCCTCTGAGCTGCCTCCTGGTTTGTGCCTGTGATCAAGCGTCTCTGGCCATGGGCTCGGTTGAGCAGAAGACACGAAGAAAAATGTTCTTGGTTGCCATCCGAAGGTTGGAGCTGGGCTAGCAACCGTTTTTTTTTTCTCACTGGGACCAACCTCGGCTTGACCCTCTGCTAGCATCGCTGCGTGGCTTCCTCAACGAATGGCGGGACACGACCAAGCAGGACGCGTTCCCGGGTGTGGTCGTGACAGCCTATGACAGCACCGGTTTTGCCAACAAGTATGATCAGTGTCAGCCAGCTGACGCGACAGGAAACGATTGGGCTTTAGCTTGCGCACAGCCTGTTTGCGTTTTCACCATTCTGACCCAGGATTGATGGCATCCCCGCAGGTACCACGGTAGCCATCTAGATGATGGCATTGCCACCTCTTCAACAAGTGATGAGACCAGAGTACGACCTTCCAACCTGATGAAGTGGCCCGTGAATGGAAAGTGCGGACATCAATTATGTCTCACCTCATGCGTGTTACTTTAGGCTCGCCTCTGCGATACGGCCGTTTTGACGGCCAAGACGCTGGTTGCCATGGCCAACAATACGGATGTGGCCAGTGTTTCGTTGCCGGTGGATTCAGCTGACAGCGCATTCTGTGACTTTGTATGTGATGCGTGACCAGGCGGTTTTGATCTTATATGCCTTATTTGTCCCGAAACCCGTACTGACCGAGCCGTGTTCTCGTCACGCGTCTGCAGCTGCAAGAAATGTTTGATTGCGTGGCTCGCAACCAGACCTGCGAGCTAGCCCGCAAGGCCATTGGCCAGAGCGGTGCCACGGCAGACATGCCTCTCTCACGCTACATTGGCGTCACCCGTAGCTCCACAGTTCTGAACCGGGTACAATAACTTTCTGCCTTGAATGCTGCAGGATGCAACCGCTCAGTGTGACTTTGTGCACGTTGTTACACAAACTACTAAAACTCGCGCTGACTGCCGAGGGTCTGCGTGATTTCTCCATTCCGTTTTTTCGCTTGTTTTATGCCTTTGCTTTTGCTCACCCGTTCTGCCTCGGCTGTATCTCTTCCAGGGCGTTTATTTTTTCTTCAATATGCTGAGTGAGGCACTGGCCAAGGACAAAAACGTGTCCCTGGGTGTCAATGCCACCTGCGCGCCAAACAATGTACGTTTCAGATGATGCCGATCGAAAGCACCCCACGATTGTCCGAACCGAAGACGAGGTTTGTCTCATGCCTCGTGAGCGTTGGCGTTCTCAACCCGAGTAGAAAGTCAACGAGTTCCAGACTGTGGATTGGACGGATGGACGATGCATGAATACCACGGCCTATGTCAGCTACATCATGTCGCCTGCCTTTGAAAGCTATTACAAGCTCAAGAGCGAGGGCTCGAACTTGACCATTCACCGCGACCCAAGGTGTGTTTTTCAATTTTCCTGCTGGTGGGATGATACCGAGGCTCAAAAATCGCTGCTCCTATCAGGTGGTCAACCTGGACCGAGTCGGTCTGGGGCGCAATCAGTGCTGACATGTTTCTCATGGAGGACCCAGCAGTTCAGGTGTGTGTTTGGGGGGTGGGGTGGGTGCGGTGTTGGAATCCAGCCCCGAATTATTTTTTCTTTTTTTTTTAGTTTGTTTGTTTGCTTGTTTTTTCATGGCTCACGGCCTGTCTTTTTTCTGGGTGCCGGTGTGGGGTCATGTCGTCCCATCCTTCAGTTGGGCACCTTGCTCGGAGGCCTGGCGTACTTTGGTGCGGCCTTTGTGGCAGTTTTTGTCTTTCTCAAGTACACGGATCATGATGGCGATGAGTAAAAGCTCTGCCCCTATCAGAACCCATCTGGCATGATGTAACCCTACTGCACAACAGCATGCGTTTCCCCCCAGCACGCGAATGCCCTGCCGTTTGCTTTGCTGTTCCTTTTCTCGCCGTCGAGGCGTGTGCTGTCATGAACGTGCATACATTTTCGTAAAAAATAGAACATCTCTCGTTTTTTATTTTTGAGGATGTGTGAGCACCCATTAAAAAAAAGATGACATTCAGACAGAAGACGAATGCAGTCAAAGGATTGCAAACCAGCAAGAGATGATGACTTTGGGAAGTTGGATCACGGTCAAGGAGCGTGTACTAAACTGCGACTTGACAACCCACTTCCGCCCGACGCTGAGCGGATCAGACGTCTGGACCGCCGTCATGCCTGAGACGCGGACCGTGACGCGCACGGCAGCGCCGGCGGCCTCACGCCCGCTGGATGCCGTGTACGACCCAAATTATTATGTATCAACAGCCACCGATCATGCACGTACTTTGCAGAGGACCCATCGCCTACCGACGGGTGCTACAACCACCATGCCGAGCGCTGAGAACATGTTTTCTGAGCTGCAGCACCACCCACGCGCAACTCAGCACGCAGGCCCTCCTCCGGCAGCTGATGTCCCGCACAATGGCCCACAAATCATGGAACGGTTCGTTAGACTTGAACGATGGTCCAGCATTGCTAGCATTGCCAGCTGTCTTTGTGAAGCTGCGAGTGAAAGGAGGACACAGGGGTGGCATCCAACTCCTCAGCTGATGTGTAATCTCACCGAGCCCGCTTCTTGCTAGGATGGCCATGGCCGCTCGCGACTACAATGCTGCGGAGCCCCAAGGCCGAGATTTGCTTCGCTTTCTGAACTCTTCGTTCTTGCCCATGCCCACTTCAGGGGGCTTCAACACTGCCCTCTTGAAGCTGGATATGCAGGCTGGGCCTGGGCTGAGTGCACCCATCGAGCTACCGCCCGGCTCGATGGTCACAGTTGCCACTCAAACTGATTACCGGTGCGTTGATCATACCCACCTTGGCCGCTGCTGCACAGTCCGACTGGCGCCGTTGGTAGCCACCGCTTGCGGCTGCCCATCGAGCCAAACTCGCGCCCCGCTCCACCTGCGCTGTGTTCTCATTTGTTGCTTGGCGTGCGCATCAGTGAGAGTGAGACGCAAACAGACCCCTACACCCCCGACTACGTGGTTCGCCCTGGCTCAGCGCCTGAGGTGCTTACGCTGGCCACATTGGCACATGGTGTTGGCCTACCAGCCGGACTCGCCGAGGTGGAAATGATCGAGCGTGCGCGTGCGAGGCGTGCGTGGGAAGCCACCCTTCCTCCTGTTGAAGATGCTTCACGTGCTATTGAGCGCTCGCGTGCTATTGAAGCCCGCGAATTGGAGGAGCTCAAGTTTCGAGAGGAGGAAATCCAACGCGTTCAGGACGAGCGCTTGCAAGTTCTGGAACAGCTCATTGTCGAGCTTGAGAGCAACAAGCAGCAGGATCGTGAGGACAAACTCAATCGGCATTATCAACAACGCCAGATTGAGCGAAATCGCATGTTGGCTCGATCCGAGCGCCAGGCCGTGAAGGACATTCGCAAACTCACCAAAGCTCGGCAGAACATCGAGGTACGTTGCCGCCGTTATTTGATGAATACTTGAGCTTCGGTCACCCCCACCCTCAACCATGGTATCGCTCCCCAGGGCAACCTCAAGCGACGAGATATCGTCGAACAGTACAGCAATCCTGCATCGGAGGAGTTTGCACCCACGCGAACACTGGGAGGGGGCGTGCACGATCAGCACGCCAACCGTTACCGGGTTGACTCAAAGCATGTCAGCTCATACCAAGGCCTGCTTGACCTGGAAGCTTCCTTGCCCAAATCCGTTACCACTCCTCGAGCACGTGCAGCCAAGGGCACCAACACCAGTGCTACCGGGCGCCGTGGGGGTATGGCATCAGCCAGCCGTCGACGCATGCAAGACACGCTTCGGCAGCTGGACGAGACAATGAGCATGGCTCGCACCGGCACGCTGCCGATCTTGCCGCCCATTCGCTGCGTTGAGCGAATTGAAAAGGCCAAGGTTTGTTTGAGGAAAAAAAAAAAAAAAAAAAGCGGCAGGGCCCACATACGTGCGCGCAGGCCCCTGCTTGTGTGCCGAGTTTTGGCGTGATGGTCATGGCGCAACAAGCCCTCATGTGTGTCCCGTGTCTTTTTGCTTTGCGCCGCTGCACTGTCTTTTTCATAATGTGCACAACCACAGCAACGGCCGCCGACGCCAGAGGTGGAAGACGAGGGTGATGAAGCTCGCGCTGCACGCCGGGCTATCGTATTGCTGCAGAGCATTCTTCGAGGACGTGCTATGCAAAATGAGATGTACGAGCAGAAGGAGCAGCGCCGTGATCTGATTGAAGAGCTGCGGTCGACCCACGCACTGCAAGCTGCGCAGCAAGCTGTCAAGGAGAAAGAGCGTGAGCAGCTCCAAGCTCGTCGTGAAGCTGATGCTCGTGAAACGCGAAGACAAGCGACCATCACTGCAGCCGTGAATGCCACTCAATCAGCGCACCTGGGCAACACCCTTGATTTCCTCAGCAAGGAGCTCGTGCGTTTGCAGGAGGAGCACCGAATTCATGCCTTTGCTGTCATGGCTGAGCGTGAGCGCCGCATGCGCGAGGCAGAAGAGGCGGGTCAACGCCAGGCGGAGGAGCACCGTCGCGCGCAAGGCGATGAGATCTTCCGGCAAATGATGCAGGTGTGTTGCGCTGCCACGAGATGGCATGTAGTGCAGAGGCTCGAGTCTTCCTCACGGCTGCGTCTCGCAAACTGAACAGGTTCACAATGGCACAGTCGACTCCTATCTTGAGTCCATCTTATTGGCGGCTCAAGAAGACGTGGCAGATGAACAAGCTCGCGAGTTTGTTCGTGAGCAAGCGCGCCGCATCGATGCTGCTGCTGCAGAGGCTCATGCATCAGGATATGATGAAACGGATCTGGGAGCCCAAGCCATTGCCTGTGAGTCCTTTATCTGCGCTGGCTGTCGCGCTGTTGTGGTCTGTGTGTGTCTACCTTTGTTTCTGCCATGCTCTTCTCATCGTCGTTTCTTGCCGCCTTGCCAGCTGAACTGGTGACTAGTTTCCTGTTGCCTGAGGTGGAGCGTGAAGCTCTGCGCGGATCATTGCAGCGAGAGCAGCGAAAGCTCTTGCAGGGTGCCCACGAGGTCTGCATAGGCCGCATGATGTGTTGGCCCTTTTTAACGAGATGTTAGCATCTGTGTGCTTGGCCAAACCTCCTCTCATGCTTTTCTTGCTCTTAACTCTGCAGGCGGTCTTTGCAAAGACTCAAGAGGTGGAAGGCCAGCGACGCTGGACAGGATCTCGGGCTGCTACTGCATCTGGCTCACGGCCGCGCACAGCTTCGGCTCAGACCCAATCCCGCCCCCACACCACTCCGGCCATTGCCGAGCATACCGGACTGGAGGAGGACAACAACTAAAAGATTCCATACTAGCTGGCTCCTGCCCCCACAACTCTTTTGCTTTGATGTGCATGTCGATGTGCGCGAGTGTTTGTTCGTGTTTGTGTTTGCTTGGTAGCTCGAGTGACACGTGTGCTGCGCCTGGTGTTGGACGTGGGCTATGCCGGACAAGATCTGGGTTGTCTGGTATGCTCAAGTTGAGTTTTGGCGGCATAGCGGCACCTGCTTTCACAAGTGTTTGGTGGTGTCACACGAAAATTCTATTCATGCAAAAATGGTGGGTTTGGTTTCTTGAGCTGTCCTAAATGCGATTCTTTTTTTTTTTTTTTTTTTCCGTACCAATCCATGGACATTGGCGGTCAGGCGGGCGCCCAGCTCAGAGGCAACTAACCGCCTTGGCAATGCTGAGGTCAGGTCTTTGACCGCATGAAGTAGAACAACAATCAGCGGGTCTAAGAAATGAGCCCTTCCATCTCTGACATGAAGCGGTCATATTCATCGTCCTTGTTCTTCTCCGCCTTGCCACTCGAGTCCTTGGCCGGCATACTGGGTTGGGGCAGAAGCTGTGCGGCCCTGATACAACGGGAATTAAGGATGGTCAGATTGTTGCCGAAAAATATTGGGCAGGAGGGCCACACAAGAGCAAGGAGAGCAAGGTTTGTGGTCAGAGCTGCAAACATACTTGACACGCTTGGCCTCGGGCGCTGCGTCGCGTCGGATGCGCACTGAAGACGGCATAAACTTGCGAAGTTCTGCTTGCTTATCCCGAACCTGGGGCTCAGCTGATAACGTCGACGCAAGTGCTAATCATTTACCCAAAGGGTGCATTGAGGTCAATAGTAGGCATGAGCGCACGGCTCACAAGAGGTGGTGGTGCAGGCATGGTCAGCTGATCATAAGGATCAAACGGATGCAGAAACGCACCGGCGCGAGCTTGATCTTTGGGATTGCTTGGCGCCTGGCGCTTTTCGGGATGTGCCTGGCTGTGACGAGCGCCGTGGCGTGGGCCACCTGGGCCGGGGCGTGGTCCGCTGTGACGTGGCGGCATTGGTCTGGACATGACACCCGGGGCCGGCATGAAACGCTGAATTGGTGGTCCATGCGGCGGAACCATGATGCCGGGGGCCGGTGGCATGGGTGGGCCATGACCCATCCCCTAAGCAAGATGTATGTGAGAGAGATGATGATATGGACCGTCGACCATGATATAAACTGAGTGGCTGACCAGTAAGTCAGCGGAAGCGCTCAGACAAGAACAACATACCAGGCCTGAAGGAGGCATAAGAGGATGCATGGGTGGCTGTAGAGGACCCGGTGCCGGTGCGTTTGGCACGATGGAAGTGGTGTTGCCAGCCGCGTTGGTCTGCGGATCCTCAGTGCCAGGCAAGGGGATATCATCTAGCGCAACATCATCGCCGTCCTCGGCAGGCAAGGGAATGTCATCCAAGTCCACGTCGTCGCCATCGTCATCCTGCACCAAATTATTTTGCAGAGCCTTGCCATTAGTTGTGGTACTCTCGCGCCCAGCGGTACCGGTTGCCTGCTTGGTTTGTGCGTCAGAAGCCTGGTTGCCTGTGTCCGGTGCAGACGATATTGCCTCGGGTGTATTTGTCTTGGAAGAGTCCACCGTTGTGCTGGCTGAAGGGCGTGTGGCTGGCGGGCCAGTGGATGGCACTTTGCCGTCGCCATTATCATCATCATCATCATCATCATCGAGCACACGGCGAGCGGGCTGGGCTTCCCGGGGCGGGGAGGGCACCCGGACGCGCCGAGCGCGAGTATCTGCACGGTCTTCGTCTTCATCCTCACTGTCACCGTGTCGGGGAGGTGGGGGTGGGGGGCGCATGCCAAACTGTACATCGGCGTCTGTGCCTGTGTAATAAAAGACGCGGCGTTTCTCGCGTCGTTCATGGAAAGACTCCTGAGTTTTATCAAGTTGGCAAATGGCACGTTGTCCAACAAGGAATGAGCCCGCTGGGCGGTCACAAAAGACGGGGGACTAGGGCGCTGAAGATGCGATGCGCACCTCCCACTGGCGAAAGTCTTCAAGCTTCTCGCTATCGTGCTCTTGCAGCCATTCAAGAATTTTGTCCAAGCTTTCTCGCAGCTTCCGGCGTCGTTCCTGCAGCATGTGACGCTCTGTCTCAACCTTGGAGATACGCTCTGCGCTCAGGAAGAAAGCGAAAACATGAGCTTTGGCATGATGCTGTTCCCGGTGGGCAGCCTGGATTCTCAAAGGTGGACGCACGCTTATCCATTGTCTCATAAATCTCTTTGAGCACTTCCTTGGGATTTTGTGCGTTCATCACCGCCACTCGTTGCTTCACTTTGTGATCTTTATTCTGTCTCCCGTCCAAGCGGTGCAGATGAGGGGCGACACGGGGCGAGCAAACGAAAACAAGATGGGCGAGGCAAATGAGCACGCTTTGACTGACCCGCTCCAGTTCTTTCTTCTTGGCCTGCTTGCGTGCCTGATCCATAGGATTCAGGAGCTTGCCGCTCTTGCTGAGCTTTGTCGAGCGCCCCATCACGGCCGGTCTCGAGTTCAAGAGACGGACCACTCAGTTGGACCTGTGGTAATCAGTCACACCCCACTCACGCCCTGGCGTGCACGTCACCCCTGCTACACAGAACACCCCAGGGATATGGCATGCACACCACCGCCTCGCCAACAGGTAAGAACACACACCGCAAAGTGCGAGACGGGCTCGGGGCTCAAGCTCGGTCCCGTCTGTCTCTCTGTGTGTTGAATGTGTGCCTTTCTGTGTCTGCAGTCAAAATTTCTAGATTTTGTCAGACTCGAGATTCCGTGAATCAGTGGCGGGTGTCGCGTCACCTCACAGTTCGCGGGGAGCGCGTTTTCGGGCTTTTTCGGCTGTCAAGCATCATGGTGGAGTATGTGACGAGGGCCAAGCAGCAGCTGGAGTCGGTCTGCCCCAGCTTCTTGCTGCGACTGGCGCCAATCCGACTGCCACCAATCCACTTTGACTTGACGAAGCAAAAGGCGCGCGAGGAGCTGGAGCAGTCGCGACAAGCCCTCATCCTCGATTCCCCGGTCAAGGCTGCGATCATGGTGAAGAAGCGCATGCGCTTGACCTTTGTCTTCCTTTTCCTGCAGCTACATGCCCGTGGTAACCAGACGTTTTGGGCCGAAATCCTTGCCACCCCCGAGCGCGAACGCGAGCTCTATTGCTTCCTTGCGTTTTCCACCGTCGAGCTGTACTGTGACCTGCTCACGCACATCCAGCCCCGGCCTCCCCACATTCACGCCCTGCTTGAGGAGATTACTGAGGTTGATCTGCTCCAAGTACGTTTTGCTCGGAACAGCCTCGCTTTGCTTAGCCCAGACCTTTTTCGCCTCCCTCTCACGTTGCCACTGCCTTACGCTGGCAGTCGTTCCATCAACTGTACGAGCCCATGATAACTGAAGTTCGACAGCAAAGAGCTGAACGCGAGCCCAATTTCATGCCCAACGAGACGCAGTGTGCGCGGGTGGCTGCTGCTGCAGCTCCGACCTGTGGCGCTCCGACCTGGCTCCCATACCTGGCCGGAGCCACGCTGGTGGCCGGTGTGGCCTGGCTTGTCTGGCGCCGGCGCCACCTGGCTTGAGCCGACCCACCTTGCCGATGCGCATGCTTGTACAGCACACAATGGCGTGCCTTTTGTATCTGCTGAGCCACAAACCGCTCACACTTGCGGCTTTAAACGACTCGACACCCACCATCACCATTCGTTCGTACTTGACATGTGAACTCGTTGGTTTTGTCATTTCTCCTGTTGCGGTTTCGGTTTCTTATTTGCTTGTGAACGCGACAAATCATAGTAATACTTCATTGAAACCAGAGTCAAAGATGCATATCCCACGGGATATCCATGACACACACGGCGCAACATCTGCACCCACATACACAAACTTGCCCAAGAACACACCACATGAACAATATCAGACGCGACCAGCGGAAGCATCGACGCCAAGGCCGCCCAAATAGCGTTGGGGAAAAAAGGATTGCTTTAAAAAGGACTCAGGCTGGCCTCATACATGAGCAGCTTTGAGAAGAGCTTCAACATCTCGCGGCGGTCGGCATTGTGCAATGCTACGGCAAAGGCGGGCGAACGGAGGGTGGCATGTTAAATGTGTGCGCAAGTTGCAGATGGTAGTGGCTTGAGCGTGATGGGGCTGCGATACGCTTGGCATACCAGCTGGGTCGAGCGGGGCGACGTATTCCTCGCCCGTGCCCTCCTCGTCCACGGGAATGCCAAGTTTCCTATCATGCATGGGATATCAAAAACCAGACACGAGACGTGTGAGTGCTGGCCACCAGTCGCAATGAATCTGCCTGCTGCGGTGTTTTCCGAGGCAAGCAACAGACCGCATATACTTGATGACAATGTTCCAGTTGTCAATCTCTTGTGGAAAGGCTCGAGGATTCTTGTGGAAGTGAGGTGGTTTGATGCCGGTCTCCTTACTCACTGACTCGAGTGCTTTGATCACTGTGCAACGAGATGCGGGTAACATTGAGAGCTAGCATGCACGTTGTGGGTGGCCGTCGCCTGTGCGCTGCTCTGTTTCCAGAGAAAACGAGGGGAAAAAAACTTACCTGCCACACCGTTCTTCAGAGAGTCGGTAAGATCAGACACGGGGGACATGCCCACCTGCTCCAAGTGGTCGTTGATCCATACGAGATACATCTGTCAACAGAAGGGAGAGCATGAAGGGGCAGGGTCAGCCGAGCTGGACCGCAAGCTGCGCACGAGCCACGCGTTCGATGTGAACTGGAGGCAAAAGTGGGGTAGAGCGAGCGGACAGACCTTCTCCTCGGCAAGTGCAGCTTCAGAAAGCATTTTCATGTGCTCATCAGCGCGATCAGCGGCGGCGTTTTGCAAGTCGGCAGGCTTCTTGGTCTCTTCCTCTTTGATTTTGATGTCAACTTGCTGAATCTGATCGTCACGATCAAACCACTCCTTGACGCGAGGAATGTTGCGAAACTGGTCGGTAGGATCAAATAGCAAGGTGAGCAACGGGCGGTGGCGACCCAGACCGTCTCGTTCTTGCAGCCACATATACCAGTTGACGGAACTTACGCCCTCACGCTCCTGCACGTTGATGCCTTGCTGGACAGCTGCTGATGGTGCAGCGCTAGGTGCAGGCGGGTTGACCATCCGGCCATCTGGAGACAAGTACCATGTGGGTTGGGGTTGGAAATGAGACGTCATCGAGCTTCGAGCTCAGGCAGGGGGCTGGGGGCAGGCTGAGGGTCGCATACCTGGATTCATCAGTGGACTGGCAGCATAGGGGCCTTCCACACCCACCGGAATCTGCCAAGCCCGTCGCAATGAAGTGCCGCGCCATGACAGAATAAGGATGGGGGACGTGGTGTGGGCAAGAGGTCGATACGATAAGAAACGAGGTGGAAAGGCGCAAAGTTATTGAAGGAACACAAAGTTCGGAACTGACCACAGAAGCGGGGCTACTGGCAGCAGGTGCAGTTGTGCTCATGCGGGCCATGCCTGCGGTGATGCCACCGGCCGTGGGCAGAGAGGCGTTCCAATGGTTTTGATATTGTTGCAACTCGCTGGCTGAGACCGTGCTGGCACAGAAGCGAACAAGGACGGTGGGCAGGCGGTCATCTGGGTTGCGGTAAAATTGAACCAGCTCATCCAATGAGCCAAATCCAGGGCCGTCATCAATGCGGTACAGGCCTGTCTTGCGCTATGCAGGTGGGTGAGCCAGGGGTGAGGCGAGTTGGAGAAGATGTGATTCGACCTAAAGGCGTGAGCGATGAAACTTGTACCGAGATTTTAAAGTGCTGAAGTTTGCCTTGAGCCACGACTGAAAGGGCATAGTCTCCTGGTGTGCGTGCGCTCTCGCGCACCAGGAACAGTCCCTCAGAGAAACTATCAGTATACCGACCATGAAAATGGCAAGTCAGGCCTTGAGGCGTCGGAGCCAGATGCGCAGCACCACGCGGGACATCAAAAGCTGAACAAGCATACCCATTGCTGCGCACAAGAGCATCGACCTCTTCGCGGCTAATCTTGCCGTGCATGTATGGGGGTTTGTCTGGCATGCGAGCAAGCATACAGGACGGCAGCAGTGAGATGTGCACTTGCGATGCGCTGGCACGTCGGCATGCACGAGCGTGCGCGGACTGAGACGGTTGTATGTACCAGAGACAGTCGTCATGGCTTCCTCATCCGTGACATTCTGGTACATGGCTTGATTCTGAACCACGGGAGCCGTCATGCTGCTGGTTCTTGAGGGGATTGCAGCCCTGGAGTCGAGCCGCGCCAAGGAAGAAAGGTGTAATGGGAAGGGGGCGGGGACAAAGCACCCGAGCTGCAGATAAACTCAATGCAGACCGAGGCTTGAACGAGAGCCTGCTTGTCAACAAGACTTGTTTGTATTTTATGCCCTTTTGATGTTCTCAGGAGCCGCCGCGCAAGAGCTGCAACAGGTCCAGTGGTGGTCACCGTCGTCCCGCCGCTGCCGTTGATGTTCCGAGTGTGCGCCGTGTGTGAGAGAATGAGAGAGAGAGAGAGAAAACAAACAAAATAAAGACAGACATTTGGTAATGGAATGATGAATGCTGACATTCGGCGACGTACCAAGTGTGATGACGCCGAAGCAGTTGTCAGAATTTTTAAGGTGGTGACAATTGTTGTTTAGAACTTCTGTATTCCAATGTCATCGAGAACAGCTGTGACGTCTCTAACATCTGGTCATCGCGTCATCGGTCATCGGGGCATTGGTGCTGGTGCGCAAGGTTGTTTGCACAGCGACCAGGTGAAGAGGAGTAAATGGGTGTTGATCTGAACTGCGCGATGCAAAAGTATTTTCAGGGTATTGTGTGGCGACCTGCGGACAAGGTTTTACGCACGCCAACTTGAATTGTTTTCGGATTCGCGCTTGCTGGCAGAAACAATGATTTTTGTAGAACCGATGAACGCGCGTCCCCTCTGCTGCTGCTGCGTCTTGTCACCGCACGTTTGCTGGTGTTGGCATGACAGTTTGGATGGCCAATCAAGATTTTAAAGCGTGATGAGCACGCCTTTCTTGCGTTGTGTGTGAGGGCGCCCAATGGAGCTCTGAACTTGGTCGGCGCCTGCCAGCGACCGTGAGACTGAATTGGCCTCGACCGGTCTCGACCAGCTCGGCGTTCTCTGAAATCAACATGCCCAGCGGCACCCCGCTTACCCCATTTACTAGCCTCCCAGGACACTTTGCACCGGAATTTCGACACGCCAGCAGAATCTGTGCGCGCTTGTCCAAAACGCCTATGGAGGACTGTATGTGCTCTGGCGACCAAACACGTACAAAGCCAAAGGCAGCTGTCGGTGGTCAAGGGTCTCAAGGAACACGCATGGGATCAGTATGGGATCTTTGGTGGTCGACTTTTCTTGTTCAGGTGCTACGTGCTTCACCATCACGTTTCAAAAAGCCTTTGCGTCGGGGAAGGAATTGCAAGCATGGTGGCGATTGGCCGTTTTTGTGGCTGGCCTTCAGAAGGAACAAGACAACGACAACCCCCGCCTCTAGGTTTGGCACGCGTCGCTAACGTTGATGAAGTAGGACATTCCCTGAACCCTGCCTGTTCTGTTGATCGACCAAACAAACTCACACGACGTCCGACGCGTTGAAACGCGTGCTTGTTGCGTACCAGCACGACCAGATCCACGTCCACTCGAATTTCTTGCAGCAGCCTTGCCAACGTGATGACGTCTACTTGAACGTGTGCGCATGCGTTGGTGTTGGGAGAACATGTCCCTCTCGTTCCTCGGCCCACCAGACAGAAGGACAGGAGCCTGTCCCGGTCCGCTCGTCGATGTCTCTCCCTGCTCGAGTGTGTGTTTTCCGTTCAAAACAGTTGATGCCCGTTTCTTTTTCCTTCCTCTTTTGGCTGACTCTGAATTACGGTACAATCAACCAACCGGTTCCTTGACAATGTTACGCCTTGTGACGTTGCACTAGTTACACTTTCCACACACTTTTATACCTGTTTGACACACTTTTGATACACTTTTATACCTGTTTGACACACTTTTGACATACTTTTGACAATGATTGTACCGTCGTGGCTGGGATCGCCATGTATCCACTTTTCCGCTCCTTGATGATTTGGTTGGGGCTCTGGATGGATTGCTTCGCTTCCACACACACACACACACACACACACACACACACACACACACTTGGCGGAACGAAAAGGGTGCAGGGGCAAGGTACGGGCAGGGAGCGCCTCACGGTTTGTTCTGGCTTTGCGCGGTGGATCTGCACACGCTAACATTGGCACAGAAGTGAACGCGACGCGTTGAGGTCCTCTCTTGGCGCGTTGTCTGCGCTGTGTGGCTGCGTGTCAATCAAGTCGCCACTTGCAAGCCCCAACCCGCACGATTTTCCTTTTTGCTGCATCTTATTTTACCATTTGCGCGTTTGCTTTTGTACCACTCGGATCGTGTGTCGTTTTACGCCCTCTCCGATCGTGGTCGGGCCCGACCACACCTTGCTGTGCGCTCGCCGTCCGGGAACATCAACAAGCCAGCCAATCAAAACATCAACACACACGACCCCCTGCTGCTGTTGCTGCTGCAACAGAGAACAACCACAGAGGCCGCCCCGCCCCACCGGTGCTTTCAATCTCGGGGCACCATTGATCGTCTGCACGCGCGCCCAGCTCGCTGCCTTTCCTTCGTCTGGGTGGGCAGCGTTGCCCTCGTTCTTCTTTTCGTTACCACCGGCCCGGCCATTGCATAGCCTCCCCTCGCCTCACACCTACCACCAGGCTCAGTCTCCCCGAGACCCCCGTTGCTGACGGCATTGCAACACCCACACAAGTGTCGCCATGGCTTCCCCCTCCCCCTCGGCCTCTGCTTCCCCACCCACATCTCCCCCAGCAGCGGGAAGAACACCATCCCGTCGCATCGTCGTACAACCCCCTCCACCGCTGGCCAGCATCCGAGAAGTGGATGATGGTGAGTTTCATTTTACCCCCGTTCCTCGTCGCCCCGAATCACTCGCCAGCCCCCACACCTATCCGATCTGATCTGACCGCCACCTCTGCCCGCTTGCTCGCTGGCCCATGTTTTTCGATACAAGAGCAAACCCCGACCCACAACAGCACCGCCAGCGCCAACGCAAGCATGCCTCCACACGAGTCCCGTACGTCCCGACGTCCACCACGAAGCCTTGTCCAATCAGGCCAAAGGCCTTCGACATCTGGCTGCTTCCCCTCTGCCCCACCTCAGGCCCCACCCATCTCATCTAAAAGTCATCTAACCCCTGCCCCTCGTGTGTGTGCCCGGCCATACATCCCAACTCTCAGACAAAAATCCACATCGGCGTGTGCGCATGCGGCCTGACCCTCTGACCGACGTGATGGATACCAGCGCTTCCCCCTCTACTGCCTCACCTCATCGTCGGGTACGTTCTCGTCACACATCGAGGCCCCTGCCGCCTTTGTTGCTGCCCGCGCGGCACATACCCGATCCATACCTGTACTGCCCCAGACGCACCCTGCCTGGGACAGTCTGACTCGGCCGTGACGCTTGACAATTCGTGATAGGATCCCAGTGCGTCATCTTCACAGCCCACTCAAGTGTGGGGATTTCCTCGGGCCTATCATATTGAAGATACCATCAGCCTCGGCCCCTCCTCCACCCCACAAGCTGTTGCCCACCATGCGCTCATCACCGAGAACGGCGAACGCTGTACGTCCTCAAACATCCGCATTGGCTCCTGGGGAACCACCAAACTCCAAAGCCATGTGCCTCATCGTGGCTGCCGCTTGCCGCGCTTTGCGTAGTTGGCTTTGAAGATATGCTCGAGCCTAGCTCTGGCCTGATGCCACCCACCGCCTCAAGTACCCGCTCGCGAGGCCATCGCCGCTCTGCCAGCGCCAACAGCGAGTTGCTCTATGACAACCTCACCTCCGCCGTCAACCCCACATCAAGCCTGCGCCAGCCCAACACACCCCATGCCAGAAGTGCTCTCAACGATCTGCTCTTTACCCGGCCTGTCTCGCGCACCTCGAGCGCCACCCGCACCGCCAGCGCTTCAGCCGGAACACCCTTTGCCACCCCTCCCACCACGCCCGTCCCCGTTTCTACCCTCCTGCAAACCAGCCTCCCCATCGACTCCGCCCATACCTCCGCCTTCTCGCGAACCCCCTCAACCCGCGTCATGAGCAACTGCATCGGCCGTGATATCCTCAAGCGTATGGATGCAGCCGCCGCCCGCTGCCCCCCCATTGACCCAGAGCAAATTCATGATCGCGAAGTTCGACGACGTCTGCGAGAGATGAACGTCTTCATTCTTGACAACTCGCTGCGCGAGACGGTTGTTGGGGCCGTACATGGTCACTCCGTTTCCAAAAAGCGCGAAATCTTTCGCTGGGTTCACGCCTGCAACTTCAATTACACCATCGTCGCCAGTCTGGGACCCGAGTGGCGTGTCGACGAAGACTTTATGGCTTATCTTCGCGACGAGTACTACAATGCCGCCAACCTCCCCCAGCGCATGCCGTCTCAAGACTATGCGGGCCCGGACATTGATCCCCTTGAACGCTGTTTCGTCTTTTGTGAGCTTGCCGACACCATCTCCTCGGCCGGCCACATCTACGTCAACGACGAAGATGCGCCCATTACCCTCCAAAAATCTATCGACCTCGGCTTTCACAATATGATTGTCGAGGTCGACCTTGCCCGCATCATGATGCTTGACCACCTACTCCAACCCGAGTTTCGCTGGAACGAAATTTACGATCGGCTTGACTTTGAGAGCCTGCATAGCGCAGCTGATGTGCCCCGGGACATTGCCATTGAGATTGAGCACGCCATTGCCCTCCGTTACGCTTCAGCCGTCAGCTTCGTCATTCAGAGGCACATTCTTCCCTGTTGCAAAAAGGGAATCAAGCCGAAAATCTTTGTCAACCTGCGCGACTTTCCCATTGCCATCCTCCGCTGCCCCGATCGCCTCTTTCGCTTTGTGGCTGCCCTGGCCGCAACGCACGAGCAGAACTGCTTGATTGGTCTCATGTATGAAGACCCCATGGGTGACTTCCTGCCCTCCGAGCTTGGCTATTGGACTCGTCTTTTGCGTGACACCATGGACAGCGCGGGCTGGGTGTCCAAGTTTCAACAAGACGAGAACCAGCTCGATGGCCTTCTTCTCACCCACATTCACGAACAGTGGGGAGCTGCTGACACGGCGCAGCTCATGTGCCTGGCCAACGGCGCCGATGGCGCGTGGTGCAGCGTCTGCACCGTTGGTGCCGCCATTGGGCATGCCTCCTCGGCCGTCCTTCTGGCCAATCTGGCCCGCATTGGCAATAAACATGTGCAAAACAAGTACCGCTCGCACCAGCTTTTGCCCGCCGCCCGCAATGTCCACTACTTGACCACCAACCGGCCCGTGCCCTCGCGACAAGTGGTCTACGGCACCATGGCGCTCGAGGCCGTCTTTGCCTTTCGCAACATTGCCGGTGGCATGGGTTACGACTTTGATCTCGACATCAACGGCTCTGGCGCAAAAACGGACAGCGACACGTTTACCGCTGCCGGCTTCTTTGGAATCGAGCCGCCTGTGCGCCTGACCGCGCTCAGCCCCCCGGCTCACTTTTTGCAGCGCTGCATCGAGTGCTACGGCAACCATCGTCTTTTCCAAGACCCCATTTTTGGCCAGCGACTCAAGGAGCGGGCCTTGGCATGCGAGCGGGCTCAACAAGCCATCGAGTACTCTACACCCCTGGGCTTGCATCAGCTGCTCAAAGAGGTGCTGGCCGAACCGGCCTACGCCCGCACCTGCAAGTGCCAAGCCCTCGAGTCGTGCGACAGACCTGGATGCTCGGAACAGCAAGTCGTGGCCATGGCTCTTCAGGAGCATCGCGTCCTCACCGCCCCTGCTCGTCAACTGCTCACCCAAACGTGCATCTACTTTTTGCACTGCCGCGATGCTTTCAAGAACCCCCACCCGCAATTTCGCTCCCATTTTTGTCAACAGATTGAGGGTGTGGGTCAAGTCATTAGCCTCAACGCTTTTGTGGCTGGGTTTTTGCACAAGTACTTTGCCGACTTTGATTTTTTCGATCTATCGCATCTGCTCTTCTTCAACATCAGCCGAAATGGGGAGGTACCCACGCCCGAGCGAGCACCGTACGACCTCTACCTGCCCCTGGAAGAGTGGGCAACCTGGTGTGCGTACAGCTTGTACCAGCACGGCTTCCGAATTCCCACCGTCGATGAGTTGCATCAAGACACGCTTCGCTACGTGGTGCTGGCCCAAACGCTGCATCACCGAAAGCAGCGACAACAGCCACAACCAGGCAATTCGCACGCGCCATCCTCCGCGGCCGATGACGCACAGACTGTCGAGTGTCAGCTCAACGCGCAGGAATGGTATGACGTTCTGAACGTCTCAAGCTCAGAATTCTCGTTTGAGCCCGCGCCGCATCAACGCCAGGCCCAGCGCCACGTGACCATCCGTGTCCGCGTCGCCGACGCAAAGGTTGCCTTGCCTGTGTGCACCCTACTGGATGATCAAATGCGTCAGTCCATGTTCGACCAACACACCTTGACCCGCGTGAAGCGTGCCCGCTCCGAAGGAGAGCGCACGGCCCCACGGCCCTCCACAAGCAGTGATACCCACAGCCCACCGCAGCGACGCAGGCGCAGCTCTGCCTTGGTGGATTTTATTCGAAGAAGCATTTTTCGTCGCCGCTCCTCTCGAACAAATCCCGGGCAAGAGGACCGCGAAGCAGGCTCTGTGGTCTCTGAGCCCACCTTGCCCCGCCACCGAAGCTCATCTCGCGATGAAAGGCTTAGCCATGCCGACACCTCATCGCTACTGTCCCGTGCCTCGGCACCCGTCCCCTTGAGTGCCGCTCGGCTCTCGCATCAGGATTTGGAGGCGGACTTGGTTGCCGAGTACCATCCTGCTACCACCCCTGCTGCCATCCCTGCCTGGTCCTGAGGATCTGAAGGCGCCACGCGCCCGCGCTGCCTCGTACATTGCTAGACCTCTCCGTGTGATCTCATTTTATTATTTCATCTTATTATTATCATGGCCACCATCACAGCACACGTGTGCGTGACCCATTCTCCTACTTACCCCACCACATCAGGCCAGCTCCTTGACACAGAGACCTGCGGTGAGGGTGCACATTATTCGCGCCCATAGACGTATCACATCATGAGACCATCATCCGATATCATACTCCTGAGCTCCAAGAGAATAATGTTATCATCATCTGCTTCATTTATTTCCAATGATTGTCATGCCTTGAAATCGAACTTTGAAATGGTCAAACCCGAGCCCACAAGGCTATGACTGCCATGCCGTAGGAACGTGTGCCCGTGGAACATGCCACATTTGAGCACGTTTTTTTCACGCGTATGGCGCCCAATCCCATCTCATGTCTCTCCAGACGCGCGACCGAACTGAATAAACGAACCTTAAGCAAGCAAGACATAAAGAAAAGCAAACTACAATATCTCTATAAACTCGTGTGAGAAGCCTACCTCCTCGAACGCATGAAAGCTCAAGCAGGGGTAGAAGAAGGAGCACGGGAAAGCGAGCGGCTGAGACGGAAAAAAAAGGGAAAAAAAGGTTAAAAAACATGAAAAAGAGAGAGAACAAAGGAAAGTGAGGACGATCACACAACACACACACTCACACAAAAAAAAAAAACGCTGACAATGCGTCTTTTCTGCATCACACGTGTGAACGCCACTTCTCTCCCTCTTTTCGCCTTTGAGCTGTCGACGTGAAACGGCAGCGCAGGCGGTGCATCGCGAGACCTTCTTCGAAGTTGTGGTGGCCTGGTGTGGATATTTCCTGTTTGCTTTTCCTTTAACGAGGTCTGTTTCAGACAGCCTGGGCCGTACTCTCCTTTGACGGTCGCAATGCCTCTGGTCTCGTTCATCTCGTCTTCCCTCACCCGCCCTTGCTGCGGCGGTGCTTGATTCAAACTGGTGGCGTCGTAGAACCAGGAGCCGCGGCAATGGATGTCCAGGCCGACTTCCATGATGCCTTTGTGCCTGGTCATGCGACGTTTGAGGACTTCAACACGGTACGCCTTCTCAGTCGTGCACCGCGCGCGAGCCACGACCGACTCACGCTGCATCTTGTGCTGCATCTTGTGCTGCATCTTGTGCTGCATCTCATGCCTTTTCTGCAGGCCTTGTCTTCGGCCTTGATTACTGGTACCAAGGCCAGCCATCAGCTGCCTAAGGTCAGATTGGGGGCTGTCGCTCTGGTGTTGCTGGTTGGGTTGCGCCTTCCTGACCACTCTTTCGATTTGCCCTGTGGCCTGAGCTAGAACCATGATCATGACTTTCACATGATGGAAGCCGGCTTTAAGGAACGGGCCATCAAGCTCCAAGACCGCCTCGCTCGCCTGTACGCCTGCACTGCATCTGCCCGCTAGAATCAGATGGCCAAGTTATGCTTCCTTGTGCTTAGCCGTCATCTCATGATGTCTCCTTCGGCTAGGTTGCACGCCTCCTTGGACGCCATTGGACCAGAAGGTGGAGTGGCTGCCGGCCTGCCTTCAGATTTGGACGATATTCACGATGCCCTATCCACATCACTTGATGCAGTCTATGAGCGCGTGGTTCGTCCTTTACCATGTTTTGCTCAACCACCGCAGCACGCCGTCTTGCTCGATGCTCATTTGTTTCCCCACCCTTTTGTGAATTTCTCTCGAATATTTTTCTGGGACACACAGGATATCGCTTGTGATGAGGTCCTCGGCGCTCGGGAGAAAGAGCGACAGGCTCTCAAGGTAAGGCAGCGCCCATTCTCAACCTTTGATTGTTCTGGAAGACCCCATCTCCGATACACGTGTCCTGATACGTGTTGGCGCTGGTCGATACCTCGTTCCTCGCCTGTTTATTTAAACCATAGTCAAGCACCTCCAGCACCACTCTGCAACGTCGCTCCGGTGCTTGGAATCAAAGCTCGGCGCGCAATGCAGTCACCGTCATGCATGCACAAAACGTGCAGCGCCCACAGGTGCGCATTGGCCTTATCCCTACCTTCTCAGATGTGCATGCCGCCCGGCCACCGACCGACCTCACATATCATGTTCTCTATCATCTCGGGTACAGCTTCGGTTCCAAGTGCCCGTGGATAACTCCGCAACGCCCTTTGTACCCCGACTGGTGGAAAAGCCCCATGCTTCGGTTTGTATCTCTGCCTGTGAAGCTTTCCGATTGCAAAGGACATACAGAGAGACACGCGATCTTCATTGAGCTTCTCAACTTTTTATGTTCTTCTCCTCAGGCTCCACTGGACCTGACCCTTGTGCCTGTGGGAAGCACTTCCACGGGTGGCGAAGCGGTGAGTTTAGCGTGTACTATAGCCAGCTCGTGAACCGGTGTGGGTTCTAAGCTTATCCAATCGTGACCTGGGCCTCCGGCTCAACTAGGACTCATTGATGGTCGACCACTTGGAGAAACTGGGCCTGCGGGATCAAGCAAACACTGGCTTTGACACATATTGCCCACATCCCTACTTGACAGAGCTCAACGAATTTGAGGTGCCACAACACCAGCTTCAACCGCACGAAGAGCGACTCTATGGTGACCTCGAGCAAACGACTTGCACCTGGGTTGGCACACGAGAGGCGCTCGTTGTACGTTTGAGCCTGACCTAACACAAGCGTTCTTCTGAGAACTGACGCTGCGCACACGATGCTCCACCTGCGCGCGAGCAGTGCCCCACCGTGCTCGTCGCATACTGCATTGACATGTGCTTCATGTCGGTAACTCTCCGAATAGGGCTTGATTGAGCGACTCAAAAGCGTTTCTGAACTTGCCATTGATCTTGAGGCGCACAGTTATCGCACCTATCAAGGCTTTACGTGCCTGATGCAGGTTCGTATCAGCGCCATTCCAAGGCCTGCAATCAAGAAGTTGTCGATCCTGCAGCCATGCCTGATTGGAACGTGCCATCCCCCTTTTTTTTTTTTGCTTGCTCCGTCTCCTTAGCTGTCGACGCGCAGCGAAGATTACCTGATTGACACGCTTGCCTTGCGTGATGACCTCAAGTTGCTCAACGTCATCTTTGCTGATCCTGCCATTCTCAAGGTGGGTGTACCTGCTCATCTGGGCTTGGCGACAAGAGGTGGTTTGAAAATGCATGGTGGTTGGCGAAACAAGCTGTGGTTTGAGCTCACCCGTTTTGCTGCTTTCCACCTCGGCCGTGACTGTCGAACATATGGCAACCCAGGTGTTGCATGGAGCAGATAGCGACATCTTGTGGCTACAGCGAGACCACAGCCTCTATATCGTGAACATGTTTGATACGGGACAAGCCACCCGTGTTTTGAACTTTCCTCGCCATTCGCTGGCCTGGCTCCTGCAACATTACTGCAATTTCAAGGCCGACAAAAAGTACCAGCTGGCCGACTGGCGAGTCCGCCCTCTTTCTGAGGAGATGCTTCACTACGCACGCTGCGACACCCATTTTCTGTTGTACATCTACGATCGATTGCAGTGCGTGACGTTCAGCCTGATCCCCCTTTGCCCTTCTTGTTCGTTCCACCTAAGAGTCGCTGGTGTTTTCATGCTCCATTCCTCACTCTACAACGTCCTGGTTTGGTCACGGGATAGCTCGGAGCTCTTGGCGCAAGGCAACGAGCAAGCCAATCTGCTTCGTGCCGTTTATCAACGCAGCAAAGGTCCGCCTTGGGACTCCACTGCTTGTGAGCCCATCTCATCATATTTTCGCGTGCAAGGACTGACTCGGTGCCACGCAAACCGATAGAACTCTGCTTGCAGCGGTATGAAAAGCCTTTCTACTCGCAGGCCACGGCCGAAGATGCACTGAACCGCATGAGCCGCAGCCTCGTGCCCTCGGCCGTCGAGCTCTTTATGGTGCGCGCACGCACATTCTTGTTTTCGAATCGGGCATCCATCGATTCGCTGGCCGGCCATGATTATCTTTGCTGTAACCTCTCACGAATCATTTCTGCTGATAGGCCTTGCATGCCTGGCGCGACCAGGTCGCACGCGACGAGGATGAGAGCCCCCGGTATGCGATCGTCCTCATGTTTACCTTACCTAACCGCCATGCTTTGCTGATATCTGATTGATTTGGGGCGGTCATCTTATCCTTGTGCAACACCAACAGCTATGTGTTACCGGATCACATGTTACTGGAGCTTGCCTCTCGAGCGCCGACAGAAACAGGCCAAATTCTAGCCTGTTGCCAGCCCATCCCACCGCTTGTGCGCGTCAATGTTCAACTCATTCAGGACGTGAGTCGGATCCCAGCTCGTCTTGCCTTGAATTGTGCACTTTTGCCGTCTGCCATGACCGCTCGCCTGACGCGTTGGCTGCAGATTATTCTCACCAAGGGTGAGGCCATTCACGCCATGATGGCGAGCAGCAACCGATTTTATGCTGCAGATGCCACCGATTTCCACGGTGGCCACGAGGAAACCGTCCGTCGTGTGCATCGATTTGACAAGCAATTCCTCGGTGCCCAGGTCAGACGGGTCGAAGCTTTTTTTGTTTCGAACAGCATCTTAGTTTTGTAATCCTGTTATGCTGTTATATTTTTTCCCTCGTGATCGGCTTTGAGGCTCATTGATGCTTTGGGGATGGCTCTTGGTAGGACCACGGTCACCTTTTCCGCAAGCCTTCACTCACGTTTGCTGTGCCCGCAAGTGCACCGGTTGCCAAGTCTCAGTACAAGGTATATTGATTTGCCGTTGAGGCTTTTAGGCTGCGCTCTTGACATTTTCAGCAACAGTCAATGACCCCGGCCTGGCATGGTATCCCCGTCTATTTAGGGCCGCAAGTTGGCGGCTGAAGTTCTTGCTTCTCTCGGCTCCGAGCGCATTTTTACGGAGGTGCCAGAAGAGCATCGCGGGGCGCTGGATCATGCAAAAGACTATGAAGCTCGTTTGGAAGCTTTGCGTCAGAAGGCGACCGATGCTGCAGCCGGGGCAGACGAAAGCACCGCGGGTTCAAACGCCGTTCCTGACGAGTCAAGCGCCGGGACGAATCGAGCGTCGGCCATTGCCATCAACGATAGTGATGACGACCTGGATATTGTGGCACTTGCTGATCGGCTCAACGCTTCTCCTCCAGAGCAAGGTATTATCACCGTCGTGGGATCAGAGTGGTGTGCTGATATTAATCCAGGCTCTTTGACGCGTGCCCAATCCCAGGTGATGAGCAGCCTTCCAAGAAGGGCAAGCACCCGAAGCAGGACAAGTCTCTGGTATGTTTATTTGCTTGCTCGCTCGAACAATCCTATGCTCATGACTCTAGCTCGGCCGGATCTCAATTGGGACAACTCTTGACAGAAGAAGACGGTTCAGGCAGCCGATGTGAAACGTTACGCTTACACAACTTCGGGCGAAGAATTTGCTCAAGGTTTGTTGGCAAGTTCTGCCATGTGGGCGGCCACCCTTTCAACTCATCTACCCCGGCCTTTGCAGGATCCTCTGCCGCACGAGCACAAGTGAATCCCATGGCATTAGGCGAATCCAAACCCAAGGTTAGTTTGGGGATGTCGCGATCACCGCCACCAACTTTGGTTGAATCGCTCAAAACCCAATGGTGCTTTGCTCAGAAATCCAAAAGGGACAATGGTAGCAAGACACGCAAGTCTGTGCACAAGAGCTTTTCTTTCAAGACAGGTCGTTAAATTGCAGACTTGTTGCAGCACTCTTCTCCCTCCCCCCTCCTTTTTTTTTTTTTTGGGCAAAAGCTGAGCCAGCTCCAATTCATGACAAGGTATTGGTACATCCGGATGTACAAAGAAAAACAACTGATTGCATGCAAATTGTGCTTGTTCTGTTTTTCGTTTTCCATCAAACATGTTCAATTCTTTCTATTCCCCGCGCGGCGGGAGAATGGTGGACTACCATGATGAGCAGGTGCAAGGAACAGTGCAAGACCGCACTTTCACTCACTCACGGGCAGACAGGCAAACAGGCAAACAAGCACCTGGACAGTTAGGCACATAATCGGTCAGAAACATCCAGCCGGACAGCCAAACAGGTGCACGGACAGAGAGTTGATGCCCCCATATTGGTTGGCCACACACGGGGCACGCAAACACACGAGAAAAATTTCAAAGAGCGGGGACCAAGAGCATTTGCGCGCTGATTCATCTACAGGTACGCTTTTCATCGTTTGAGAGAGTCTGCTCTGGGCACGTTGACATGAACACGAATAGCGCCAGTCAAGTCAGCCGAGACAATGGTGATGCTATTCGTGATGGCCTGGAGCTGGCTGGAGCCAAAGGTGGCCACGGTCGTCACGGCTGCTTGAGCAGCAAAGGCGTAGTACTCGCCATTCTTGTCGCGACGCCAGCGTCGATTGTTAGCTGGCGGATCACGGTGGCACTCCCACAGGTAAATGCGTTGGTCTTCAGAGCCGCAGACGATATAGGCGCCATTGGAACTATTGGTAAAAGACAAGCACGGCATGTCCACAAGCGAGGGCCGTGTGAGATTGTAAGCGGTAAAAAGGCGTGGTGTGGGGATGGCCAGTATGGAAGGGGGTGGGGTTTGGGGGGCATCGCAGTACCTGAAGGAGGCTGCAATCTGTGAGCTATGATTGGTGAAGCCTTTGTACTTGCAGACGAGAGACAGGTCGGAGAGATCAAACACACGAAGACGCGAATCATTTGTGGTGATAAGGAGCTGGCGCTGATCATGCGAAGGCATGATGCCGCTGACTTTGCAACGCTTCTTCTTGCCCGGCATGAGCTGCAATTGTGTGTGGTAGCGCATTTTGGCGGCGGTCTTGAAGAAGACGCAGCGCCCATCATATGTGCCGGCCACAACATAGCTACCATCCTTGCAGAAGGTGGCTGCCGTCACAAGGTTGCTTTCTATAGTGTGTGGTGGGCAAGGTCACAAATTGTAAGATATAACCCCATGTTTTATTGCGATGTCGCCCAGGCTCAAGGCACATACCACCACCCGTAACTTCAGCCTCATGAACCACCTTGCGTTGCATGATGTTCCACAACCGAAGCTTGCCGTCAAGCGAGCCACTCAAAAAATACATCTCATTCTGGTTTATTGTCACCAATCGGAAAGGTTAGGCAAATGTCAAGATCACACAACCACAAGGCACGGCCACAGCAGCAGACAAGACACCTCGGACACACACACATCTTGAAAAATATCATGCTTGGCAGGAGATGAGGAGATAACAGGACGCACCTTGGGATGAAAGGCTAGGGCGGTGACAAAATCGCTATGTGTAAACGTGGCCACGGGGCTGGAGCGGCGCAAATGCCACAGACGCACTGTCATGTCCATGCTGGAAGAGAGGAGGACGTGATTTTCCTCCGAAGGCGCCCAGCATACGTCAAGGACATCGGCCGTATGTCCATGTAGCTCGAGCAGCGGCGTGGGGTGGAAGACGTCCGATTCTGAGGCGGGCCCAAAATCCTTAGTGCGAAAGCTGGGATCGGCAGTTTCCTTGAGAAGCTTCGCGTGCATAGCCTCAAAGTGCTCTTGTACTACCCAGACGCGCACGAGACGATCCTGACCAGCCGTGGCCATGAGTCGGCCGTCAGCACTGAAGCGCATGGCCCAGATCGAGCCCTGATGGCCCGCCGGGATATCCTGGGTCATGCGTACGTAACGAAAGACGCGTGGGCGGTCTTTGACGTGGGAGCTGACTTTGGTCAGTCCGTCTGCGTCATCAAGCGAGTTGCGGTTCTCACGTGCGTCCTGCAGCCGCCGCAGGGCACGGTTTTTGGCGTTGGAAACCGAGGTTTTGGCGCGTGACAGGGCGCGCTTCACCCGAGAGCGGGTTGTGGAGGACGTGCCATCCTCATTGTCGGGATCGACAGCGTCTGTGGAAGGCGTGCGTGAGAGGTTGAGTTCATTGGTACGCCGGATGACTTGCAGCGCTAGTGGGCTCAGCATTTTGGGGAGGATGGCGTCCGCCTCGGCGAGGGTCATGATTTCACCCGTGTCCAAGCATTTGAGGCGAACGCGACGAAGGACATCGTCATCCGACATGACGCGTCCCGATGCGGTGCGCGGTAGGACAGCCACATTGCTCAAGTCCTCATCGCTGCCAGTAGGGCAGACGGGAAAAGATTTAGTAGCCGCCCTTGCAGTCGTCTTGGCAGCCGACCCTAGCTCGGGCACGCTTTCAGATGGTTGGTCAAGGCTGCTGCCCAGGCTCACGGTGGGTGTGGGGTCGACAGGCGTTTCGGCAACGCTTCTTGAGAGCGCTTCGGCTGATCCGAGCGGATCGGCTGACATGGAGGCTCCAAGGGGCGTCTGATTGCCGCTGTCGAGACTTGTCGTAGAATCATGTGCTACGGCAGTATCCGTGCTCTTCTGACGGCGTCGGCGAGGCGGTGCCACAGGGGCGGGTGCATCGGAAGCTGGGGGAAGTAACGTGAGCACGCGAGGAGTGGGTTTAGAACGGGAGCTGTGGTTGTCGGAATTTGCTGGACTGGAAGCCGTGACCCCAGCTTGTTGACGCTGACTGGTCTTGCGGCGGCGGGCCGGGGCGACGGGGGCTGGGCTAGAACTGTCGTCAGCCGGCCCAGTGTTAGTTTGTGTTTTTTCGGGCAAGACCGTGGGCGGAGCGGAATGAACCATTTGACGAGGAGTAGTGGCTCGGAGGGCAGCGGCTGCATGGGAGGCCGAGGCTGGCATGGGCACGACCTCCTCCACCTCTTCAACAATGTCGAGGCCAGAATGGCTCCGCTGGGACTCGAGGGTGAGTTGCTCGAGCATTTCGCTGGTCAAGCTGGGGGAGCGAGTGCGATCCAGGTGGCTGCCTGGTGGGGGCAGATCCAGCCACGAGTCGGCAGCGTCGTCATCTAGCTGCAAAATGTCCGAGTTAAAACTGATGCGGCGCGGTTCTCCATGATCGGGATCACGAGAGCGCCGGCGCCGGCTCCCCTCGCGAGATGAGCCGTGGGTACTGCGGCGAGCGGCTGGGGTCTTAAAAATGGTATCATCAGCCCCGACACCAGAGCTACGATCAAAAGTGTCACCAGTATTAGGATCAGCATCATCCCCAGAGGGTGAATCACCATCGACCTCGTCGCCTTCCTCTTCATCACTGCTGAGGTCGGAGCAGGCTGACATAAACTCGTCTTCGCTGTCTGACAGGAGTTCAGGCTCCTCCACGCCAGCGTCGGCGTCGGCGCTCGATGCGGCCGTTGTTTGGGCCATGAGATCGATTGTGGCTGATCTAAATCCTTCAAGAAGGCCGTGCCGGCAACTTAAAGCCTCCCACTTTGCAGAGGGATCGGGCGGGTCGGCGGGCTTCCAAAACGGAGATGAAAAGCCAAGCACCGACCCTGCCACAGCAGCAAGCAGCAGCACGTAAAGCTGCTGATCATCGAAAAGCAGATCTTCTTACTGGTGCCCTGTTGGGTTCAATGCCAGGCAGCAGCGAGCAGGGAGCAGGGAGCAGGGAGCAGGGAGCAGGCAGCCGGGAGCAGGGAGCAGGCAGCACCGGTGTGACTTGTCCACACAAGGATGCCCTTTCGGTTCAGCTGCGGCTATTTCTAATCTGAAGCCCGCACGTTTCAAGTCAGGGGCTGGCTTGGCGTCTTCATCTTCTCATCCAACTGCTGCATCTTCTCCTGAAAAGGAGATCCTTTTGAGATTATAATGTTATCAACAATCGTTCTCAACACTTTCTTCTGCTACCAATTGTGATCCCAATTGCAGTGAAGTCGTCATTTGTCAGCATTCAGATGTATTACGTAATCTCCTGCTTGTGTGTGTGTGTGTCTCTCTCTCTCTCTCCCACTCACACACACACACAGACGCACAGACGGAGACGATGGCAGGGGCACCGGCAGCCAGGAAAAGGGGCAGGGCTGACAGCGGGTTGAGATGGACCAGACCTGATAAGAGTAGTATGATGCATGGTCGTGGTTGATTGAGCAGGTCACGGTTGGTCCTTCTGGAAACTCGTACGCCAGATGTCAGCGATATGGCGCTGCCAGCTGGGCCCCGGAATGGTTTGCGCAGGTGTCCGCTGCTATGTCATGACCGCAGTCAGCATCTTTTGGTGTGCTTTGGCGATCGAATCAAGAGCCAAGCTCGTTTGAAGTGCACGACTCTCAATTACCACAACGATTTCTTGGCTTGTGCCGCAGCATTGACGTGGTCTCCCTCAAGGAATGACCACAGCGGGGGCGTTTGACCACCATTTCCCTTGCTTCTGCTCTGCGAAGCACTGCGCACTGCCTTTTCCGTTCGAGCCACATCCTTGCATGAACTCCCCCGCCCCCCGCCAAGTCCCCATACGTGCTTGGCTGACCGCCTCGCCTTCTCTACATTGGTTTTGCTGGAAACGAGCTGGGCGCGGGGCGTGAAGGGCTTGTGCAACAACAAATTCCCGTTTGGAACACAATCCTCAAACAATCGATTGTGCATTCCCACCGTCAAACATGGACTCGATCAGCTTGGGCCAACCCCAAGCCCGGCCCATCTGGCGCGACCTGGCCGCCACTTCAAGGTACACATTCATGGGTCTAATGTGCGTTGTGCGCGCGCCACAATCCCTGCTAGCAACTCACGCTTCGGATTGCACGCGCTTCCTCGCACCTCAAAGTGAGGGGAGCCAACGGAAGATGGTGCTCCAGTTGGATGGCTTTGATCACAACGAGAGCGTGGTCGATGGTGAGGCTCATGAGCACCAAGCTCAGCCTCAGCAGTCAGACCTGGACGGTAGGCATGCATGGTCTGAGGTTGTTGGACTCAAAAGTTTGTCTTGCTTCCTTTCTGATCACATAATCACATGTTCTTTCATGGTCTTGTGCAGACGGCGTGGACCTTGATGGTCTGCCAGACTTTGCGGATGACCGCCCACGCCGCAACATGGTGCCCAAGCGTCTTTCCGATGCCTTCAACTTGGAGCTTTCCGAGGACTTTCTCATGTATCTCAACATCACGTCTGAGGATGTGGCGGCGGCCGCCCTTGAAGATGACGCTTGGCGAAGCGACGCGCATGATGCCCCACCCACACCGGCACAGGCACTGGCCGCCATGACCACCAGCAGCCCTGAGCAAAACAAGTTTGTCGCACAGGAACAGCTGCATCCAGTATCGCAAGCCCGTCGTCGGGAGGTATCCAGCAGTCGCTCCGCTCCCGAGCAAGGTGATGAGGTCCCTGAGAGCGACGATGATGAGCAAACTGCGGAAGAGGACGACGCCTCCGAGTCACCCAACTCTCGCGAACGTATGTCCTTCAGCACATGCTCCTGAGCCACATGGTTTGCAGTGCCTGCTTTTGATGCCTTCCCAAGTGGAGTTTTTGCCCAGTATGCGCTCTCACTCACACACACTCTCTGTGCGTACAATCGCATGCATGCACCTGTGCCACTGTGGGGGTTCTACCATCATCACCGTCATCAGGCACCAAGAGCATGCCCAATCTGGACCGGGAGCGCATTCGCCGCACTTCAAGCATCATGCGCAGCAAAACGCTATCCACGGCTGATGCAGGGCCCATGCGCAAGCTGCTGCATGGGTCGGGCACGCAGGAGCATTTGGCTTCCCTCCTTTCAATCACAGCCAACAAACGTCGGACGACCATCATTGCCGTTGATGCCGACTTTAGCCTGCCCCAACTCGCCGAGGCTACCACGCCAACCTCGCCCCGCTCCACCAACCGTCTCTCCACAAGCAGTCACGTTGAGTTACCCGGTGCTCGTGTCGCCCGCAGCAGCAGCCACGATGATGATGAAATCTGTGAAGGCGACTTGACCTCCTTCTTCAAAGCGCGTCGTGGTTCGTGTATATCTCACCCTGGGCCAAATCACTTACAAATGCGCACGTCATTGTCACTGGCAACAGCCTCAGTTTCAAAGGGGGCACACCACTCACTTCTTGCTCTCTGATCTCCACATCTTAGAGCTCAAAATGTTCCGTCGCAAGCTTGCAGAACAATGTGACATCAATTACCGCCTTGAGCGAAACCTGCGCACCCTCGACGAGAGCATTGGCCTGCTCATTCGTCACCGCATCTCCGTTGAAGATATCGACTCGCGGCTTCTAACCTACGACTTTCGTATTTACAACAGTATGTGTTTGCGTCTTGCCGCACGCATACGGATGCTTCGCTCGCTCACACCTACTTTCTTCCTATGCACAGGTAAATTGATGTCCTCGCGCAAGGAGCAGCAGTACGGCATCTTGTTTTACTTGTTGCAAAATGAGGCTGCCTACATTGCAACCCTTTCACGTCAACTCTCACTCTCAGAGATTGATGGTACGTCAGGCTTGCTCAATTCGTTGGCTTCAATTTGGCGTGGTTGTGACACCCTGGCTCAATCTGGTTCTTGACACAGACTTCCTGCAGACAGTCATGTTCACGCTCTTTGGTAATTTTGAGCCGAAGGAGGAGCACATGCTTCTGTCCGTCTTCCAGCATGCCTTCAAACTTGAGTTTGCCGCGGCCAAGGATATCAACAGCGTCATGCGCAACAATAGTGCCATGTCCCGCATGATTACTACCTACACCCGCCGTGGACTCGGTCAGCAGTACCTGAAGGATGTTCTCGCTCGCCAGGTTGGTGACGCGTTTCGAGTGCTGCGGAGCGCCTGTGCTGCACGTATCAAGCGCCTTTTCAGTACCCTGGCATGCTTGTGATCAAGTGGAGATGCCCTCACGCTCTTCTTCCTGCTTCTTGCCATGCAGGTCGGGCTTGTATTTGAACTCAAGGGTCTGGGACTCGATTTAGAGCCCGTCAAAATTTACAATGAGCTTGCCAAGGAACACGGGCTGCCTGAAGGGGTCACCGACCCGGTCACTGCTCTCAAAGCTGCACCTGTGCAGGAGGTGCTCGAAGAGCGCAGCCGTGCTCTGCGGGAACTAACGGCGCGCTTCGTTTCAGCCATCGTGGAAGACGTTGAGGCCGTGCCTTACGGCTTGCGCTGGCTCTGCAAGGCCATCCGCGCCGAGTGTCTTCAGCGGTTTCCCGACTCCTCACAGGAGGTCTTGGTCTCTCTCTTGGGCGGCTTCATGATGCTGCGCTACATCAACCCAGCCATCATTTCTCCTGAGGCCTTTGCTCTCATTCACCGCAAGCCGACCAACTTGATCCGCCGCAACCTAACACAAATAGCCAAGGTTTTGCAAGCCATCACCAATGGGTATGATTTTGCTTTTCTGCGTGGTTCTGGTCACGCTCAGATCAGTCTCCATCGCGTTGCAGCTCATTGCTTTTTTGCTCTTATCTCCGTGCCTTTCCTCTTGATGATGATGGGAATATTAGAACCAAATCGGTCACGGGCTCACTTGCCATTTTGCAGGACTTTATCCGCGAGCAACGCTCACGTCTGGGTCGCTTTCTGCTGCAGTGCGTGCCGCACGTGCATCATGCCATGATCTTGGTGCCTTGCGTTCTTCTTCACGGGCCCACCTGGGTGTTGATAGGCTGTGTGAGGTGGAGGACTTTGATCACGAATACCAGATGGAACGTCTTTCGGCTTTGGCGTCCCTGAGCAATAGCATCTCGATCACACCCAACGAGATCTACACGGTGCATTCCTTGTTGTGGAAGTACCAGTCTCAATTGCAGCTTGATAAGAGCTCCCCGCTGGGAGCAGTCTTGCAGCAGCTAGGCGAGCCACCAACCAAAATCTCGCGCGAGAACAATCTGCTGATGGAGTTGGCTTTGAGCAGGTCCGTCGGAGTACCCTTCTTTTTTTGCTCTTGTTCGAATGTCTCCCTCTCTTCTCATCGCGTTTTCTCGCCGCAAACAGTCCCGTGGAGTATTCCACACGCCGAGGCAGTGGTGGCAGTGCTGCTAGCAGCCAAGTGCCCCTTGAAATGCAATGTCAGTCGCCAAAGCCCAGCTCGCTGTTGGTGGTTTGACAACGCTAATGATCGAAGCGCGCGCCTCACATTTGTTTTACGTCTGGGCTTTGCCCTTGCCCCTTCTCTTTGGCGGCCTTTTTCATGTAGCCATTACTGTGAAGCAGCTGCGTTTGCTCAAGCTAGAGCTCGAAAAGACCAAGGCAGCGTTTGAAAGGTAGGGCCGGTCAATAACAGATTGCTGGGTAGAGTCAGGGGCGTTATGACACGAGAGGGCTAATCACCAAAATACCTGTTTGCTAGCGTGTGTGAGATCTATGCCATCTTGACCGAGAAGATCGAAGCCTACCAAGATTATTTGGAAAATGTTCGCGGCCAGGTACATTTGCACCGCACAACTCGAAGCGTTTGTTGTTAACACAACCGAGCACGTGCATTGACTGGAAAACCGCAATCTTGATCTCCAGGCAATTTCGGGCTCGTCATGGGCAACGGAGTTTGTCAGTGTGGGCAAGGTTCAGTTGAAACGGCGCTCCATGATGGCTCGCCGCTACCCGCAGCATGAAATGCTTCCCAAGGTAAACATGGTCGTGCTCTCTCATCCAGCGGCTTCTTTTTCGTCTGGCATTGTGGTTGACATTGACATGTGAGCTGTGAGCTGTGCAATTCCTGGGTTCCCGTCAACACTAATCTCGGGGTTGGTCTGGTGTGGCATCTACCTGCATGTGACTAGGGTTTGGGACCATATCAGTTTAAGCTTACCAAGCTGGACAAGGAGCGTATCATCACTTGGTCTAATGATGCTGTGATTCCTCGCGAGTCAGACCCTGGTCGCAACAACATTATCTTGGTCTACTCCATGCCGACGGTAGGAACAAACAGCGATGATGGGCAGTGCCTTAAAACCCCCGTTCCCTCATCGTTGTGCTTGATGTTCTCTTTGCTGCTCACGGTGGCAGATTGGCCATGTGGTATTGAGCTTGCGACCCAAGGGTCGCCAGGCCTTGTTCCACACCGAATGCAAATTGGAAGACTTGCTGACCAAGACAGAGGATGAACGCCCACGTATGTACCCGTCCGTTTCCTTGGAGCAAAAAAAAAAAAGGCCAGTAGGGTTGCTTTGACAGGTGCACTCATCTTTTGGACCAACTGTTTCACAGGCATGCGACTGGGTAATGTTCTTGAACTGGATGCCAGACGCATGCTGGTCTTGCTGGACAAAACCACATTCAGACTTTGAATTGGCACGGCCTCTTCTTTTAACTGGGCATGACGAACCGGATCCACAAGTGTTCATAGTAAACTCAAGATTGTGGCCTATTTGATTTAAACAAACCAATAGCATGCTGCCAGGTTATGGCTGTTGTTCCTTTATGTTTTCGCATGGTCGGTTTCAGACGCTTTGGAGATCCCACTCCAGTGTCCCTCGAAGCTGCAACTGATTTGGTCAACGTTTTGGTCAACTTTTGTGTATCATAATTGATCGATCTGACCTTACATCAGATTCATGTCCAACAAATCTTCATGAGCAAAGATCATTCATGTGACTAGTGAACCAGTGGCAGGCTGCAGAAACAAGCACAATGCGGCTTGAGCTCTGAAAGATGGGAATAAAAAGTCAATTATGTGTGCAGAAGCTGTTGTTGTTGCTGCGCAAGTGGAGATGACGCGGGTCGAGCGTGTTGGCACTTTGCACCAAGCTATTCTTCTCTTGAGGCTTCGAGTTCAGGGGAAGCAGGAGGAGGAATGATCAGCTGCAAAAACCTGTCCAGCGCTTCAGCATCAAAAACAGAGCGATCTTCCTCAACGAGTTCAACTTCGCAGGGACTATCCCGCCCCGAAGGTACGCCATGGTCCAAGCTTGTGTCAGTGTCCACAGCGGACACCACCACGGGCACTGCGCCCGTGCTGGCCGCTGGAGTGGTGTTTTGAGTCGTTGAGGGGGTGGCTTTGTTCTTGCCATGTTCGCCGCTACTAGAGCTAATTTTTCCAGACCCGGACGAGCCGGCAGAGTGGGGCGACTTGCCCGGCGCGGCAACAGGCACCGGCAGGGCGGGAGCTGAAGCAGCCTGGGCAGCCTTTTTAGCGCGTTCGATGTTGGCTTGTCTTTGCTGCTCAACCATATTTGCCTGAGCTGCCGCTCGCAGGTCGAGGCAGGTGCGCAGTGTCATGAGCGCATTGACGAGTGATATCTACCGTGCCGTACAACACCACATGGGACGGTCCAGGAGAACCCATGCGCCAATGAGGCTTTGCGACTGCAATTCTCCACGTCACCGGGTGCCATCCATGTAGCAGTGAGCCTCATATTCACTTCTTCTGTCTCTGTCCCCTGCTTGGCGAGACTTACCGAGAAGTCGAGACTGAGATTGTCTCGATCGTGGGACAAGGGGTGATAAACGCGCAGCGTCTGGAGTGTCGCCAATTCAAAAATTCATCAGGGCAAAACCAAAAGAATGTGCGAGCGAAAGGCGGGTGTCACAAGGCAGGTGTCGAGTATCAACCTGGATAATGTCTTTGGCAGCAGGCGGGCTGGGCTGGCGCCCGCCCTTGGTGATAGTGCGCAGGTGCAGAGCAATGGCCTGTGCCGACACGAGGCGGTCCTGTGGTAGTCAACAGCACAGCAGGTGTTCATTGAAGTAAGAAATGCAAGCAAAACCCACACTCGTTCAATGGGAGGGAAAACCGTCAGTGCGAGACAATGACAAATCCTGCAAAGCGTACCGCCGCCACGTGTTCCAGTCGTGCCATCACATCTTCGCGTGACCAACTCTTTGGCAAGAGCGGCGCTTCGGCATCTGCGCGCCGTCGGAAAACATTTGAGGCGGGAAATAACGCAGAAAGACATCTGACGAAAAGGAAGAAGACGTAGTTATGTGATGGAGAGCGTTCTCTGTTACTGCGCACCTGGGAGGACAGTGATTTGTGCCAAATCGTGACGCACAAACTCATCGAGGCAGTAAACCAGGGTTCCAGTACGATCGGCAAACTTCTCAGCGTAAACTTTATGAGCCAGCGTCACAATGACGTTGATGAAATCTTGCGGCAAGATCAGGTCAAGCAAGGGACACTCGGCCACTATTTGATGAGCAGCCAGGGTTGCTACGAGCCATGCGAGTCCCAAAACAGCGACAGGTTGAGGTCAACTCGAATAGCGATGAAGAAGTTAATTATGCAGAGACCAGAAAAAAGCCATACGTAAAGTAGCCATAAGTTGAGCAGCGGAGATGCCGTGTCGGTAGAGTTGACAATCCGTTAGCACGTGCAAGAGCTGTGGAGATACACACAGTCACGTCTTATTGTCAGCCACGTGCACACCCAACACCAGCGTGTCAAGGCAGAACCCCAGGCAGGGGTGGCGGGTGCATGCGACCCACAAACCGAAATGCGTAGCATGCCGTAAGGTACGTGGGCCAAGTGCAAATGCGCATGGACCTTTGCATAGCCAAAGTACAATGCACGGAGGCGAGCGGCGTAGCGCTGCAGAACATTATCAAGCTAAAGGGGGCAAGTTATTCTGTGAGGACTATCACAATTGAGACGTGTTGAGCTGGCATGGGGAGTCAGCACTTGCAGCCAACCTGAAGCACTTCAGTCTCATCCATAACGTCAAGATGGCCGTAAAGCTGTACGTAGTCGGGTTTGGACTGCAAGAGGTCTCGGCTCGAAGCGTTGACAGGCTGATCGCGATCAAAGACCACGGCCACGGTTTCACCCGTGTGGGACTGCAGAGTTGCTGGGCCATGCTTTTCATTGTGAACCCAGGTCCCTTCCAGAAAAGAACCACTGCCACGGGGGCACGCATGAAGGAGCATATAGGACCAACATGAATGGCAAGCCCGTGCAAACCCGCAACGAGATGCGCACAAATACAATCGACAGACAAAAGCCGGCACGAAGACTGAGCTGGCCGCGATCTCGAGTCCATATCGGCGCTTACTCAGCAAAGTGAAAGACGCCAGCACCGTGGCGCTGGCCCATAAGAAAAGCACCACGGTAGCAATTGAGGCCTACGTGCACGGGCGCACTGTCCATTTTGGTACCAGCAAACCAAATGTGCTCGCCCTGGCCGTGCGGTTGACCACGGTGCCAGTCACCAGCATATCGCTATGGCAGAAGAAAGCACGGGAGTGGCCAGGAGCAGCGAGGAAGAACACGTCAGAACAACTGGAGCGTGAGCTCGGTGGTCTCGACGGGTAGGTGCACGACGGAAGTAGGAAACGGCCCATTTCCTGACCTGACAGCGAGAGCTCCAGTACATGATGCCTTGCCCGTGCCGAACGTTCTTCTCCCAGTTACCATCATATGTATCGCCAGAGCTGGCAAGTAGCGAGTCAAAGTCCTTGTGAGTCCAGGGCCACAGCACGAACGGACAAGAAGAGAGCATGGGCATGGTGAATTTCATCCCACCTATATCGCATGAGGCCCTGCCCATCTCGTTGATTGTTCTTCCACAGGCCCTCATAGACGCTCCCGTCAGCATACTCGAGGCGGCCCTGCAAGAATTGAGAAAGAAGATGGTCCACACGAAACAAAGACGTCAAGGAGTCGGGCGGCTGTATTCCCGCTCATTACCGGTCTCCTCTGCGCGCGCGGAAGGCATGCGTCGCGAGCCTCAACAAGGGCCTGTGTGCAGACAACCAAGGAAGTGATGGCTGACCTGTCCTTGCCGAACCCCGCGATACCAAGCACCCGTATATGTGACAGAGCCGTCGGCGGCGCTATATCGGCCATGGCCATGGCGTCGCCCGCGCTCCACGTCTCCTTCATATAGGCTGCATGAAAGAAGGTGAGGCCAACCGGGCAACGGTTTAGTCACGGGTTTTGGTGCATGAGAACGGGAACTCGAACCTGCCGTCAGGCCAATGGATGGCACCCTTGCCAGAGAGTGTCGTGTCCTCAAAATCACCCTTGTAGATGAGGCCTTCGGCTGTCGTTAGCACCCCTTTGCCGTGCCAATGACCATTGCTGCAGTCACCCTGTGGTACGTTCCGTTCCCGACCAACCAAGGTGTCAGTGCTTGCTCGTCATGCCCCGTGCTGGCTGGCTCGGTTCAACTCGGCTCGGCAGAGCGGCGCCTACCTCGAAGCGATGTCCGTTCTTGTAAACAATGGTCTGCCGACCATGGTGCAGTTCAGGTTGTGACGCTGCCTGCGCCTCTATCAGGCCCAGCAGCGCAGGCTCCACCACCGTCATGTCGCCGATCGGTTGCTCGAGAAATCAGAGCAGATCCATGAGGTGAGAGAGAGAGCGAGAGAGAGAGAGAGCGAGAGAGAGAGAGAGAGAGAGAGAGAGAGAGAGAGAGAGAGAGAGAGAGAGAGAGAGAGAGAGAGAGAGAGAGAGAGAGAGAGAGAGAGAGAGAGAGAGAGAGAGAGAGAACAAAAGGCAGAAAATGCCAACTTCGCCGTCGTCAAGGTATATTCCAATAACACGTTGAAACAGCGTGTTCTTTCTAAAGAGAAAGAGAGACAGCAAAAGAGATGAGAGAGAGAGAGAGAATGAGAGAGAAATTTTCTGTGAATTTTTTTTTTGGGTCTTCTCTCTCTTTCTTTTTTTTTTTTTTTTTTTTTTTTTTTTGGGTGTTTTGTTGCTACAGCGTTGCTACAGCCTTGAGCTGAAGCGACCGGCGCGTCTGTCTGTCTGTCTGTCTGTCGGTCTCTCTGTGTGGCGCTGGGGTCCTTGGATTGGGCAGCCGTGTCAGCGGTGTGCGGGGAGAGCAGAGCTGGTGTCAGACAGAGGTGGTGTGGCAATCCAGCTGAGAGTCTGCTCTCTGCACGATTGATCGTTGACAGACTTTTCGGCGTTCAGAGCAGGAACGGTCGTTGTCGAGGGCTGCTCTGCGCCAGAGTCGAACTCTTGTGGTCGGGAGCCATATACAGCCATGAAGCTCTCCACGCGACTTTCGCGGGCGCAGCGACATGGGGATGTCGCAACCACCGTTACTTGGAACGCTCGGGGCGAGCTGTGCTCGGCAGGGTAAGGCTATCATTCCGACATTCAAGCCGTCAGCTCTTCTGCTTGGTTTGAGTGCTCATGGACTTGCCTGCAATCTGCGGATCCCCTTGGCTGGGCATCCGTGGCCCTTCTTGGCCAACTCTAGAGATGACCACCTGATTCACACATGGGATGTCGAGCTCAATAGCCCCCGCGAGGTAAGAACGCTGGCTACGCTTCAAATCAGCCAGCCAGCCGCCGGCACTCATAGGGCTTTTTGGAACTCTTGTAGCTTGTGAACGGCGGCGAAAACTTTTTCCCCACCTGCATGGAGTGGGCCCCCACGGTCGGCAAGAAGCCTGGCGATGTTCTGATTGTCGGCTCAGATGATGGTATGTGTGTCACCTTTTTTTTTGGGTGTGTTCATGGTGCAGTGGGCTGCTCAAGCAGTTTTGAGGGCCGGCGTACTGTGAGGGTGTTCCACTCTAACGCTCGGCTGCTGGCGTACTTGTCAGGCAAATATCGCCTTTTTGGCAAGACAAACCGCTTTGAAAAAACAGTGGACGCTCATCAAGGGGCCATCACAACCGTACGCTGGAGCAGCGACGCAAGCTCCTGCCTCACTGGTCTGTCGACGCTCCCACCAAACCGACTTGTGAATGCTTTTGCTGTGGCACTGCCACCGGCACGCGATGCACTGTGCCACTTGTGCATTAATGCCATACATGTACATATACTTAGCGGGAGAGGATGGTGCGCTCAAAGTGTGGTCTCGCAGCGGCATGCTGCGGTCTGTGCTGGCTCAAGCCGGTACGTCATCTCCTCCACCTTTGAGTCATTTTTTTTACCACACCCTGTGAATGCGAGCTGAATCACAGAGCACCAGTTTTTGACGTGCAACTTGTGCTCTTTCGCGACGCTCTTTGCATAGGCATGCCCGTACATGCTGCAGCTTGGGGGCCTGGCAGCAATAGCGTCGTCTTTGGTGCCGGCAAGACGCTGGTGGTCCAGCCCATGAACCCTGGAAGCAAGGGCGAGAGCTGGAAGGCCCATGAGGGCATCGTCCTGGCGGTTGATTGGTCGGTCACGAGTGGGCAGATCGTATCTGGCGGCGAGGATTGCCGCTACAAGGTTTGTGCACTCAACCTGAACGATCGTCAGAACAGCCGTTTGGTGGCGCCACGCCTGATGGAGTGTCGAGTTGCCTTGGGGGGGCCGTGTTTTCTTGTGCCGTCTTCTTAGGTCTGGGATAGCCTTGGCCGGGTTCTGTACACGTCCAGCGTCCATGAACATCCTATCACATCCTTGCGCTTCAACCCTGCCAGCACACACTTTGCAGTGGCGGGTTACAACATGCTGCGGCTCTGCGATGCAGCCGGTTGGTCGGCTGCGTTGGCCAACACTGATGGCGGATCGGTCTATGAGTTGGCCTGGTTACCCGATGGAACGGCTGTTGCGGGGGCTTGTGCCGACGGCCAAGTTTTTGTGGCTGACATTGTTGGCCATAGCATCAATGATGATCGCTACGAGGTGACGCAAAGTGCCCCGGACACACTCACTGTGCGCCGTATTTTGGAAAACACCACCGATGTCCTGGGTCAGTATTTGCTCGCCATTGAGGCGGATATCTTGAGCATCTCGCTCAGCTCGAGTTGATGAGATTGGAGCGTGTCCACACTGCTCAATTGGCATCGCTCTGCTTGGCCTCCTTTAGAGCTGCGCGAGCGGCTGGTGATGATGGATTTGACCAGCGAGTATCTTGTGGCCATCACCACATCGCAGTGCTTGATTTATCGCACGGCGACCTTCAGTACTCCGCTGGCCGTGGAGCTCAAGGCCCCGGTCGTCATGATGAAACTGGCCAGCAGCTGCCTGCTTTTGGTGGATAGTGGAGGCAACTTGGCGGTACGCTTTTGCCTCCCCTCGCAAACGCCTTTATATTTGATTGATCATCCAGTCCGACAAGCCAGTCCATGCCGTGCTCACCTATCCGATCAACTACAGGTCTACAGCATGGATGGTCGGCTGATGAGCAATCCCAAGGTGCCCAACATGACAGCAGAGGCCGTTACTCTGGCTCAGATCACGTTAAACAACGACACGCTCGCGATTGTGCATCCCAAGTGCGTTGCCGGCAATATCGGCCGATTGTGATTGCCCGCTTTGCTGATCTCATATCAACGCGTGCGCGTTGCGCTTTTGCTTTGAATGTGACAGAGACGATAAGCAGTTTATGACTTTTGACGTACAGTCGGGCAAGGAGCTTCGTAAACCCGTGACCCACAGTGTGGGCATTGCGTCGCTGGCGCTGGAGCAAAGTGCGGATGGGCGTACTACCTACTTGGCCCTCGTTGATAAGAACCGGTGCGGGCGTTGCTGCATGCCTCACTTTTTTCTCGCGGAGCAGAGAGGTGGATGCCAGGATTTGAATGTGTGACTTCTCATTTCGATATCACTGTATCCATGTATGCTTCCCCGTGACGTTATGAACAGGGACTTGTACCTGAGTCAGCCGCGTCGGAGCCAGCCGCGGCTAGAGAAGCTGGCCTCGATGATTCAGGATGTCGCCTGGCACGGTTCCGTGCATATGATTGTGGCTCTACTGGACGGCAAGCTCTCGACCTGGTTGTACCCCAGGTATGTTGAGTTGTTTTTGCCACTGATGCAAGCTGGCAATTGCACACGTGCGCTGAACACGCATTTTCGGTGCACTGCTCACAAGCTTGTTTGGTAAAACAAAAACAGCGCATGTTTCTTGGATCCGGATGTGGTGCCGCTGGTCCGGGTTGACAAGGAGACGCACGAATTGGGCTCTCGCCCATCCATTGTGCGCTTTTCAGGCAACTCGTGCCTCGTGCGCCGCGCCGACGGGGCCAAGATCACATTGGTGGCTCCATCCTACGCTGCCATGCTGCACGGCTTTGTCAAGCAGAACAAGTGGAATGAGGCCGTGCGCTTGGCTCGGCTCGTTAAGGTAAGAACCTCGTTCCTTCCCCCGTGCATTACGTGTTAGGGCATGGTTCTGGTCCTGAATGGTTTTCTTTTGGGGTTTCCTTTTGCTGATCCACACTTGTGGCCGGTGCCTGGGATAGGAACGCTCGGCATGGGGTTGCTTGGCTGCTATGGCCACGCACGCCAAACAGCTGTCCACGGCAGAGATTGCATATGCAGCAGTGGATGCCGTGGACAAGGTTGCACAGATTCAGTACATCAAATCTTTGCCTACAGAGGAGTCCCGCAATGCCGAAATGGCATTGCTGTCAAACCAGGTTTGGATGTTGCTGGGTTGCTGCGCCGCGTTATGCGCGGCTTTGTGCTCAGAAGGGGAGGGGCGGTGCGGGAAACGCGAGTATGAACCTCGTGCCGTTTGCCCGCCAGTGATTCCAGTTGCTCCAGGGTTGCTCATAAACTTTTCGCCCTGCTGTGTTAGGCACAAGAAGCCGAGTCCCTGTTACTCCAAAGCGGATTGATTTATCGCGCGATCGACATGAATTGCAGCCTGTGCCGCTGGGATCGAGCCTTGGACCTGGCCATCAAGCACAAGACGCATGTTGACACAGTCTTGGGTTTGAGACAGCAGCATCTCCAGGCCATGGGCCAGCGCGAAAGCTTGCCCAAGTTCATTGAGTACGCCGAGCGCGTCGACGTTGATTGGACCGCAGTTGAGGCCAAGATTGCCGAGGAATGGGACGCCGAGCGCGCTCGCCCGGGTGCTCGCCCTTACGCTGCCTAACGAACACCACGCAAAGTGAAGAAGCAGCAAAGCAAGCATATTCTCGTGTTTCTTAGTGTTAAAATGGAGGAGGATGTCAATTTTATACCAGTCTCTTAGTCTCCCACGAGATTCATAAATCACACACCCCGCGCTTGCCACCAAGCCACACATCTCGAGACAAACTCCCACCCACCACACGTACCGCCCAGCTTGTCGCTTTGCCGTCCTTGATATCACCACACCCTGCGGCGGTGGGCTGGTTCTACTTGTTGTAGCTGATAAAGCAGAAGTTGCAGCAAAGTATTCACTGTAAGTAACCATTCTGTGAAGCGGTGCATCGAGTTATTGTCGCAGAAATGGTCGGACGCGTTGTGTTTATCTTTTGAGCTGGATGGCGAAAAACGGCAGTTGCAGTTTCGCATCAAGAAGAGACGGCAGCACATCGTTTTGGGGCCTTTGCTACCTGGGACAACTGATAGCTTGTGCGCTTGGGCTGCATTTGTAAAGCCAGGTCATGATGGGCCTGCGTGTGTGCGCTGTTGCGGTCGTGGTGCTCGCGTTGGCGGGTAGCCTGGTGGTGGCCAAGCCGCAAGTCACTCGCAACGGCGACGACCTCTTGTTCACCGCCGATACTCTGACGGTCTGTCTCTGCACCAAGTCGTTGTTGGCGTGCGTCGCCCGGGCCAGGCGCCGGTCCGTTTGCGCTCCCCTCAAATCTTCTCATCGCTTGCACTGCGCTCTTTGTTGGCCCATGACTACAACGGTTAATTAGCTGGATGCCGATCATGACGTCAAGTTGTCGGCCTCGGCCGGCAAGATTCAACTCACCGATGCCAACACGTTTTTTGATGTGGATGTCGTCGCAACCGTAAGTCTGAGCTTGGACATCGTGTGAGGTTGAAAGCTCGTAGCGCGCATCCAGCCAGTTTCTCATCACAGTCGGCGGCGTTTCACAGCAATTGGCCGAGCTCGAGAGCAACCAGATCATTCTCCGCAACATCGTCGCCGCCCTGCAGCTTGCTGCCGACAAGCTGCCTGCTGCGCAGCAAATGGTGAGACTTGTCTGCTTTCCCTCTGCTCTGCACCTGCCACTGGACTTAAGGCCGAGCGCATGCGAGCGCTCATCACTTCATTTCTTGCGTTCCAGGCTGAAGACGTTATTGATTCTTTCAACATGCATACCGCCAACACCACAGCGTCCCTGCAAGACGCAAGCGCTATGATTAACCAGGTGCGAGCCATTCTCGAGCAACCTGAATCTCCGTTCTGCTTGCCCTTGCCAAGAGGTCTCTGCCCTTTGAGGCCGGAGGTGTGTCTGGCGTTCGCTCAACCAGTCCTCCTGCGTCATGCCACCACAGACCAGCGGTTATCTGCAGGGCAACTTGACGCAGGTGCAATCGGAGATCAGCGGTGCCGTCAACACGACCACGGCTGATTTGACTGATATCGCTGATGCGCTGGCCAATGCCACCGCCAAGCTGAACGACGATGCCACTTACGCCTTTACCGACAACATCACCAGCGCTTTTGCGGGCGCATCCGCCGTCAATGACAACACGATGAACACCATCAACACGGCCAATCAGTCATTGACTCAGGTCATGAGTGCTTCTTACAACTGGTTTGAAGAGGAGCTGTCACGCATTTCACCGGCCTCGACCGCCTGCAAGGCAGACGTGGATACTGCCACCGCTGCTGCGGTCAACAGCTCCACAGCCATCATCCAGGCCCTTCAAAGCACCCTGGCCATAGCACCCATTGCGTCCAACGTTGTAGGTGCGAACCGGGCCATGTTTGCCAACATGGATGCCGATCTTCGTGAGTTGGTTGTCAACTCCGTGCCGCCGCTCAACATGCTCCTCACCCAGTTTCGAACGGTGGTGCGCCAATACTTGTCCCGTACGTTTTCGCAACCTGCTGGATGAATTTGCGTTGGATGGTCTTGGTTTCTGCCTTTGGGTTGCATCTCATGCATTTCTGCATCATATCGGTTGGTTCTTCTCCCCCATTCCAGCCGCCACCATCTCACAATTCTACCCAACAACCGTCGAATCGACCACTCTCTACGGCGCCGCCGTCTCCTGCTCAAGCGAGTGGATGGCCGTGGGCGCCTACGGCGAGGGCAGCTCTGGTGCCGTGTATGTCTATGCTGCTGGCTTTGTCGGTATTGACAATTCTTCCGTGCAGCATTTGGTCTATCCTGCTACGGACACCAATTCCTACTATGGGTTTGACGTCGCGGTACGCCTGGGAGTGTTTGCAGAAGACAGACGCGTCTGGGATATTATTGGTCTGCTTCATGTCTCCCCCCCCTCTTTTGTTTTATTTTCTTGCTAATTCTGTGGTACCTGTTTAGATTGAAGACGACCTCCTGGTCATTGGCGCTCCTTATTCCGATTTGGGCCGGACTTCCAGCGGAGCCAGCCTGTCAAGTTCGGGTGCTGTCTTTGTTTATACTTTGCAAGGGGGTCAATGGAATTTGAGCCAAACGCTGACCTACAGCGACCCATCAACCAGTGACTTTCTTGGCTACAGCGTGGCCATTGGCGATGATTACATTGTCGCTTCAGCGCCGCTCGCCGAGAACACATCGTCGTCGGCTGGTGGCGTGATCATCTTCCAGCGCGGCAGCAGTGGCGCCTTTACAGAGACCCACGCTTTTTTCCCCGGCGATGTCAGTGATTTTCTCGGTTATGGGCCGGATGCCGTAGCCGCGCACGGCGATTGGATTGCCGCTGGCGCACGGTTGGTTTCTCTAGTCGCTTGGCACCGACCGCCTCCCTGGCCTTGTGCCCGGTACGTCGCGGTGCTCACCAACTTGACTGAACCGTAGGAATGCCGAGGATAGCAGCAATGGTGGGGGTTCAGCACACGGTGAAGTCTTCATGTTCTATCGCAAGACGGGCAAATGGACCTTTTTTGGTCGCATCGCCCCGACTCGCACATCCTACGACTATTTCGGTCATGCCCTGGCTCTTTCTCGACGTGCCGATGGCACAATCGTGATGGCCGCCGGTGCCTATGGCGATGATACGTCCTCTTCAGGGTCATATGTTTCATCAAGCGGTTTGTCTTGCCAATGCCCTTCCCGCCTTGTTCTTTTGGGGCTAGTCTGCAGTTCCTTGATTTCGTCCTCACGCGATCATCATGATGATGGTGGCACTTTTTTCGTTGTCTGACAGGTGCTGTTTACTTTTTCGAGATTGCTCCGGGCTCAACGACCATTCGCCAGACGGCTGTGGCCCGGCCTTCGGTCTCACAATCGGGGGCTTACTTTGGTCGCTCCTTGTCCCTGTCCAAGGACGCCACGACCGCCGTTATTGGGGCTGATATGTTCGACGTCTCGGGCTCAACCTCGTATTCGAACGCTGGATCTGCATACCTTTTCTCCTACTCTTCCACTGGCTGGACCGAACTCAAGCAGATCTTTGCCACCAGCCCCAGCTCCTCGGGCTACTTTGGCCGCACTGTGGGCTATGGTGAAGCATACTACGTCGTCTCTGAGCCTTACAACGATGACGTTGCTTTCAACGCTGGCTCGGTGTATGTCTACACTTCTTAGCTGCCACAGCCCGCACGTTTTCGTTGCGTTTTACGTTTTTCGGTCTTTTGCCTCGAATTGAGCCGTCATCATCATCATCATCATCATCATCATCATCATCATCGTGATCGTCCTTCTCGTCGTGATCTTGACAGTAGATGTAGATGCCACAATAGAAAACGCAGAAACAGTAATGCATGCAATGATTGTACATGTAACACTATAACCACTTGTTGCTTCTTTTTTTTTTCTCTCTTGCTTGCCCCCCAATACACACACACACACACACACACACACACACACACACACATGGCGAGCGAGCTGACGCAGGCCCCGGTCTTGGCCCCGACCGGGGAGGAGGTTTTGCAGCGCGAGGTGGGTTTGAGGTGCAGGTGACGTTTGTACATCAGTTGGCTTGGGTCATGTTGCTAGGGGTCTCAGCGAGGCCGTCGTGTGAGGTTGGGCTGATTGAGTGGTGTTGTTTGGTGGTCTGGGTGACAGGTTGTTGTCGAGGCGCCCGAGCAGCTGGCAAGTGCGACGCTAGAGGAGCGCTTTGAGATTGAGCGGTGTGCGGCAGCCATCCGAGCCGAGCCTTTTCACCGCGTACGAGTCCCCCTTCCGCTCCCCCTCCTCCTCTTTGCTTCCTGTCATCGGTTCAACTTGACCTTTTGTACTCCGAACATCACCACGTGTCTTCTTGGTCGCTTGATCGGATTGGGCACGGCTCTACAGGTTGCCTTGCAATTCCCAGACCATTTGCTGTCGTTTGCCGGACGGGTATATGATGCGCTGCGCGAACGCACAGAAGCTTCACTTTTTCTCCTGGGGGACACATCCTTTGGCGAGTACGTGTTCGAATGCACATGCCTCTCTCCATCTTTGCCGACGCGGCGGAAAACTCATCTTTTTTTTTCTTCATGCGGCACTTCGCCTCTCCATCTTCCAGGTGTTGTGTGGACGAGGTCGCTGCTGAACATGCTGGAGCCGACCTCATCATCCATTTCGGCCACAGTTGCCTCTCCAGGTCTGCGACTCATGCCCCCGATTTGAAATTTGCGTGACATTTTGAGGCTGGTCAGATTGTTGATCCCCTGTTCGTTGGTCCTTTGGCTGCCGGTTTGATGCCACCCCACGATGCAGAACCACAAAAATCCCGGCACTGTATGCCTTTGGTCGTTGTCCGGTGAACGTGGGCGTCGCACAACAGATCATCGCGAAAACCGTCGACAAGCAACTAAACCTGCTCCTGTTGACCGCCGTCGAATATGCACATGCAGCCGGTGCGTCCACACAGATGATCATGTCCCAGTGTTGCAGCACCCGAGCCCATGCTTAGGGAGTTTTACTGTCCACACCTCGAGTAAACCCTCTCTCCTTGTCGGGCGCGGGGCATTAAATCTTGTGTGCCCACTTGGTAGAGGAGCTTGCGGAGTCACTGCAAGAGATTTATGGCACAGTTCATTGCGCTCGTGTTGACCCCAGCTACATGGCTTCAGTGCCGTTGCAGCCTGAACAAAACGAAGCAAACGCCACATCCCTGGCTTCCTGTTGCGGCAGCTCTGGGGCCTGTGAGTCAAGTACACCTTGCAACCCCAAATCTACAGATGCTGCCGCGGCCGCGGCTACTTGTGGTAGCTGTTCCACGATGCCCAAGGCCTCAGCCCATGACACCGATTCCACAACGGAAGAGGCATTAACCCTTGTCGATGAGCCCGAAGAGAGCGAGGAGATTGATGATCCCTCGCGCGAGCCGGCACCTATTCCAGCCGCAGTCAGTGCTCGCTCGGCCATCGAGACCGAGCAAAAGCGCCTGCAGTTTGGCCGTGCCAATCTTCCGGCGAGCTCAAGCCTGGGGGAAGACACGGTGGTTCTCTATGTCGGTGGTTAGTCTTGCCCGCACCCCACGTTTTGCATCCCTGTTACAATGTCCTCTGCTTCCTCACTCTGGCCTGCCTCAACTGCACAGCACCCGACGTTCCATTTCTTCGCAGCTTCCTCATGCTCTACAATCAACAACGCGTGCGTTTTGTTGCCCACTGTCTCATGTGCCGCTGGCGTACAATTTATCGACTGCTTAATGATGGCGCTTTTTGGCTCTTTGACCGCTTGTGTTTTGCTTGAAAAATTAGGTGTTCAACTTTGACCCAACGACAAATGCCTGCACAGAGCAATTTTTGCGTACCAACAAGGCACTCATGCGTCGGTACGATTGCAACATGTCTGCATCATGTTATTCCCCACCAAGCTTCATAAAGGCTGATGACAAGGCTTCACAGACCTCACCTGCTCGTGCGCTAGCTATTTCATGGTGCAAAAGGCCAAAGAAGCTCAGACGGTGGGCATCATCTGTGGGACTCTGGGCGTAGCACACTACATGACCCTGCTGGAGAGCGTCAAGAAGCTGTGCACCGCAGCAGAGAAGCAATTTTACACCTTTTTAATGGGCAAGATTAACCCAGCCAAGCTTGCAAACTTTACTGAAGTGGATGCATACGTTCTGATTGCGTGTCCGGAAACGACATTGGTTTGTGCGCGGCTTTGGTTGCTGTGCTGCGTTTGCACATGATCCACCATCAGTTGTGTCCCACCGGTGTCTTTGTCTTTCCTCACCAGCCCCCTTTTTTTTCTCGGGCTAGCTTGACTCGACCGAGTTTTTCAAGCCCGTCGTCACGCCCTTTGAGCTGGAGCTGGCCTGCGCAGCGCACCGCGACTGGGACGGCCATTATGAACTCCAGTTTGAAACCATTGTTCAATGTTCGTGGCATTCAGATCTGGATGCTCGTGGGGGCTCCTATCGCTTTGTGCAGTGCACATTGCCTCTTGTCGTCACGTGCCTTGTTTGGTTTTTCTTGTGCAACGCTACCCTATTTAGCCATTCATGAAGATTTGCAGGAAATGGAAGATGCGCCAGCCATGGCAGAGCCGCAATTTTCTCTACTTTCGCAGTCGTACTTGTCGCGGGCGGCTGATCGCGGTATGGCCAGCCATTTGAAAGAATGCCAGATGGGCCGGATATACTCATTGAGCCCGCTTCCAATGATTGCTCTTCTAGATGGGGATCAAGGACTGGGCGCAGTTGCTGTGCGTGCCAACGGAGGAGCCATTTTGCCCAGTGGGGGCGGTATGTTTCATGCCTTTGGTTGAATGCCATGCCGTCTGTAACTCCAAGCTGATCTATCTGATGTGCATGTGTTAATGCCCTTATCCCCTCATAGCGCGCACGCTCGCGGAGCGAACTTTCCAAGGTCTGGACCAACGTCTGGGCGAAACACCGGTCACCAAGGCCATTCAAGGGACGCATGGAATCGCCATTGGCTACGACAATGAACCGCAGTAATGGAAACCAATGGACGGTGGGAAATTGAGGAATTTCAAATCTCAAGCATGGATCAACAGGCAGACCGTCTCCATTGGGCGAGCAGAGCGGTTTGGGATAATGAGTATGCCTCACACAAAGGGCAAAGCCATTCAACACTGACCCAGAAAAAAAATAACCTTACACATGCACACACACACACACACACACACACACACACACACACACACACACACACACACACACACACACACACACACACACACACACACACACACGAAGGTCCACGACAAGGTCTAAACGACGTTGCGGTTGAAGAGAGTATAGACCTGGCCACCATTGCTGGCGGCCTTATCGCCCAAATAAGCTCCGACAGCCAAGTAGTCATCGGCGTACGCGACATCCTGTCCAAAGTAGTCCGAGGTGGAGGCGTCTTCAGCCACAATATGCGAGACCAACCCCCAAGTGCCAGATGCGTCGCGCGCATAGGTCGAGATGCCTCCCGCATTGGTAGCAGAGCTCACATCCTCGAAGCGAGTGGTGACAGCCAGGGAGGTGGCGTCGTTGTTGAAAGCCAGCTGGTAGCCAAAGTAGTCAGAGGAAGACGCATCAGCGCGGCGCAGCGTCGTGACCTCGGTAAACTCGGACCGCCCATCCGACTGGAAGATATACACTGCACCCTGAGTTGAAATTGTCGTGGTCTCTCCATCATCACCGTAGGCTCCCACGGCCAGAAAGTGTGTACCTGTGCTCGTGATCCCCAGGTCCACGGAGGCTCCAAAGTAATCATAGGCCTCGACTGTCGAACCGACGACGCGCTGGAAGAAACGCACGGCATCATATGCAGGATAGTATCTGAAAATCAAAACTTGGCCTTGACTGACCCCCGTTGTTTCATCTTTGGCAGCGTAGGCGCCAAGCACGATGAAATTGCCGTTGATGGCAATGCTATCGATGCCCAAACCCAAGTAGTCGTACGAGTTTGCCTCTGTGTCGAACAACCTCATTGGAGGTGAGCTGAAGCTCTGGCTGGCGTTGGAACGCTGATACAAGTAGACCACCCCGGTGTTGTCTGACAGGGTGCCATCGTCCGTCTCATCATCAGCGTAAGGCGCTCCAATGGCCAGGAAGCGGTCTGAAATGGCCACACTACGACCAAAGTAGTCGGAGGCCTCTTGATCTGGCGCGCTGAGCTTGACCTCGAGCTCAAAGAGATTGCTAGCGTTGAGACGGTAGACGTAGGCAGCACCGGCATTGGTCAGATTCTCATCGTCGTAAGGCGCGCCAACAACCAGCGTATCTCCGTACAGGGCCACATCGTTGGCAAATAGGGTCGTGGCCGAGCCGTAGTAAGGGCCCTCGATGATTTGGCGTACGGAGAATGATTGATCACTTTCGTCAAAGTCAATGATGAAAACAGCACCCACGTTGGTGATGTATCGGCTCGAAAAGCCCGCGGCAGCTACGGCCATGGTGTTGCCGTAGGTGGCAATGGCACGACCAAAATTGTCGTTTGTACCAAGTTCGGATGGGGCAATAATGGTTTGGCTCATGGTACCATAGCGAGCATTGATGAGGGCACGCAGTTGCTCGTATCCACTCGCAAAGCTGTCGTAGTTTCCAGACAAGAAATCAATCAGATCCTCATAGTCGTTGTTGAGCTGAGCCGATGCATTCTGCACGGCCGGAAGTGCTTGCGGAATAACGGCCCGCACCTACATTGCCAGGCGACCGACGCACGTGTGGTGGGCAGACCACGAGAGGTGGCAAGTCAGTGTAAAAATAATGGCGCGGAAAAATATCTGTGAAGAGGGGTTGGAGGCAAGCGCATGGTTTATGGGTTCTAGTGCGTACCTCCGAGGCCAGCATGGAGATGTTGTTGGCAGCAGCCGTTACGGTGGCCAGCCCATCCGCCGCGGCTTCATTGCAAGCATCAGTGGCAGCTGTGAGGCCTTGGCCAGCCTGGGCGCTCATGGCCATAAGCTGGTCCAGCTTGTCTTGAATCTGTTCGCGGAGCGCGCCCAAGTGGCGAGTCAGCATCTCTTGTTGTGCAGCAATTGGAATCTGCTCCGCAGCAATGGCAGACAGCGTGGAATTGTACAGGCTACGCTTGCGAGTTTGTAGATTGTCGAAACTTGTCACAAGGGTTTGAATGGTGACATCGCTGCCCTGGCTCGAACCGGCGTACGTGGCCACGGCTTGTTCGTACTGGCTGCGCAAACTGGCCACTACGCCAGCGGCGGCCGTCGCCTTGTCATTCATAGAACTGAGAGCGATGCTGGCACTTGTCGCGTTGGCCGTCATCATGTTGGTGAGCTATGTCAGACACGGACACGGCCGCAGCGCAAACATATACCCAGGCACATGAAAAGAATCGGCGAGGTGATGAGGCGATGCAAGGGCTGGGCACTGAGCCAGGCGGATCCGGTCGTTTTATTGGCATTGTAAACCAACCTGCATCGCGCGCTGCTTGGTGCGGGTGGTGTTGGCACGAATGGCAGATACAGTCGCATTGATATTTGAGTTCTCTTGGCGGAGCATAGTCAGCGCCTGGCCATGAGCATGCCATTCGGAGCAGTTCGCAATGAGATAATAGCACAGTCAAGGGTGAGTGCCGAAAGAGAATGATCGATTCGCGTGCCCACCTGGAGTAGCGCAGTCATGTTGATAGTTGATTGAGCCGTCTTAAATTCAATGGTCTCACCTACTGTGATTTTCTCCCTGGTCGTCGTCACCTGAGAGGTTCAGCCGCATGCCAAAGTTGAGCAGTGTCCTCAAACTTGAGCGAAACCAGCGTTTGGCCCAAAAACAAAAACGGCGCACCTGGACCGAGCCAGCGGCGCCAATCTCAAATCCGCCATTAGAGCCGGTAGCACGAAAGTAGGAAGAAGTCTGCGCCTCCTGTGCGGCTGCCAAGGCCACCCAAAAGGCCAGCACCAGGCCCCAAGCCCGAGAAGGAGTCCTCAGCATGGTGCTCTAGACAAATACACCCAAGTGCATAGCCGACACGGATGAGTCGAGCGTAAAGCCTCTGTACCCATTACAATCCAAGGCGCTGCGCGACTTTGGCAATTGCATTCCCTCATCCCAGTGCAAGCTCGAAAGGCACACCAAAGGTCTCACCTTGCCGCTGCCGTTTGTTGTGAGAGAGGAAGAGAGAGAAGGGAACGGAAAGTAAACAACAAAATGAATTGTGTGTGTGTGTGTGTGTGTGTGTGTGTGTGTGTGTGTGTGTGTGTGTGTGTGTGTGTGTGTGTGTGTGTGTGTGTGTGTGTGTGTGTGTGTGTGTGTGTGTGTGTGTGTGTGTGTGTGTGTGTCAACGGCTGTAGCTTGTGTGTGAGACAACAGCTTCTGCGGGATCGCGGGTTGTGTGACAATTGCACTTTGTGGAATTTTAAATAGATTACAGAATAGGTTTTCTCTACAAAGTTATTCAGGTATGCGCAGGAAACTAACTAAGGGAGAAATCCAAAAGATGCAAGGGGTCATGGTGCGGGTGTGTCGCTACCGCGACCGGAGAACAGCACGCGGTGTAGCTCTTGCAGAGATGCCAGACTCAAAGCCGGCTAGATGGGAGAGGGAGTGAGGTCATGCACATGGAATTGATGAGGTTGATGAGATACAGTTTAAGCTTGAAACTTGGCAGTTGGAGCACCAAAAGTAACGATGCGAAGAAGCGAACTGACCGGGGCCACATCGCCCATGGGCGGCTCATCGTCACTCGAATCAAAAAGCTCGTTGAGGTCCAACTTCTCTGCTCCCTCCTCAACCATGTCTGAAGCAACTGCCTGCTGCACAAGATCAGCCTCGGATGGTGTTGTTTCTTCACCGGCCTCGCCCGCGTAGTCACCACTGTAATAGCCATCAACATCACGCGTGATCTGGCGCAGCACGCCGCTGGATAGCATGCTATCTGATTCAATTTCCACCTCTTGAATGGTCGGCACGCTGAGTCGGCGGGCAAAGGGATGTCCACTTCGCGGTGGCTGAATCGGTGTGTGGGCCCGGGGCTCGGGCACTGGGTCATCCTGCAAAGGTGATGGCGAGCGCGTCGTTTCCCAAACTGCCGTGGCCCCGTCTGAAGCATCCACGGGGACGATGTCCTCTTCTGAGGCACGACGCGCCAAGAAATTGTTTGGATGATCTGCCACAGGCTTGGATTCTACGCGACCGCGACTGGGCAGAGGTGTTTGCTCGCCGTCACTTGCCTCGTCGTCGGACATGTCTGCGGCCGCGGCCTTGGCCGCAGCCAACAAGGCGGCGCCCGTATCGGCCATCAGCGTGCCATCAAAAGAGGTACGGCTCATTCGTGCCACCATGGCCAGTGGCGGGGAAGTGGCACCCAAGTTCTCGTCCCGTGTCATCTCCAGTCGTCGGTCGTCTGCAGCCGGTGCTGGTGGCGACGCGCTCGGACCACCGAGGTCCTCAAAATCGCCAAAGGATGCACGACTCAGCCGCGCTACCACCGCAAGCGGCGCAGGGGCAGTGGAAGGTCGTGAAGACGGCGCCTCCTGGTCCTCTTCGCTGCCGTCGCTGTCCATGCTCGCGTCCAGAGCCGGGTCCATACCTGCTAAACCCTGACCCATGTCTTCCACGTCACCAAAGGAAGCGCGACTCAGCCTGGCTACAATTGCAAGAGGTGCCGAGTGCCGCCGGGCCTGTTGAACGTTTGCGCTGTCGAGGCTGCGGTTGAGAAAGCTGCTTCTTCGCTCGCGCTCCTCTTCAGAGTCCGTGTCAGAAGGTGCTTCGCCCATGGCTGCTGCCATAAAAGCGGCTTCACCGCCGAAGGAAGCTCGGCTGAGACGTGCCACCAGTGCCATTGCCTCGCCTGGCGCCGCACTATCGAGCTCGTCCTCCGATCCGGTTTCATCTGGCAATGGCGCAGCAGGTGACGGCCTGGTGGCCAACGTTGCTTCTGCGCCAAGCTCTGTTTCAACATTAGATGTTGGCTCTGATTTGGCGGGCGGCTCTGGTTCGGCGGCCATCTCTGGTACAGCGGGCGGCTCTGGTACGGCGGCCATCTCTGGTACAGCGGGCGGCTCTGGTACGGCGGCCATCTCCATGGTCGCAGCCGCTTCATTGATGGTGGCAGATTCCCTTTTTGCAGCTAGCTCTGAGTGCTGCGCTGCAGGTGCGATCGGGTTGGGATCTGCAGCAGCGGCGTTCATCGATCCTTCTTCCGTGGCTGCAGAACCATGATTTTGTGCCGTTTCCAGCGAGGTTCGATCTGCCTGCTCAACAAGTGGAAACTCGGCGACGTTTGTCATGGGCATCGCGTGGGATAATACAATTGGGGCTGAGCTTGCTTCAGCAGTCGCCTTCACGCCGCCGGACATGGCTGCGGGTGACACAAGCGTCTCTGCATGGCCGGATGTTGCTGATGGCGACACCAGCTGTTCCGAGCAAGTGGACATGCCGGGCGCCTGAGCATTCAGTGCAACTGAGGCTGCGGGCATAGGCGTACTTGACACTGTGGTTTCAGGGTCACCCACGTGCGTCGACTTTGGAACGGGTTGGCCATCAGGGTTGGCACCAGGCGATGCCCTGGAATTTGAGGCCGGGGAGGGCGACAGCATCTTTGGGGGCGCCGAAAAAATTGGCCTGTTGAGTGCTCGCGGCGCACGGGGAGGAAGCGCCGCTGCGCGTGCCTCCATTTCGGGCGTGACGCTGGCATAGGGATCCAGGCCCGCGCCATTGCCCATTCCACCGCTGCGATCACTGGATCCCGTGGAACGTGATGTCTCACGACCCAAAGACGTGCGCATTGCTGACCCTGGAGGTTGCAACATGCCACGACGCAAACGATCAATCTGCTCAAAACGCGTTTGCAAGGTGTCAAAGGTAGCCGTGGCTGGCCGTGCCACGTTCACTGATGGAGCTTTACGCAAGGTCACGACAGCGTCTGCGCTCCAAACGCGGCCGTGGCTTGAAGATGAAGGCGTCACGGTCGTGGGAACCGCATCCTCTCGAAGTGTGCGCTCGCGTCGTCGAGTGGTGCCTAAACTCACTGGGGGTCGAGCCGAGATCGGGCGCAGTGGGCGCTCCAATGTGGCATTTGCATCATGGACCTGCCCGTCGTCGTCATCGGAGATGGCCTCCCAGTCATCGTCGTCGTCATTTGGCGGGGGGTCGGTGGGTATATTCGCAGGGGCTTCAAACATGAATCCACCAACTTGCATGCGTGGCGAGGTTGTGGCTGACTTGGATTCAGAGATCAGCGCCTCTGATGCGGATGGTGGGTGTATGGCCGAGCGCACACGATGGATAGTCGACAGTACCTCCTCTGCATCCGGGTCCTCAGGCAACTGATGCGTCACCAAGGCAAGCTACTCAAACGACGCGCGGTGCGCATTGCAGCAGGAGGAGCATGAGAGTGAGGGACCACGTGGACAGCAAATGCGTCGTCTGAAAGATGAGACTTGTGTGAGAAAGTTGGACGCTGTAAAGCGCCGAATGCCGTGTTTTCAATGTACCTGGCAAGACGGGCAAGGTTGCATGCCCTCCAAGCCTTCAACAACAAAGTGGCCTCGTCGACCACCAAGCCGAGAGCCAACGGCATACTTGAAGGGGCAGCACGTACTCCAGCGATCCTGAACCATGCCCTGGCAACGCACGACCACGGCTAGGCGGGCCAAACCCAGACGAAGCCGCAAGCGCACAGTGGATTGATTGGGAATAATGTCATCGAAGAGGACAAAATCTCGGTGCTTGTCAGGATCTTGCTGTACAATGGTGTACCGCAGAGCCAAGCGAGCCCGGTCAGCTGGCCCTGGTCGCGCAAGGCGAACAATCAACCTGAATGAAGCAAGGGAGCGTCACATGGCGTAGGCACGCTGGCGTGAAACTGGGCCAGCTGGAGCCCACAAAACGGGTACAGGATCGGACTTCTGTGCCGGGCGTTCAACCGTGGTGACAAAACGTACAGGCCATAGCGTGCATATGTATCGGGCCCGAGCGTGTCTCGTGTCGCAAGCACGCGTGCCGGCACGGGAGAGCTCGGCGAAACAGTGTTTGTGGTGGCAGATCGGTTGGGTCGTGCAGGGCTACGGGCGCTCCAGGCGCGTGGCATCTAAGTCGATGGCGCCATACATGAGCAATCAGCAAACATGAAACAGAAAATGCGGGCCGTGGTCGAGCATCAAACATGAAAAACAGTCAAATAGCAAAGCGCTCACGCGAGGGGCTTGGGCATAGGGTGATGATGTGGCGTGGATGGTGGCAGAACGAGTACGGCGGTCAGCCGAGACGGCAGTTTCGTTGCGCGCAGACAGACTACGTCGAATACGTTGCGGTCTGGCCGCAATTGGTGCGGAGGCTGCGATGAAGGGTATATCCAGCCAGCCCAGACACAGCAAAGGCTGTCAGGCGAGTGGAGTCTGGGTCACGCCGCCGGCTGGCGTTGAGGCAAAGCAAATATGCAGGGAACATACACTCGGCTCCTGGCGCTGTTGCAGAAAGCTGGTGGCTGGCTGGCCGGGTCGGGGTGTGGGTGCCAGCAGCTGGACGTGCGGACGCGGGTCTCTGCGGTGCCGGCGAGCCGGTCGACTCTTGGGAACTGAACGTAGATGGCAAGCGCGTGCGTGAGCACGGTTGTGAGAACCACAAGCAAGCCCATGGCTCGACTCGAACTTACGCAAAGACCGTAGCCATGGTTAGCAATCAATGCCGTCCTGCTGCTCGGAACCAAACCACACGAGTGCTTCTCAGCGGCTCCGCCGCGATCGTGCTCACGCTAGGGTCAACTCGTGGCGATAAGAGTCCCCCTGCAACACCATTCCCGCCCACCCTCACCCGGCTAGCATACAGTTTGATCGTCCTCTGATTGATCAAACACAACAACAATGTGGTAGGCGGTCACCGCCCCCGGTCACACCAGCAGACGACGAAAATGACAAAAAAAAAATCAAAAAAAATAAAAAAAATTTGCGCGCCACCGCCAAATTTTTTTTTTTTCGAAAAGAAGCAGTTTATGCTTATGTGCTTATGCTGGTTTGCGTTGTCAGACAAATGATGGGGTGCGTGTTGTGTTTTGTTTATCGCGTTGCTTGGGGGTCGCTCTACAAGTGTAACTGATAACACACTATGGACTATCTTCAAGTCAAAGTGTGATATAAATCAGTGTATCGCTTAGAGGGGGTTACTAAATGGCAGTGCCACGTCCTCTGCCTGTGTCGGCGGGGCATTTGAGCACTTGGACAGTGTGCCTCTTGATGTATTCGTGCTTGCTGGCCCGTCCGCTTGCTGGCCGGAGGGGACTGACGCGTCCTTGCGTACCATCGTAATGGTGGTGCGGCAGTATCCCTGTTCTAGTGCTTTGCGCTCACGGGTAGGGCTGCTGATGCTGATCAGTATTTTCGCGGCCGTGGGGGCTGAGCGTGTCTGCCGAAACCCCAGCTGCACTGAAGCCATCTCCATTGTGCGCGCCTACAAGGACTTTACCTCACCTGACAGCGACTTTTCCTTCCGTCGACTCTCCACCTTCAGCGTTCTGAGCAAAGACGGAGATACATGGGAGGGAAACGTGCGTTGATCCCGGCCCTGGTACCCCCATCCTCGAGGCGTTGTGGAATTTCACTGTGCTCATACATGATGGGGGCCTGCACGTTTGGTCGTTGTTTGAGCCTTAGATTGCCGGAAAGCGAGGATTTTTTCCACGCGCCGCCGTGGAAGAATTGTCCATCTTCGAACCTAACCCTCAGTATATCCGACCCCGCTCCAACCCCGAAGTATGTACCTGGCCTTGACCCCTGCTCGCCAGTCGGTTCTGACTTGGCTCACTGCGCGTCGTCGTGGCACTTTGTGCGATTCGCAGCATGAGGCGGAAATGGAGGCTGCTCGTCAACAGCATCACCAGCGGCAGGCAGATGTGGCCGCAAAAGCAGCCGCTGAAGCCGCTCAAGCAGCTGCTGAAGCCGCTCAAGCTGCAGCCACTCAAGCTAAAGCTGTTGAGACCGAGCCGTCTGTTGAAACAGATCCTGCCACGAACAACTCGCCATCCAAAACACGGGCTGAGGCCCTGAAGCGCAAGCGAGAAGAATTGCTGCGGCAAATGGCCGGTGCGTTTTTGTTTTTGTTCTTGTTTGTTTTGCTTGCTGCCCTCTGTCTTTTCCCAAAAACATTCCCATGGATGCAAGCCAACCCGTGCTGACGACCGCACGCATGTCGATCGCCCCCACCCAGAACTAGAGGCTCTCGAGTCGGAGGATCCTGCGCCAGACGCACTCGAGTCAGACGACTCGGAAACAAATTCGCCCGCGCCAGTCGGCCTCGAGACGAAGCCCATCCAATCAGAGGATACAGCGTCCTCACACACTCTACCTCTCAAACCCGAGCCGCTCGATGCGACTGATGCACAACCGCAGGCATCGGAACCTAGCCCGGACAAACTCGGGGCAGAAGAGCCTATTGAAACCACACAGGATTCTGTTCGGCCAACTGCTCCCAGCTCGAGTGAGCCCACATCACAGTCTGTGCCCAAACAGGCAGCGGTGCCCGAACCGGCAGCTGTGTCTAAACAAGTTGTGGCGGAGCAGACTGTCTCAGAACCGGATGAGCAGGTGGCGCCCAAGCTGGCCGAGTCCATGACCATGCCAAGCGAGCTTGAGGCTCCCAAACGAGAGCCAACGGGGGACTCTGTGGCTGCGCCGATGCACACCGACACAAAAGCTGAGACCAAACAAGCCAGTGATCCCCCAACCCTCACAACAAGTTCTGTCACCCCCTCTGTGGTAGCCGCACACCAATCGAGGGGGATGGAGCAAGGCGGGGCCAATCGTGAGACGACACTTCGAGAGGCCTTGGTCGAGCAAACTACTGAGAGCACCGAAGCCGAAGCCTCTCTGAAGGCACTCGTACACGAGGCAGAGTCCCTGGAGGAAGAGCTTCCGACAGCTTTGTCTCAAGAAGCGACAGGTCACAGTGCTCAGGACCCTGCCCCCACACTTGCGGAAGCGCGGCCCACCGATGATGCTGCAAATCAAGATGAGCTCTCCGTTCAGAATACAGAAAACGCCAAACTTGGACCAGGCGAAACTGCACCCACACTCGCGCCAACGCCTGACGATGCCGCACCTGTGCCTCGGGCCAGCGACACCGAGCCACAAGGCATGGCAGAGCAGAGCTCATCAGACCAGTCAACAGAGGCTGATGTATCTTTGCTCGAAGCACCCGAAATCTCGATGCAAGAGATCCCTCCGGTGGAGCGCGTGGACTCTCCCCCTGAACTGCCTGAACCCACCTTCAACTCGCGCCGCGTGGAGACAGAGGCCACGGTTGTAAGAAATATCGCTCGCCGTGCACCAGGAGAAGGACGAGAGGATTCGAGCCTGAACCTCGAATCACAACATGCAGAAGCAGTGTCTCCTGAAGCGACTCGCCAGGAACCCTCTGTGTCGACTAAAGACAATGTTGTAAAGTCTGTTGAGTCGGAGGACCAGCGCAACTCTCGCGAGGCACAACTGCCCGAGCCGGCCTCGGAAATGCCAGAGCTTCCTTCAGAGCAGATTGAGCAAGAGACTGAACCCGATCACAACGCAGACCCCAATCATGACAAAGACACTGCGGACATTGCAGCTGCCGAAGAGACAGAAGATTGGGAGGAAGTGGAACGGGCGGAGGAGCCTGAAGAACCGGTCGCACCAGAAGATTCGAGGGATTCGGAAGAGTTGGCATCCGAAGTTGCCGAACCGGAGCCTAAAAGTGTGCAAGAAATTGTCGAAGAACAGCTGGATCAGGAACGTGAGAACCTGCTGGCAAGCCTTCAAGACAAGTATCCCCACGATTGTCAGAAGTGGGCACGCCGATCCGGCTGTCGTCGTAATGCGCGCTGGATGAAGAACAATTGTGCCCGCAGCTGTGTTGCCCAAGAGTTTGACGATGGCTTGCAAGCCCGCCGTGCGGAGCTCTATGAATTGGTCGAGGCGGAAATGTTTCGCGAGGAAGAAGAAGACGTCAATACCGCCCATGCGGAGGAACCTTTGCAACCAGATCATGCCCCGGATCACGGTGGAGCCGACCATGCCTCTGCCCATGCGACCATGGCTCCTGCTTCAGAGACTGAGGCACATCAGCTCGAAGCCGCGCAGGATCCCCACCGGGTACCGACAGCAAACCCAATGGGACAAGAGCCATCACAACCAGAGCAGGCATTGAAGTCAGAATCAGAGCCACAATTGGACTTGGACCCGAACTCAGAGCTCCAACAAGCCCACCATAGCTCCGAACCAGTGCCAGAACCAGAACCAGAATCCGATCCGGAACCAGAATTACAACAAGCACACCACAATTCCGAACCAGAAACAAAGCAAGAGCCCGTGCCGGAGCCTGTTGAAGCAGCAGCGTCGTTGCTCGAGCCTGCTCCCGATACGCACCATGAATCAGAGCCTGAGCCTGAGACTGCACAAAAGGAAGAGCCACATGATGTGACCAAGTCTTCAGCCGACCGTCAAAATGAGCCAAAGCAGCAAATCCACGAGCACATCCACGAGCACACGACGCTTCCACCTGCAACGGCGTCGAGTTCAGATGTAATTCACGACGCGGAGAATGGTGACACGGCTCGCAATCAAGAAGAAGACTCGGGGGCAAACCCAGAACTTCGAGCCTCGCCATTTACTCGCCAGCGTGCCCCACCCATGCCACGTGCACCATCTAGGTATGCTACCTGGCTTGTACGAGCTGATTACTGGGAACTTTAGGTCAGCTTCTGACGCGCTGTGTTTCTTCATAGGTGTAAGGACCCGTTGTCCATTGCGCGCTTATTTGGGTCGTCGACCCTTGCAGGCGTCGATTTGGATGAGCTAGCACGGACCGTGGCGGCCGCTACGCCGTGGGCCGACGACGATTGCCCAACCACCCTTGCCGTGGCCGTATCAGCCTTTGCTGCAGCCACCGTTTGGATGTTCACCGCCTCATGGTGTTGCTGCTGTGGCAGTAGCGGAGGCTCCACCTCTAAGATGGCTGCCATTACCAAAGCACACACCGAGCTGAAATCAGAACGCGATCGCTTGGCTGATCAAGCTCGTCTTGCGCGCGAAGCACAGGATCAGGTGGAAGGCCAGTTGTCGCAGGTCAAAGCCCAGAACAAGTCACTCAAGGGCGAAATCCAGGAGCTGCAGCAGGAGGCCAAGCGGCTGCAGGCCACGGTGGACAAGCAAGCACGCGCTCTGCAATCAGCGCCCGGGCCAGAGGCCCCAACGCTGGTGCGCAAGCTTCAACGTCATGCATCCGACAGCCAGCTGGCGACGGAGGAGCTGCAAAAGCGTGTGGATGTGCTACAGAAGGAGAAAGAAGAGGCTCTGACGGCGGTCAATGCATGGCAGCAAAGCTACGCGCAATACGAGGAGTATGCCAAGTCGCTGCAGGCTCACGCAGAGGCGCTTCAGCAACAACTGCAGCAGCAACAGCAGCAGCAGGCGCAAAGCGCCGAGGCCGACGCAGGCGCTGCCGACTCGGCACCAACATCGGCAGCTGTGGATGAGCTACGTCGCACGCTGTCAGCACGCGACCAGGAGGTGACTGATCTGCGTTCCATGCTGGCTACGGCCGCGCCGGATGCCGAGGAGACATCGCAAAAGCTGGAAAAGTCGACGGCGCGGGTCGCTGCGTTGACAGAGCGCTGCGACTCTCTCAAAGTTCAGCTCGAGCAGAAGGACATGGCCTTGACTGCGCTGCGAGACCGTGTGGAGCGCCTGCAGGCAGCTGTCGATGCCGGCAGCGGCGGCAGCGCCGGTACACAGGTCAAAATGCTGACGCACCAGCTGGAAGAAGCCGAGCGCCGCCAGCTGGATCTTGTGCAAGGCCGCGAAGAGAAGATTCGCACCATCAAGGAATTATATGAAGAGAGGGCGCGCAAAGCTGAGGAGCAGCTGCTCGAAGCGCGTCAACGCATCAAAGCCATGGAGGCGGATATGTTGCGGGTTCCTTCGCCGACAGCTGATAGCAGCGCTATGCGCCAAATCGAAGAACTCCAGCGCCAGCTTCAGGAGGCGTGTGCAGCCCGGGACAAGACCGAAGTGCAGCTTCACCGAGCCCGCGAGAAGCTGGTTGCACAGGTATGCAGCATTCGTGCCTCCCTACCCATGCTCCATTTTGTGTTTGCCGTATGCTTGCAGGCCTGAGCTTGGCAACGCTCACTTTTTGCCTTGGGTAAATCTGTGGTAGGGCACTGAGCTTCAAGCGTATCGCACGGGTCTTAGCGTGACCCAAGGCCCACCCTCGGGGTCCTCGAGTGTACGACGCGTGGGCCATCCTGGCCAACAACCAACCCGCCAGCTCTTGGCAGCCATGAATGCGTCACAATCACGCTCACGCACGGGCTCAAACGCCAGCAGCGTGTCGGGTGTCAATACTGCACGATCACGCAGCGACCACGTAGCTGGCAAACCCCATCCGTAAAGCCGCCCAAGTTCTTGATGTTTCTCTAATCAAAATAGCTCTGAATGTCGGGCCCTCCACCTTCTTGGAGGCAACACCAACAACCAACCCCTGAACACGCATCTTCAGAAAAACACTTGACATGGGGTTTGACACCTTTGCAAAACAGAGCCTGTGTCTCTCAACATTGATCCGGGAGGCAACACCACGTCCATATCAACACCAACATGAAGGAAAAAAAAAAATGGAAAATCTGATTTTGATTTTTTTTTGCGGAAATTTTCGAGGATATTTGCTTGAACTTAAATCGACGACGCGCGCACGCAAGGCTGCTGGAAGTGGGCAGTCAGAGCGGGCATGGCCTACCCCAGTGCACCGGGCCGGTGAGTTGAACAAATGTTGTCTCTTATGGCCACCACCCAATTTTTTTTCTGTCGACCAGCGCTTGTGCTGACCCACTGCCTGCTCTACATGCCGCCTGACAACGATGGCATCAAGCTCGGGCAGCCATGATCGAGCCATGGATGTGCTTGTAAGCGATGCAGGAGGGCTGACACTCAAGGGTCGCCCGGCTGCCACGGGCTCACGTCACCAACGCATCACCAACATGAGCATGTTGCTTGACCCGCGCCTTGCTGAGGAGGAAATGAATCGTCGACGAGGTATCTGAGTTGTATCCGGACGGCAGCGTCGCCAGCTTGATCTGTGTGCAGGCCGACCAGAACGCCCACCTAATCCAGCTGTCAATGCTTTCAGGTCACAAGCCCAAAAATCACCTCAGCATCAATCGGCGCAAAGCAACACAAGTTCGACGCGAAGCACCCCCCGAAGCGGCGCCGACGCCAAGCACGGCTGCGGAAAAGAAAAAGTATGACCACGTTGAATCAAAAGTGGCGGCTTTCACCAAGGTACACACACCGGGCTGCCGCTGCTTCTCCATGGAAGTTTCTGCTTTGATCTGCCTCGTCTTGCCGGATTATTTGTGGTACTGAAACTTTGCCTCATCTTCGTTCTGGGGCCATCTCAGGTGGCGGCCCGGCAGACTGAGGAAAAAAAGGACTATTTACGTCGTCACTCCAGAAATGGAGCTCCTTCACAGCCGAACCAACCCACAATCGGCAAGCCACAGGCGGTCCAAACCATCAAAACCGCTTTTGGCAGGAGTCAGGCCGGCACTTCTGGTGCGATTCCGGGCTCACTTGGCCTCTGCTTCTTTGTTTGTGAAACGTGATGTTTTGTGCCATTGCGCATCGGTTCGCTGCACCCTTTTTGCCCCATTGCTGATGGTTAGCATGGCCCCATGCACGCACGCACGCACGCATCTGCACAGGCCCCGATTTGAGCATCTCAGGTGGAGCTGTCGGCCTTTCTCGCCCTGGCTCGAAGGCAGCCTCCACGCGTCCTAGCTCTCGCCCTGGCTCTCGACCTGGCTCGAGCCAAAGTACGCGGCCAGGAACGCGAGGAACCAAGCCTGGGGAGATTCCTGCCTATCTCAAGGCGCGCAAGGCAGCATGGAAGCGTGAGGATGAGGCGCAGCGAGCTGCAGCCGAGCGCGATCCGAATTGCCCCGATGGTACGCTGCGACACAATGTGAAAGCCTGACACAACACCTCCCATCCTTCCCGCCGGCTTGTCTGCGACAACACAGGCTCAAATGCGTTGTTTGCGGGCTGCTCAGGATTTGTTCAGTTGGATGAAGGCAAACGGCGTGAAATTATCAAAGATTTGCGTCAACGCTACGAGCGGCTCTCAGCCGCACTGCAGGTGCGAATACCTTTATTGTGGTCCCTTTGCCTGTTGTCTTGTTGCCTCTTTTTTGCTTTGCATTTTGAGAGCCCAGCTGGATAGGTTTTTTTTAATCTTGCGTGGCATTGTTCATTATGGGCTGGGCTAGATGCTACCCACGTCCAAGGATACGCTGCGCCTGCAGCAGTGCCGCCAGGTGATGGAGCGTGACCTTCGTGGCTTGGAGCTGGCTATGGAGTACTTTACGGCCCCCCGCGTCTACGTTCCTGGTCCACACGCATAGCAACAGTGGTGGGTTTGGGATTGTCTTTCCTGAATCGTGCCTCGCCATGCTTTGCGGTTTCAGTAAAAGTCCTGCGGGACAAGGGGTAAGCTGCTTGGTGAGATCAAACTGCGGCCGTGCCGGGGTTGTGACTGTCTATTGATTTTGAGCAAACAATCGCTTTCTAAAACACGCAGCTTGGTGACACCAGACAAGCAAACACACGGTATGACGAAGACAAGACAAAGACGAGGGGCGGGTCTGAGCGCCAACGAGGCTTGAGCCCGACATTTCAGCTTTAGGCATCTCGATAAGTCACCGAAGATTGAATCTATCACAAGCAAGGACGTCAGAGTTGCACGGGGTGTTGGTACTCGTGACGGGGAGAATGGCTTTGCCATTGGACAAAAGCAAAGGCAACAACAGGCCTACCGCATGAATATCAGTGGTAAAGGAGCGCAACTTGAAGTCTTCGGCGGCATTCTTCACGTGCTTTGGGTCGCTCTCCTCCATCGTCTGGGTGAAAGGTATATGGGCCACATGAATGAAATGAAGCATCGACCAACAAATGCATCGAACAGGATGGGACCACGTTCGGTATGGATCGCACCTCGGGGGTGTCAATGTGTTTGTCGGTGTACATGATCATCTCGAAGACGCCTGCACAGAATGGGTGAGCAAAGGAGGGCCAGCACAGGCGCATGGGAAAGACACACTGCCGAGAAACGTACATGGCTCATCGATGAGAGGCAGAAAAGTGACTGAGGCTGTCACTTGGCGAATGATGCCTTGAATTTCTTTGTGGATCTCGGCCTCGGGCTTGCTCGAGAGCCTGGTCAATGCCGCACGACCATGTGGAAAGGATGTGAGCGCGGTACACTCGAGGGCATGTCTGAGGTAGAAACCCGACTGTAGACCAAGCAGAACAATTTCAGACGGCCAGCGCTGCGAGGTCACCCAAGCAAGTCTTACGTGGGAGCATCAGCAGATTTATCGCATTGAACCTCGAAGACCCATCGTTCAATGACCTAGGAAACGTGGCACTCGACATGTCAAAGCAGGTTCAAGCCGGAACAAAGGAGCGCTTTCAAGAGGTGGTGATAAGGCGACACACTTCTTGTGTGGTGGAGCTGCTGATGACGAGGACCACTTGTTGCACGGTCTTTTCAAGGAGCCATTCTGCGCATGCGCTCGCGCTGTGAGACGGGAACCGTGCGCGAGCATCATGACGTAGGTTAAACGAGGGAGCCGTACCCTTGAGCTGGGTCAGAATTTGGTTGATATAAGCCTTGAGCTTGTCCTCGGCGGTGACGAGCAGTGTCAGGCCGTATTTTTTCTGTCGCTCAAACTGCTCTGGGGCATACACTCCACGCTACGAAACGGCGCGAGCATTCAGGATGTGCGTAAGCTCGGCAGGATTCTGCGACAGCAAGTCGCATGATCCGAAGAAGCTACGAAGCATCGCCCCAAAGCCCCAAAATGTCTGCACACCTGATAGAGAATGCTGTTGATGGCGTAACCGAAAAACTCGGCGACAATGTCGGCGCTGCCCTTGAGGGAGATGGCGGAGGATGCGCTACTCATGCTGACCAGTTTCCGTGTTTCCTTTGCGTGCCGGATGCTCACTTTGAACTTTGCCGCCAAAATACCAGCAAATCGTTTTCTGCTGAAAAGTTTCCGTTTTCTTATTGGCCTCAGTGATCGTCCGGATCCACAGTATCTGACAAATCAGAATTTTCTGACATGTATACGTTACACACACACACACACACACACACACACACACACACACACACACACACACACACACACACACACACACACACACACACACACACACACACAAGTGGTGGACGAGCGATGCGAAGAGTTGGACGAAATCCTGGGTTTGGCTGTTCTTGGCACCTCAGCTCAAGCCTAGGGACTTACAAGCGGTCAGCGCTTGGCTCACCCTGGTTGGGATGTTTGTGGGTCCCAGGAGATGAAGGGTGTGGACAATGGTGTCAGACTGAGGCGATGACGTGAGAATTCGTCGGAACGTCGACAATAGTCCGCATGAACCGCCGACCCCTCCCCTCGCCAAAAAAAATCAAAGCGTTGCTCGCGGCCGGAAGTATGGGGCTGTGGCTACCGGGTTCATGATGGTACACCCATGAGTAAGACGAAGAAACTGATGCCACTAACAGACTGCACCAGCTTCACCGCCACGCATCCCGCCTGCTGTTTGCTGCTTGCTCCTGTGTCGACGAACTCGTCATGAAGCGAGCAAGTAAATTAAATTTTGGTCTTTTTAGCTTGTTTAGACCAACGTTTTGAATTCAGATGAGGGGGGGGAGGGGTGGGGCGGGGGAGGCAAAAATGGGATGGAAGTAGTCAACACTGCGAGGGCGCGAGCTTTTGCTTGTTTGCACCGCCAGAGTCACTGGGTTGATAGTCTGATGTGCACGCATGCAAGACGTCGCGCACGCTGTTGATGATCGATCGACCCGATGCTTGGGGAGCGGCATTGTTGGTGATGACAGCGTCTCAAGAAAAAAGACACCAGTCCACGACATAGAGTCCCTTTTCTGCTGTCTTTTTCGCCTCCAACAAGCCGCCACCCTTGTTCCTCGACAGCCGCTGGTGCCAGGCGCAAGGGCAGGTGGTGGGACCCCGATCATCACCCGCTATCCCCGACGTGGATGCCGTCATCTGCAATATGAAAGACTCTTGCCCCCAGCTGTGTACAGACCCACATTGGTGTGGTGCTGAACAGGACATGATTTGACTCTGAGTCGGGTTTGCGGGAGTCGCGACCGCGGCTGCTCCAACTCAAAACAGGAGCGGACGAATGGCCAACAAAACTTTGATGGACTGAGCTTGGCAAAGACAAGGCGTTGGCGAGAAGTCTTCGCCCGATCTTATGATGGGCGTTGTCCGCCAGTACGGCTGAGCTCACGTCAGCCTGGTTTGGCAATGAGTCAGACTCATTGCCGCCTGGCCCCTTGAATCGTGTTGCAACTGCCGGCTGTGGTACAAGGGGCAAGCAACAAGGTCGGCCAGCAGCGCCCATGGCAATTCTAAAAATTCAAACATCAACCTGCATGAAGTGTGCTCACAAACAGGACATGTGATTGGTGGATTGTGTGGCCTAGTAGCTCAGCCAGGCAGAACTGAGTGCTAGGTGGAACTTGCCCCGTTAAGGGTGACTAGACACATTGCGCTTGTATATGATAGGTTATGGTGCCATGGACGTGAGGGCCGCGTCAGCTGCGCTTGCCCCACACACCCCACCTCGCCACCCCCATAAATTATGCAGGCCACCCACAATCCACCGCTTTCCTACACCCAGCTCGGCTCAGTCGGACACTGTGTTGCGCGCCTTCTGCTCAACACTGCGCTTTGACCTTGACGTGGCAGAGTGGTTCAAACGTGACAATGTGGACGGTGATGCTGCCAATCGTTGGTGCGAACCACATGCATTTTACATGCATACCGAATGAGGTCAAGTCTTCTTACCAGATCCGACTCTCTTCTTTATTGACATTCTGGGGTGCTGCGCACGACGCTTCTGAGTGCGAGTGGCACAGACCCGGGTGGCCAACAGGTTGTGGGCAACCCAAGCTATCGCAACATCGATACCAGTCCGGATATTGCATTCATTCACAATTGTGCAACGCAAGGCATGGCTACGCTGCCGCCATGGACCTCATCCCGCCTGGGTGAGTCCATAACAGGGCTAATGGATGTGCCATGGGACGCCGATGACGAGGACCAGGGCCACGGACACGAGAACAAGCACATGTACACGGTCCAAGAGAGCGAGGAGGACACTTCCATGCCGACACGCCCGCGTGATGCTCAGTATCAGACGCACACGACATCCGACGTGTCGTGTGCTTCCCCAAGCCGGCTGGGCTCGCGTCAGGGTGGTCATTACTCGAGCTGGCTAGACAACATGCATGGCGGCATCATCGACATGGCTGACTCGGCTCGGGTTCGCGTCTGGCAGCGTCGACATGAAGGATACGTGCCGGAGCTGGTCGACGTCTTGGAAGAGACGGGTCCGAGCGTTGTGAACGGCAGGTCGGACAGCCGATCCGAATGGTCGGGTTCAGTCACATCGGATGATGGCCACTTGGACGAGGGAGGGACCGAATATGGTCTTAATCATCCATCACGACACGGGTCACGTGCCCAGCGGGCGGCCAGCGAGAGCGGCACGACGACCTGTTCATTTCAACGAATCCGCCCCGGCCGACACGGCTACGCCATACGGCCCTCGGGTTTGGAGTGCCTGCATGTCCTGCAGACGCATCGGCGCCAATCGTTATCCGTTGAAGACTGAGCACTGAGAGAGTGACACCTTCATCCCGATCGGTTGATGTGCCGTTTTAATTTTTTTCTTTTTTTTTTAGTTTTTCTTTGCTGTGATGATCCCTCTTTGCCTCGACTGCTCTCCTCTCTGTCAGTCTGCCTGTCATCGGTGTTTCTTGTACCGGCTGCTCTATGGCGCCTTCTTTTATTTTCTTTCCATGTTTATCTATCAGGTGTTTCAAGAAGCGCGGTGACTGCGTGCCCTGTTGCTTGTTGGAGTGTTTCGTGTGCTTTTCCACATGTTATCGTGTGCATCGTGTTTGTTTTCCATTCGTTTATTCAAGGCACGGCATTTCTGCGCGCCTCGAGGCCCAGAATTGCTGGTGCCGGTGTCTGAGGGCATTGGACCCGTTTATCGACCTGCATCAAGAGTACTCGCTTGCGCTGAGTGCGCACTATCAGCGGCAAGCATTTGCTGCCACCACGCCCATACCCTTTTACACCTGCCGATTTCTCGACTCGTCGTGCTAAAGCATGACCTCCTGTGTGTGGTATTCTTATTAACGAGAACTTTTTTACATGTTAACGCGCTTGTCTGTGTGTTTGGTAACTATGTATGGCGACTCCTTCAGCCCCGCCCCTCTCAAGGTGGGAGCCCGCTCCTCTAATCTTTCCCTGAAGCCTTGGCGTTTCAACGCCATGCCAATCGATTTCGATCCCGTGCTCCTCTTGTGATGTGCTAGCAAGAAGTCAAGTCAAAGTCTGTCGTGATAGCAACTTTATGAGCGAGAGGGACGAGGAGGAGGGAGGAGGAGGCGACACGAGGCAGAGGAGGGAGGAGGGAGGAAGGGGGCAAGAGGAGGAGGAGAAGGAGGAGGGGTTTGGTCGGGGAGGAGGAGGAGGAGGACGCGAGGGAGAAGCGGAGGGAGGAGTATCGTTTTCTCCAAAGCAAAGCGTGCTTTTGATTTGAGTTATGACAAAAAGCCAATCAAAAGGTAGGCGAGACATATTGTTGTATCGTAAAGAGTATTTGTATATTTATTAATGTGTCTAACACTTTTACGTGCATCGGCAAGATGAGAAATTGCAGATTAACTTGTTTACATGTTCAGCTGATACGACTTTCCAAGTTTTGTTTTGTTCGGGTAACAAGCAGTGCACCAAACCAACCCATAACAATATCGTGACTCTCTCCATGTTGGGCAGGAGACGCGTGGCGGCGCTTTCGGAGCTTTGGTGGCGCTGTCGCCAGCTGGCTTTGCTCACCTTTCGCTTTCGATCCTTCTTGACTGCCGCCAGTTGCAGTGGATCCACATCAATCACCAGACGGCGCCGAAACTGACTTGCTTGTCACTAGATAAAAAAAGTCCACGAAATTGGATGGGTTTGCTTTGCAACCCAAATAATGACATGACATGCTACCCCCCCCCCCCCCC